AGAGGGCCTTCTCGGTAGTGGCCCCCCGGCTGTGGAACACCCTCCCTGTTGACATCAGACAGGCGCCCTCCCTTATGTCGTTCCGTAAGAGCCTAAAGACTTGGCTATTTGAGAAGGCATTTAACTGAGTGCTACATTAATTGGTAATGACAACTGGAACGGAATATGGATTACGAGATTGGTTATGATTCTAGGATGTGACGGAGCGGATTATTTAGTGTAATTTAGATTATTGTGTATTACTGATATGTTGATTTCCTGTTTTTGCTCTATTGTAAACTGTTTTTATATGTTGTACACCGCCGCGAGTCGCCCTAGGGCTGAGAGCGGCGGTCAATAAATGAAGCAAATAAATAAATAAATAAATTGACCTCACCCAGCTGTTTCATGTAATGCTGAAAAGCATGGGGACAGAATAGAGCCTTGTAGGATGCCACAGGTCAATGGCCAGGGGTCTGCACAGGTGTCCCCTAGCATCACCATCTGGGTACAATCCTCCAGGAAGGAGAGGAGTCACTGCAGCACAGTGCCCCCAATACCAATTCCAGAAAGCTGACCCAGGATACCATGGTCGATGGTATCAAAAGTTGCTGAGATGTCCAGGAGAAACAGCAGGGACACACTCCCCCGTCTAAACTCTCTCCGGAGGTCATCCACCATGTTTTGTCCTCGTTGGCAACCAATTAGGAGAAAATACACGGTTTTGTCTTTAAAGTATGATATGAGCTATTAAATTGAACACTGCAGGAACCACCTCACCTGAAGGAGGGCCCAGTCCTCGCTGATGAGCCATTCAGGATTGTCCTGGCCTACTTCAGCAGCTGGCTTTACAAGTGTGGGCAACGGCTTTGCAAACTGTGTCTGCTGCTTCAGCAGAATGTTCTTCTTCTGCTCTTTGCCCTCCCGTCGCATTTTGAGCATCCCTGGAGTGGCTCGATCAAAAAGTGATCGGGGAGGAATGACCGTCTCTCCATGTCGTTGCTTTTTCTTCCTTCCTGCAGCTGGAAGAGAGTTACCATGCTCAGTGTGCGAGTCAGAAAAATAGGTCAAACACATGAGACTCAAATTGCGTAAGGTGCAAAGGGCCTCTAACATTCAAAGCTGTGGTCTTCTATGAGTGTGCATCATGTCTCATGTAGGTTGATGCTGTATTACCATTTGTATCAGCCCTAGCCAGTATAACCATGAGGAATGCTTGGAATTGAAGTCCATATTAGTGACAATTATCTTAACACACATTGTTAAAACAAAGAGTTGTCACTCACAACAGCTATTGGGGACAGTAATATTCTCAATTTTGCCTTGAAAATCCTACTTTTACCATGAAAAACTACAATAACTGCCTGCCTTTATTTTTCAACCAGAAAGAAAAAAGTAGGATGCTTTCTATACATCTAAAATAAAATCAAACATTTACCAGATGGGTCGGTTTTGTGCCGTTTCCGTTCCTTCCTGACATACACAGGGGGCAGTTTGGATTCTGGGATCGGGCTAGTCTCATACATCAGGCACATGACAGAGTCAATATAAATGTCATTGTCATCCTGAGGTGGGGTTGGGGGAGTCCAGAGCTGCACAAAAGATTAGAACAGAATTAGCCCAGCTTGCTACCATGTAATTTCTGTTCTGACACCTGCAATTTCATACAAGTTATACAAGCTAAACAGAAGGAATTACCGGCATAATTTCAGTTTGTCCATCTGGACCTTCATAAATATATTCCTGTAGGGAGAAAAAGGAAACTTATTTTGAGTCTGATGACAATTAGCGAATAACAGCTAGCATCACCCGCATTAAATAAAAACGCAAGATAGTGAAGGCTGAGAGAAATAGTGCCCCTGAGGAACAAGAGGGAGAAGTCAAGGGAAAGTAAATATCTCAAGCAAGTTGTGTGTTTATTTTCCAAGCCAAAAAGTTTCAAAAAATAAACACAACCCAATGGGAACTGAGAATCTCGGGAGTCACAAAATGCTGAACATGACTCAGAACACAAAAACTGAAAACATGGGCTGGGGATGGGGCAAGGCAAGCTGGCTCCCCTCATGTTAGAGGTAAAGATACAGGGTGAAACATTACTGTGAGTCCCACTTTAAACACTGCTAAGAGCAGCAGAAATGACACAAAAACATGCAGGCAAATTACTTTGTTGTAGGCATCTTCCCGAGTATAGGTGAGGAGCTCCTCCTCCTCCCCATCCCAAAGAATGTTATCCTTTTGCGCTTTCAGCTGCTTTAGATGATGAGTCTCCCACATCTTTTTAGCAGTTCTCACTTCGACCTAGATATCCCCCCAAGAAAAGATGCACATATTAGAATTGGATGGTATTGCAAGCGCATTCTACATTGCATGTGGGAATACACAACCAAATTACTCCTGATGTCCATTCACTCTTTGTTAAATGTTCTTCAAAGAAGGAGAGTGCAACATCTCTCAAGGCAATTCACTCAGCTGAACAGTTCTCACAATGGAGTAACTCTTCCTAATCTTTAGGTCAATTTTCTCTTTTTATGTTTTTATGCCACTAGTTCTTGTTCTATTCTCTGGAATGGCAGAAACCAACCCCTACACTTTCATTATGATATCCAATCAGGTATTTAAAGAAGCCTACCATGTCAGCTCTCAAGTCTTCTCTTCTAAGCTAAACATACCCAGCTCCATAAGTCATTCCTCATAAGGCTTGGTTTCAAAACCTTTCATCATTTTTGGTTGTCCTTCTTTGGACATGTTACAACTGGTCAATATCACTGTGGTGCCCTGAACTCAACACAGTATTCTAGGTGAGGTCTGACCAAAGCAGAATAAAGTGACACTACTCCTTCCCCCAATCTGGGCATAATATTCCTGATTATGAACCATAGAATTGCACTGGCTTCTTTGGCCACTACATCACATTGCTGACTCATGTTTAGCTTGAGGTCTACTAAAACCCTGAGATCCTTTTCCCATGGACTGCTTTCAAATCAGGTGTCACCCATCCTATATTTGTGCATGCCTTTTCCTATCTACGCATAGTGCATCACATGTATCCCTACTGAAATTCATTTTGTTAGATTTGGTCCAGCTCTCCAATTTCTCAAGGTCATTTTGGATTCTTATCTTGTCTCTGGTGGTATTCGCTATTTCCCTTAATTTAGTGCTATCTGCAGATTTCATAAGCGCGCCTTCTAGTCCATCTTCTAAGTCAAAAGAATCAACCATCACCAAAACTGTGTAAAGATACTATACCTAGCACTTTTTAAGGCTGGAGAATCACAATTGCTTTTAATTTTCCAAGGATTTTTTGTACACTGCTAGAAGTTTCCTACCCATCTTCAGGAAATTCAGATAAGCTTGGCTTTTTATATATTTATATTTGTATGAATGTGTTTCTGGAAAACATCCTGAGTAAATATTTAAGCCAAAGGTGAAGTAAATGTGTAGTCTGCAAGACATCGATGGACTACAACTTGCATGTGGTTGTGGCTGATTGCATTTGGAGCCTATTATCAAATAGAAGGGCCCAAAGTTTTTCACCCATGGATGAAATAATTTAATTAGCTACACCAATTCAGTCTTTAGCGTTGTCCCAAAAATACCTGAGGTAGTGAATTATCAAGCTCTGCCAATGTCCATGCTAGACTATTGTTGATGATTAATGTGTAAAACTTAATGATAACATTTGGGCCAACTCCCGTACCATCATCAGGAGTTGTCCATAGGACTCCGGTTTTGATCTGGTAACCTCAGGGCCTGCTATGATCCTGATCTTGGCCAAAATATGCAATCTACCTCAAGCATTTCCGTATAAATAGCGATGCTTTCGGATATTTTTTTAAAACTTGGAAGTAAATAGCTGACCAAGTTTTAAATGTACTGTATACACTTGAGCATAAGCCAAGTTTTTCAGCCCTTTTTAAAGGCTGAAAAATCCCCCCTCAGCTTATACTCAAGGCAAAGTTATTTATTATTTTACTCTGTTATTATTCTTATTTTATTACATTTTTTATTTTACTCTATTTATTATTATTTCATTTACATTATTTTGCTCTATTATTATTATATTACATTTATTATTTTACTCTATTATTGTTATTACATTTATTATTTTACTTTATTATTATTGTTATTACATTTATTATTTTACTCTATTATTATTGGAAGGATACATAAGCACATTTACACTGAAGGTTAGAATAATGGTTTAATCAGAATTGGACAGTCTTATCTTAAATTACAGTTTTATGTAAATATTTAAAAACATTTAAATTACTGATGCCTCCATTAATGTAATTTTATTGGTATCTAAATTTTTATTTTGAAATTTACCAGTAGCTGCTGCATTTTCCATCTTCGGCTTATACACGAGTCAATACGTTTTCCCAGTTTTTTGCGGTAAAATTTGGTGCCTCGGCTTATATTCAGGCCGGCTTATACTTGAGTATATACGGTAATTACAGGCAATCCCCCAAGTAGATTCTATAGGTTTGTACGTAAGCTGAATTTGAATGTAAGTTAAAACAGGCACATTTTAAAGTGTAACTTCAGCCCACTAATATGCGTATTTGTGTGTGTTGTGGATAGCATAGGGAAGGGTGAACACCCCTGTGGTGTTTGTTTTGCTGCCTATGCTCCTGTTCAAAACATTTCACCTCACTTTCTGCCTCTGTAACAATTGGACTTTGACACTTTCCCCCTCATAATAACTCTTCCATGAGTGATTTTCCCTTCTCAGGAATAGATTCCCTCTCACTTTCTGTCATCTCATTCTGTTTATAACTAAGAGATATAAGTTGGATATTTGCCTGTAGTTAATTTTTCAATAACTTCACATTATTGATTCTATATACATTGCATGACAGTTCACTGTGTGTGGATTTCTCTCCTTACCAGAGTACCATAATTTTGAACAACAGGTATGAAATGCAATGCAGTGCCTGTGTAGGTAAAGCACCCCTCATACTGCAAAAGCAGTAGACTATTCAAAAATGAGAAGCCATGGCACATTAGACTTTATTACAATTCAAAGAATTATAGTAGGATGACTTCAAAGTTAGTAATTTACTTCCTGACTGTATTTTGCTTTTAGGAAGCTACTCACTATAGATTCTAATTAAAATACATTGGTGATTATTTTATCATATCATAACCTATGATAGATTTGTTTTCACAATTTTTTTTTTACAGTGATTGATATCCCCTTTCTCATTTTGTCTCCCCCTCCCATCCCTCATCACAATGAAAACTGTCTGGTCCATTGATAAAAAAAATCTAGGCTTATTTTTTAATCCTTTGTCTATTCACTTCTTACAGGAAGTAAATTGTATGCTACCATATCAAAATCCAGGAGAGTTTTATCACTCTCCTCCAACTGCATTCTCTCTTAGGACACACACAGTACCTCATTTGCTTTGAGTTCACTCTCATCGGTAGAAACATGAAATAACTCCAAGTAATTCAAGGCATACTTTTCAATTGGGGTAAGCTGAAAGTAAATACAGAGAAGTCATTATCTAACAAAGAAGTTATTAGAAATTTCACCAGAATTTACCAAATCTTAAATTAAAAAGCTTTTGACTAGGGTATTCAATGTAGCATGGGCAAAAGTAGGTCAACAAAGCATTTTTCAGGTCCATTCTGTCAACAACAATGCTTAACATTTTAGGTACTTTATAATTAGTAATAGTACTAATAACGTGCAGTCAAAGGTTTTCATGATCGAAATCACTGGGTTGCTGTGAGTTTCCTGGGGCTGTATGGCATTCTCTCCTGATGTTTCGCCCACATCTATGGCAGGCATCCTCAGAGGTTATGAGGTCTGTTGGAAACTAGGCAAGTGGGGTTTATATATCTGTGGAATGTCCAGTGTGGGAGAAAGAACTCTTGCATGTTTGTGGCAAGTGCGAATGTTGCAATAGATGACATTGATTAGCATTGAAGAGCCTTGCAGCTTCAAAGCCTGGCTGCTTCCTGCGTTGGGAAATCCGTTGTTGGGAGGTATTAGCTGGCCCTGATTGTTTCTTGTCTGGGCCAGCTAATACCTCCCAACAAAGGTATCTGTAGACACAAAGGTATACAGACCCACTAAGAAAATCCAACAAATGCTACGTTCTGCAAAGGGCAAGAGGGATCCTCTCACCTCTGCAGGAGTCTACCGTATACCATGCCACTGTGGACAAGTCTACATAGGGGGCCCCAAACGCAGCAGCAATGCCCAAACACAAATCAAGGAACATGAAAGGCACTGCAGACGGATTCAACCAGAGAAGCCAGCCATAGCAGAGCACCTGATGAACCAATCTGGACACAGAGTATTATTTGAGAACACAAAAATGCTGCACCACTCTAACAACCACCATGTCAGACTACACAGAGAAGCCATTGAAATCCACAAGCATGTGGACAATTTCAATAGAAAGGAAGAAACCATGAAAACGAACACAATCTAGCTACCAGTATTAAAAAAACTCTAAGATCAAAACAGCAAATAAAGAACAACATTCGGAAAACTGGGGAATTCCTGACAGGAAACAATCAGAGCCAGCTAACACCACCCAACAAAGGATCCCCCAGGCAGGAAGCAACCAGGCTCTGAAGCTGCAAAGTCATTGAATGCTAATCAAGCTGGCCAATGTCAACATTCACACTTGCCTCCAACAGACAAGAGTTCTTTCTCCCACCTTGGACATTCCACAGGTATTTAAGCCCAACTTGCCTAGTTTCCAACAGACTTCACAACCTCTGAGGATGCCTGCCATAGATGTGGGCGAAACGTCAGGAGAGAATGCCTCTGGAACATGGTCATACAGCCCGGAAAACTCACAGCAACCCAGTACTAATAATACTATTTAGTCAAAGGCTCTCTTCAACTGTTAACGGAAAGCAACCTAAGTTATACCTGATCAACGACAGCAACCAACTCCTGCAGCTGAGAAGGCTCATCCAAATACTGGGACTTGTCAAGTTCCAAAATGAAAGGCTCCAGTGTCAATTCAGTTTCAGTATCCATCACACATGTATTCAACTCCTCTTCCTCCTCACGTTCTATACTTTTGAGAGCCTTCAAAGACACAAGGTTTTGTTTTTTTCAGAAACAGCTGTGCATCTAACCTGTTTGGTTTTTGTTTTTTAAATATTCTTTGCCAAGACAACCTAGGCTCTTGGATCTGGGGGCAAAATCTCTTCTGCATCATCAATCATATAGACAATGAAGAGGAGCATTGTATTACACAAATGAATACTTTACAAATATGTATAGAACAAAACAATTCAAAAACGTTAAAAGGCAGGACACACAACCACAAGCAGCACTAATTTCCATGTAATTATATTTTGCCATTCTATAATTTCTATTCAAAGCATCATGCTTATTTACCTCTATAAAAGGCCTTGCTACTTTGGGAGAAATGGTTTCTGCTGGAGATGGTTCTTGTGAGAGCATCACAAACTCTTCTGCTTTCACTCGGAAGCCAGAGTCCTCCATTGGAGAATGAACCTCAAAGAGTTCCTGGATCGTTTGCTAGTTAAAGTGAAGAGGGGAAATGATTGTTATTGTTGTTTTCCCAAGACTAATACATCTCATACACAGTTCTTAGGGAAGAAAACAGAAGGAATCATCCTGTTTAAGAAAACTTTCCATTTTGAAGCCAATTCAAAGTTCTTCAGCTCTCTTCCAACTATGATTCTAGGTGAATCTCTAGACTACATCAAAAGGCTCAGAAGTCTATGCTCGGAAAGACCTAACACAAAAAGGTATGAAAAGTTTTCAAGCAAGCAGAACAAAAGAATGACTATACCTGTGTCAAAAAAGCCAAAGAATAATCATTTCCCTGAGCTGCTACTTCGCGGATGAGATCCTTGGTGCCATTTTTTAAAAGCTTCTCTTCTACCGAATTCCCACTGACTAGCCTAGAGAAGAAGAAGAAAATAAAAACCAGAAATATCAGCAAAATCCTTGAAAAAGAACATAAGAACAGCATGTCAACCTTGACTAAGCCAATTTTTACTGAACGTCCAAGGAGAGGGGAGGAAATTCTGCTGGAAGTATGAAGTTCCGGCTAAAATGAAACTGACTGTTCAAGGATATAATTGTTTTATCAGATGATACAGTAAATCTTAGAACACAACAATAGAAAGCTTCTTTTACATTCCCAGCTATGAGCTACAAAACAAAAACGGAAGGCTACCTCCTTGCTGAGAGGATCTACATTTTACAGAACTCTGATGTGTGTATGTGTACATATGTACACAATATATGTTTTAAAAGTAGAACCTTAGCTGTTGTGCATGGTTGCTTCCACCTGGGCCACCAAAGCAGCAGAATGAGATGGCAAATGTCTTGTGGAGTTCTTAACCGTGGGTAGCAAAACAAAGAAACAAGAGGTAGAGACCTCACATATTTTGACATCAAGAAAGAAATAAAAAGGCTGACAGCTCTGTCTCTGTGCCCATGTGTCTGTCTTCTATTTCCAAAACAACTAGTTTGCAGGCATCACCTGTAGATGTGAATGTCCTTACACCTGCCAATCCTGTCACACCATTCCTGGGCCTTTGCATCCATCACAGGATTTAAATCATTGTCATAAAACACAACAGTGTCGGCCTCAACAAGATTGACACCTGTGGAGCGACTGTGTGAAGAAAGGATTGCACAGAAGATGCGCTTGTCTCTGTTGAACATTTTCATCGACTCCTTGACCAGAAAACAGAATAAGAGAGTAGACAAGAGAAAGAAAATTGTCAAGTGAAACCAACACAGACTACAAGATGTTAGCATTACTGATGAGTTGCCAAAGATTATGCATGATAATCATTCTGAAAACCAATGTCCTCTATAGGAGTCGTTTACTTACCTTGTAAACAACAACATGAAAGCTACGAACCTGGATTTTTATGTTTTGCAACTTTGTATTGACATGCTGGCCATGGAGGGAAGTCCCTTCCTCAATGGCCAATGTGGAAATCAAACAGAATAGTGGAGAATTAGCAGACCAACTTATCTTTACTCTGACAGACTAAACTTTATTAAGTTTGGCAGATATAGGTACCTGTTGGGGACTCCAGGAGATTTTGGGGACCCAATACTCAGCTGCACACCTCCCACAAAGAGCTGCTGGAGGCATGGGGAGACTTTTTGTCACTTCTGTTTCACTTGCTTGTTTTAAGTTTTCTCCCAGGACTAAAATGGGCCAGAAGACCATAAAAATGTCACAAATCCCCCCCCCCCCCCACACACACACACATTGCTTAGAAGCTCATTGGAAGACCACATCACCCTGATGGTTGCCTTCAAAGGGCCATTGAATCCATGGACAAATAATACATGGATACAGAGGACAAAATATTTTTTACATAGTGCTCATTGCTCTTTAGTTTTTAGCCAGTTTGGGTTCCCGAATGTTACAGAACGACAAGTCTCATTACTTTTGATTATGTGACAGATGGATTGGGGATGATGGGGATGATAGCCCTTGTGGCTCTGAGGTTGGGGAAAGATTTAAAGGATATTTTAAAGCTAGACCTCCCATTCCCAAGCTTTGTATCGAAATTGAAACACCATCTTTCTGAGTAAACAGCCTTCCAGATGTTAATGAGCCCCCTTGGGGAGATAGGGTGGAATATAAAGTTATTATTATTATTTATTATTTATTAACTCGTATCAGCTCAAGTCATGAGGTCTTTTGGTGAGGAATACAAGAGTTGTAGTCCAGCATCTGGAGGGCCACATGAAATGAGGCCTTGAGTTTGATACATGTGGCCTAGAAAGAGCTTGAGACAACTTTGTGCCAAAACACTTTTGAAAGAAACTGAAAACTGTTTTGCACCTGGGAAGCCATAAAATGAGCCCTGAGCCACTGCATGTGATACATATGCTTCATTTTGTGCACCAAGAATAATGGTAACAGGGCCAGTTCTTAAAATACATTATGCTTAAATTATTTTCTATGCCACATTCTCACGAAGTGGCACAAAAAACACCACATTCCGATAAAAGATGTACAGCAGTAGTATCAAAAATGCAGATTCTGCTGGGGACTACTTTTATTTCAAGCAAAATAAGACATAATGTACTTTATGTTCTTAAAGTAGCAACTGAGAGATGGGACTTAACATAAAGCTTAATCCTGGGACAGCATGAGGAGCAATAATAATAATAATAATAATAATAATAATAATAATAATAATAATAATAATAATAAATCATCTTTATTTATGCCCCGCCATCATCTCCCCGAAGGGACTCGGGGCGGCTTACATGAGGCCAAGCCCGTCAAATACAAATACAACAATCCATCACTGTTGGGTTTCTCCGTGTGCCAAACCTGATCTGCAGGAGCTCACATTCCTTTTCAGTTTTTTTTTCTTTTGGAGCTCCCCCTTCTTCTATCAGTTTCATTCCCTATCACTACCTAGTTTACTCTATTTAATAATTGATCTAACTACCATAATAGAAATATTCCACACAACTGACTGTTGAAGATCTAGTCCAACTACTTGTAAATTTATTGACTGTTTTCTCCACTCGCTTAACTTTACACTTATTTTAGATGGCTTGTAGCTTCAGAAGATTTTATTGCACTTAGAGCATTTATCTCCGCCGTTCTCTGGCAAGGTACCTTTTTCTTAGCTGATTTTTAAAAGGACCTCTGAGTTTTACCCGATTTATTATTTTCAGTATTTTTGGTACTCTTCTGAGACCTAGTGTTCTCCGTATCTCTTTCACTTGACGACATAAATGCCTTTCTTAAATAGCCTTTAGGTTCAACTTCAGAGATTCACTGTTTTGTGATAATCTGAGAAGCCAATTATTAATTTTGTCTTGTTTCTCAATTTTCTGAGTAGCCATCACAATGACTACTATTTTTAAACTGACTGTATTTTAATCTTTCATACTGATACAAATTGCAGGAAAAACCTAAACATTAGGAATAACTTCCTTTTGGTAAGAACTGTTCAAGACAAAAAAACAGATAGTGTAGCAGTTGTGCAAGAAAAACTCCTCTGAGTTGGGAAGGTGAAACGAGTGTCTGTTCCTCTCTGCAATTTCATTGTAGGTTTTTTTTTTAAGTTTTAAGAACTGTTCAACAGTGGAATATGCATCATAGAATCATAGAATCCTAGAGTTGGAAGAGACGTCGTAGGCCATCCAGTCCAACCCCATTCTGCCAAGAAGCAGAAAAATCGCATTCAAAGCACCCCCGACAAATGGCCATCCAGCCTCTGTTTAAAAGCCTCAAAAGAAGGAGCCTCCACCACACTTCAGGGCAAAGAGTTCTACTGAGGAACAGCTTTCTCTCACAGTTAGGAAGTTCTTCCTCATGTTCAGGTGGAATCTCCTTTCCTGTAGTTTGAAGCCACGGCAGTCTCTGAGTATGTAACACGAGCACCTTCTTGTCCAATTTTGATGGATTCATTTCAATCTGTTCAACTCGAGGATGTCGACAGGATTCTTGGTGAGGCGAGGCCAACCACATGCATCCTAGACCCCTGCCCATCCTGGCTGGTAAAGGAAGCCAGAGGGGGTTTGGCAGAGTGGGTAAAGGTGGTGGTTAATGCCTCCCTTTGCGAAGGCATCATTCCAGCCAGCTTAAAACAAGCTGTTATAAAACCGCTGTTGAAAAAACCATCACTGGACCCCACTGAATTCAACAACTATTGGCCAGTTTCCAATCTCCCCTATTTGGGCAAAGTCCTGGAACGTGTGGTGGCCTCGCAACTCCAGGAGTTCCTGGTAGACACGGATTATCTAGATCCTGCGCAGTCTGGTTTTAGGCCGGGGCATGGTACCGAGACAGCCTTGGTCACCTTAGTGGATGATCTTCGCTGGGAACTGGACAGGGGGTGTGTGTCCCTGTTGGTTCTGCTGGACCTCTCTTCGGCCTTCAATACCGTCGATCATGGTATCCTTCTGGGACGTCTCGCGGGAATGGGCCTTGGGGGTACTGCCTTGCAGTGGCTCCAGTCCTTTCTCGAGGGGCACTCCCAGAAGGTGTTATTAGGGGACACCTGCTCGACTCCGCGGTCGTTGTACTGTGGGGTCCCGCAGGGTTCAGTACTGTCCCCTATGTTGTTCAATATATACATGAAGCCGTTGGGAGAGATCATCCGGAGCTTCGGGGTACGGTGTCACCTGTATGCAGATGATGTCCAACTCTGTCACTCCTTTCCACCTGCTACTAAGGAGGCTGTTGAAGTCCTGAACCGGTGCTTGGCCGCTGTAACGGACTGGATGAGGAACAACAGATTGAAACTAAATCCAGACAAGACAGAGGTCCTCCTGGTCAGTCGAAAGGCCGAACAGGGCATAGGGTTACAGCCTGTGCTCGACGGGGTTACACTCCCCCTGAAGGCGCAGGTTCGCAGTTTGGGAGTGATCCTGGACTCATCGCTGAGCCTGGAACCCCAGGTTTCGGCGGTGACCAGGGGAGCATTTGCACAGCTAAAGCTTGTGCGCCAGCTGCGCCCGTACCTTGGGAAGTCTGACTTGGCCACGGTAGTCCACACTCTGGTTACATCCCGTTTAGACTACTGCAACGCTCTCTACGTGGGGTTGCCTCTGAAGACTGCCCGGAAGCTTCAATCAGTCCAACGTGCGGCAGCCAGATTGCTAACAGGGGTGGGGTACAGAGACCATACGACCCCTCTGTTACGCCAGCTCCACTGGCTGCCGATCAGCTTCCGGGCACAATTCAAAGTGCTGGTTTTGACCTATAAAGCCCTAAACGGCTCTGGCCCAGTTTACCTGTCCGAACGGATTCTCCCCTATGAACCATCAAGGCTATTAAGATCTTCCGGGGGGGGGGGGCTGCTCTTGGTCCCACCACCCTCACAATCACGGTTGGTGGGGACGAGAGACAGGGCCTTCTCGGTGGTGGCTCCCCGGCTTTGGAACTCCCTCCCACTAGAGGTTAGATCTGCCCCCTCCCTCCTGACGTTCAGGAAATCACTAAAAACCTGGCTCTGGAATGCGGCATTCGAGGACTGAACCTAGAACCTTCCCTGTGATGAATTATGATGAACTGTGACTACGAGCATGACTATGACTTTGACTGGATTGACGATTTGGCGTAGGAAACTGTAATGATGTAATGATGATGTTTTTATTGTACTGTGTTGTACTATTTTAATATGTAATGATTTGTACCTGTTGTTCTTTTATATGATTGTACATTATATATGCTGTAAACCGACCTGAGTCCCTCGTCGAGGTTGAGAAGGCTGGTATAGAAAACCTCTAAATAAATAAATAAATAGATAAATAAATAAATTGTTCCACATCCCAGTCTACAGGGCAGCAGAAAACAAGCCTGCTCCCTCCTCCCTATCACTTTCTCTCCCTCACATCTTGATCCATGGCCCTCATCATGTCTCCTCTCAGCCTTCTGTTCTGCAGGCTAAACATGCCCAGCTCTTTAAGCCACTCCTCATAGGACTTGTTCTTCAAACCCTTGATAATTTTAGTCACCCTCCTCTGGACACATTCCAGCTTGTGAACATCTCCCTTCAATTGTGGTGCCCAGAATTGGACACAGTGTGATTCCAGGTGTGGTCCGAGCAAGGCAGAATAGAGGGGTAGCATGACTTCCCTGGATCTAGGCATTAGACTCCTATTTATGCAGGCCAAAATCCCATTGGCTTTTTAAGCTGCTGCATCACATTGTTGGCTCATGTTCACCTTCCTGTCCACGAGGATGTGAAGATCTTTTTCACACATGCTGCTGTTGAATCAGGCATCCCCCATTCTGTATCTTTGCATATCATTTTTTTCTGCCTAAGTGGAGTATCTTGCACTTGTCCCTGTTGAACATCATTTTTAGTTGTTAGCATCCTTGGGTATCTTCTTCTCTGAAGGTTTTTAAGCAGAAGCTGGATGGCCTTCAGTTGAGGATGATTTGATAGTGTTTTTTCTGCATGGCAGGAGGTTAGACTGGATGGCTCTTGTGGCCTCTTCCAACCCCAGGATTCTGTGACCTCTATCAGTTTAATAAAGAAAGGTTGGTTAAGCAGGAGGATAAAAATTGATGGAGGAATGAGGAGCTCCCACAGACAAAAACTGAAAAGGAACATGAGCTCCTGCTGATTGGGTTTAGCACATGGAGAAACCAAGCAGAGCTGGGTTGCTCCTCATGCCATCCTGAGAATGGCTTTCAATCTGTAAGGAATGCTAATACAGCATTTTTTTTCCATTTTTCAAAAAAGTTTTCTTTTTAAAAAGAATGCCCCCATGGCTACAAACGTTCTAATACATTCTAATACGTTCTAAAACGTTCTAATACATTCTGAAAAGCAACCAAGTGAAAAGCACATTTCACTGATCTCTAAAAACCGTAGTTAAAACACATACAAGGTTTTTCAATTAATGTTTCCAAAGATGGTGTGAACAATTGAAAGCAGATCGATAAAACATGAACAGTCCAATCAATAAATAAAAAACAAGAGTACTGTTAGGGATAAGCAAAAACTAAAGTACTTCTTCAAATTGGAATTCATTACTGCAAGATGATCACCAACTCACATGGCTGTAAAAGTGAACTGGATCAATATTCTCCTATATCAGAGGTACCAGACCTCTGTCCAGGATGCCTCTGTATAGCAGTTGCTGGGGAAAGTGGTTGAGTTTACCTGGCGCTCTTCTTGATTCGCACATTCATCAATCCTGACATACGTGAGGAAATGGAAATTCAGAAAATGCTCCAAGATGTCCAACATGAGAATCATCTGAGACAGTATCAGCACCCGGCGTCCTTCTGACTTCAGCTTCTGAAGCAAGACTGCCAGGGCCTCCAATTTTCCTACATGTCAGAAAAAGTAGAGCGTTAAAGGGCACATTCATCCAGTTTCTGGGTTATGTAAGATTCAGCCATTAAAAATATATATTTATTTATTATTTATTTACCTTATTTATACCCCGCTTTTCTCTATCCCGGAGGGCGACTCAAGGCGGCTTACAAATGGCACCTAGACAGTGCCTTAAAACATTAAAAAAATCATCTAGAAATGGTCTGGGTTAAAATTATAACATAATAAGAAAAAATATAGGTTGCTTACCTGTAACTTTGTTTTTTCAAGTGGTCATCTGTGAAATCCGCACATATGGTAGTAATTCTTGCGCATGAATAGCAGCTCGGACCCTATAACAAGCTCTCTATACCTTTAAGGCTATGTTCCTCTGCCATGCAGTGGCAGATTCGCTGGGGCATGACACTCAGCAGGGAGGCAGGGTGGAGATGTGTGGATTTCACAGATGACCTCTCGAAGAAACAAGGTGATAGGTAAGCAACCTATATTTCTACCTCGTGGTCTCTGTGAAATTGCACATATGGTAGACTGACAAACTACATACCCTGGATGGCGAGTGTCATGCCTTCCCTGCAAGGTGTCATGCCATGGCTGAGAACAAGACAGCTCTTCCAAAAGAGGCGTGCCGCTTGGATAGCATGTCCAACTTGTAATGGGCGGCAAACGTTAATGGAGTTGCCCAGGTCGCCACCCTGCAGAACTCATCTAGTGGTACACCACTGAGATACACCATTGTCAAGGCCATGACCCTTGTGAAGTAGCCTTTGATTGTAGCCAGAGGTCTTTCCAGGCCATCTGATACGCCAAGCGTATAGTAGACTTGATCCAGCCTGAAAGGCGCTGGTACGAAACCGGAAGGCCTGCAGTGTCTGCCCAATACTGAAGAAAAAGTCTTGGAGACTTCTGAATGGATTCTGTCCTATGCAAATAGAAAGCAAAAGCCCTCCTGACATCGTAGGCACTTTTGGCAGAAATGTCCATATGCAGAACGACTTTGTCTGCGTAGAACCTAATATAAGGCTTGTCTGTGCAGAGCGCACACAGTTCACCAGCTCTGCGAGCTGACATGATAGCGACAAGAAAAGCAGTCTTCCATGAGAGGTAAACTAAATCAGTCCAGGACATAGGCTCAAAAGGTGCTCTTTGCAGAGCCGAGAGGACCAGGTCGAGCTGCCAAGCTGGAGGCAGAGGTATGACCTGTGGGCGAATGCTCTTATAGCCTTGCAAAAAAAGTTGAGCGAGTGGATCTCGAAAACAAGATGGAAGGTTCTCCCTCTTCCGATATGCCAAAATGGCTGCTAGGTAACACTTGATAGAAGAGTAAGCTAGCCTAGCCACTGCCAGGGATGCCAGGAATTCCAGCAACAGCGGAGTAGAGGCAGACAAGGGATCCGCTGTTTGATAAAGTCTGAGAAATGCTTCTACTTGGCGGCATAGGAAGTCTTGGTGAAATCCCGATGGGCCGTATTAAGAATTGTTGTCATTGCCACAGAGAGCTGCGGGCCCTGATGTGCCACACAGTCAGCCAGAGGTGATGGAGATCTGGATGGAGCATCTGTTCGGAGTGAGAGGACAGAAGATCTGGCCTGTCGCTCAGCCGTGTGAACTCCCTTACAGACTTGGTGAGGAGAGAGGCGAACCATGGTTGGCAAGGCCACCATGGCAAGACCAGAATGCAGTCCGCATCATCCTCATCTATCTTCACCTGGACCCTCGTCAGGAGGGGAAGCGGAGGATACATGTAAAGGAGAGGATTGTGCCAACTGTACTCGAAGGCGTCCCTAAGACAGCCTCGTCAAGAGTCTTGGGGAAGTCTGGCACAATACAGGTCACATTTCGCGTTTTGTGGTGATCCAAAGACATTGATGGTGGGCCAGCCCCACCTACAGAAGAGAGTGGCAGTCTCGTCGAGGTGCAGCTACTAGTCGTGCGTCGTTGGCAACTGCCTGCTGAGTTGGTCGACTAGGGTGTTGTCCTCTCCCGGCAGATAAATGGCAGTGAGGTGGATGTTACTGAGAACGCACCAGTCCCATATGGACAACATGAGCCGAAGCAGTGAACAGGAGTGGGTGCCGCCTTGCTTGTTCATGTACCAGCCCACGGTGGTGTTGACTGTGAGGAGCCGGACAACTTGTCCTTGTAGGGAAGGCTCGAAGGACTTGAGTGCCTTGAAGACACCAAGTAGCTCCAAAATATTTATATGGTTCGTGGCTTCTTGCTGGGACCATCGGCCTTGAGCCACAAGGTCTCCCAAATGGGCACCCCAGCCCTGCACAGAGGCATCTGTCGTAACCTGCACAGTTGGCTGCCGGGGACAGAATGGCATGCCGCAGCAGACATTGGCATGGCACAGCCACCATCGAAAGGAGCTCCGGACGCTTGTAGGGACAGTGAGGATTCTGCGAGGGCTGTGACGAAGAGGATGAAAGATGTGAAGAAACGAAGACTGCAGTGGTCACAGCCAAAGACGTGCCAGTGGGGTCACTTCTGTCATGGAGGCCATGTGACCGAGGAGCGACTGGATATGGCTGGCTGGCACCTTGCGTTTGTACAAGGTGTGAAGAATCAAAGACTGCAGAACTTGGTAACGATCCTCTGGCAGGAATGCTCATGAGACTGTGGAGTCCAGGATGGCGCCAATGTAACGGATGCGCTAAGTGACAACAAGGCCCTGGTCCTGCAAGAGAGATAACGTAGTATCTATGTACCAGAGAAAATCTTCTCGGATTTGGGCGACCAAAAGCCAGTCGTCAATATAGGGGAACACGGTGATGCCCTGGAGGTGAAGATGTGCCGCCGCCACCGCCATACACTTAGTAAATGCCTGTGGTACAGTTGAAATGCCGACGGGAAGAACCCGGAAGCAAAAAACATCCTGGCCTATCATGAATGCCAGATAACGATGGTGTTCGGATGCAATGGCGATGTGAAAATAAGCATCTTTGAGATCTATTGTCGTAAACCAGGCTCCCCGAGAGAGAAGAGGGAGAAGTATGAAAAGTGTGACCATGCGAAAGCTGTGTGCACGGATGCGCCTGTTGAGGCCTCTCAGGTCCAAAATAGGGTGCTAGCCACTGTCCTTCTTGGAGACAAGGAAGTACCTTGAAAAATATGCCTGAGGAAAAAAAGATGGATGGAGGGGCACAATGGCTCCCTTTTCCAACAAGGTACGCACTTCCTCCAACAAGACCTCAGATATAGGAGTGGTACGGACACGGCCCACCCCTGGGGTGGACTTAAATTCAATGGCGTAGCCCCTGCGGACTACATCCAGGACCCATGCATCCGTTGTAATGGAGCGCCACTTTGGAAGGAACGGTGCTAGTCGTTCCCCAAAATAAACCACAGGGGGTGGTTGTATGGGAGCAGTGCAGGACGAAGAAGTTGAAGGGTTACCCAAAGACTGCGGCACCACGTGGACAGAGGTTGTGCTCAAAGAAGAGGAAGACAATGAGCTTTCAAAACCGGCATCTCGGCTTGGACAGAGGCTTCCCCTTACCAGTCTGCCGAGACTTTCCTGATTGGGACTGCCTGTTTGTTGATGGAGAACATGCTCGCGCGAAGGACTGCTGTTCTGTGTAGGAGTGACGAGTGGTAGCAGGAGGTGGCTGCCATCGCGGCTTTGACTAGGATGGTGTTGTAAAGCCATACTTGTTGGCTGCTTGCCGCACCTCTTGCTTCTCTTTGAGGTTGGAATCTGTATCCGGATTAACAAAGTATCATCACGACAAGGCAGTTCCTTGCCTGCATCAGAAAGGGACGATGTTCTCAACCAGGCATGTCTGCGCATTGCAGTAGCCATCGCAAAAAATCTCCAAGTTGTCTCTGCTGTATGTTTGGCCATGTCCTTTTGTGCCCTGGCTAAGAGCAGGGCCTCTTGCTGGTATGCTCTAGGCAGGCTTTGCTGGTCTGGAGGGATAAGTTCCAGGTAAGGCTTCAAATTTGTCCACAAGAAATGTTAATAACAAGCCATGTATGCTCCATAATGAGCAAGGCGTGCCACAAAGCCTCTTCCTGTGTGGACCATCTTGCCAAAGGCCTCCATTCTCCTGCCATCCTTATCCGGTGGCGTGGTGAGGGTTTTCTTTGAATTCTTGCCATGGTATACATCAACCACCACAGAATTCGGTTTAGGTAGCCTCGCCATCCATTGTACCTGAGCAAGATCGATATGATACATGGCGACATAGTGTCTGAACACAGGAGGCACTGTAGCTGGTGGAAGGTCAGGTATTCTGGCCAATTTAATCAGGTAAGGAAGTGAAGGCAAAGCTGACGCTGGAAGCACATCCTCATCCTGCTGCTCTGAAGAGAAGGGTGGATCTTCCACCACATCTGGGACCTTTGGAGTTGGCATATCTAAGGCTCTTGTCAATCGAGTCATTAGAGCAGAAAAAGAAGATGTGTCTTCCTTCGTGGCTGGCTCTGCATCCTCAGAAAGGGTTTGAGGCTTGGGAGTGGCCTGCGAGGAGGCCAACTTATCATCAGAGTCATGGTCTGATGAAGCAGCTGTTGCCACCGGGGGTGGTGCCAGGGCTGCTGCAGCAGGCAGAGGCTGGTGCCGATGCTTGGCGTTCATGAATTGGTTAACATGGAGGGCCAACATAATACACTCTGCCACCAGGAGAATAGTGGATGTATTCAGAAAATAACGGCTGGATACGTCTATAGGCATGATGAGATTGATCATGCACAGGCAGATCCATCTGGTGATGAGATTGTGGTGGAGTGTTGTACTCATATGGAAGCAAGTACACAGATGGGCTCTGGGAGTAAGTAGAACAGGAAAATGCTCCAGAGGAGCCTGACCTGGATCTCAGCCAAGGCCCTGATGGAAGGGCTGATGGAGGAGGAGAATGGTCCCGTCGCTCCTCCTGGGGCTGTGGAGGCAATGTTGCCAGAGGCAGGCTCCACGCTTCTGGCCCCATGCTCCTCCACTGCTACCTTTGAGGAGGGCAGGGCAGAGACAGGGAGCATTGGTGTAGGGGGGGGCTGCATCCTCTAAGGGGAGCAAGGCCACCCCCGTGCGCTTGTCTTGCACGGCTCTCCAGAGTGCGTGCGCCGCTTCGGCGGAAGTGGAAGGCTGCAATTCCGGTGAAGGCTCTTGGCTCTACCCTTGTCCTTCCGGATGTGGAGCAAGTACACTAGTGGCAGCTTCGGAAGCCTTCCCCGGCGAAGTTCCACGAGGGGATTTAGAACGGCGGCATTTCGGCATTGCCAGGGAAACAGAGCGCGCTGGAGGTGTGGAGGAGGAAGGCACAGCTGCCGGCAGCGGTTCTGAAGCCGCTCGGCGTGGGGAGGCAGCAGGGAGAAGCAGCTTCTCATAAAGTAAGTCCTTTAAATGTGCCTGTCGGCTTCTTCTAGTTTGGGGGGTAAGGGTTTGACAAACAACACAAGTTTGAGCATTATGAGCTTCCCCCAAACACAAAAGCCACAGAGTGTGCTCGTCAGAAGCAGGAAACTTCCCCCCAAAAGCAGTGCACTTTTTAGAAAGTGCTACAGACATACTGGCCTGAAAATGGTCAAACACAGTCCTAGGTCGAGGCAGGCAGCAAACAAGGGTGGTCAAACAGTTCAAAGTCAAAGTCCAAAAAATCCAAGTTGAGGTAAATTCATAGAGTAGTAAAACAAACCAAGTCAAAACCAGAATATATGAATGGAATAGAGAGAGGGTTCCTAACGCTGCTGCTTGCACAGGCGAAAAAAGGAACTGGTACTACAGCCACACCTGTGTCCTATATGTACTATGGGGAGGACAGGTGGGGCCATAGCCTTAAAGGTATAGAGAGATTATTATAGGGTCCGAGCTGCTACGCATGCATGAGAATTATTACCATATGTGCAATTTCACAGAGACCACTAGGTAGAAATAAAATACATTTAAAGGTTAAAAACATTCCATCTAGAGTTCAAGATCTAAGGCCATTCAGTGATCAATTGCACATAATTCCACATTAAGATTAAAAATATATTTCTCTACCTGCATCATACTGCACTAATCGGAGGTCAGGAAACTGAAGAAACTGTGGAGTGATGAACTGGTGCAGCTGGTGCAAGAAGGGAGTTGCCTTTTCTCTCAAATGGTGTCTGAGTTGTTTCATTTTATGGTTATACAACGGAGGAATCTTTGCCACATGCAAAGATGGAGGAGCAGCCACAGCAGCTGGTAGAACGCAGAGTACTCTGAGAAATCAAACAAGAATGTTGCAGTTACTTAAGACTAATTAACCCTATTTACTCAAGTCTAATGCGCCATTGAATCTAATGCACATAAAGTAGTTGTTATATAGCAACCCAGTAAGCCACAGAACCAGTGGATGGGATAAAAAGTTGGCCCTAAAATATCAAAATCTTTTTAATACTTAAAGCTCTTACTGTAAATAATGAACTCTTAGGGCAGTGGTTCTCAACCTGTGGGTCCCCAGGTGTTTTGGCCTACAACTCCCAGAAATCCCAGCCAGTTTACCAGCTGTTAGGGTTTCTGGGAGTTGAAGGCCAAAACATCTGGGGACCCACAGGTTGAGAACCACTGTCTTAGGGGAAATATTTCAACCTTTCAGAAGAGAAAGACTACTGCAAAGCAAACTAGTAATGTTATGGGTATGAAGTCCATTTTGAGGTCTTGGGGTCTGTGGTTCTTCACTTCTGCATGAGGCTGTTTTTTATGATGAGCAAATGGATGGGGATGAGTTCCATAACTGTGGAATAAAGCAGGGAGTATCAAAGAAAGAGTCCTGGTCACCCATTCCAACCAATGCATGGCAAGTAGCATACAACTAAAACTGTCACTGACCACTACCTGGGAAACCCACTCTACCACTTCTCACTTCCATGCGTTCTATTGAAACATACAGACCATCCCCCTATACCAGAATCAAGAGGGGGGATACCTTGAAAGTCCATTAGTCAAGTTAACTTTCAATATATAAGCATAAGTTACAAATCACCTATTAACAGCATCTCGCAGAGAGTCCTGCTGCTGCTTCAGGATCCACATTAGTCTTTGCAGAGGATCGCTATGGTCCTGGGAGGAATTACGTAAGAGGCAACAATTGGCAAAGCCTGCCCATCTCCATTTGCTAGATGTCGTGGAAGACTGAGGGTGACTCTTCCTGTCACCCACCAAAGAACAAAGTCTAAGGAGATCTGCACCATAAACTGGAGCTTGGGAACAGCGGCGCTCGTTGCAAAAAAAGATCCTGTCCAGGCGCTCCTTTAGAAGTCTGTTTTTTTCTTCATATGACTCCTTTGCCATAGTACAAGAAAAATGTTAATTCTTTATTACAACAATGGAAACAGCTACAAGCTTTTCACTTGGCTGCAATCGTAAACCTATGTACCTGGGAATTCCACCAAATTCAGTAAAGATTATTTCTAAGAAAACATGTGTAGGATTGGGCTAGACATGCAATTCCAAGGATTTCATCCAACGGGACTGCTTTTCTTGCATAACACACAAGAAATTAGGGCTGATTCATGCAGCCACACTGGGGACAGGAGCCATGAGACCTCTAGATGTCCCTTGCTGCAACTATCACAATCCTTTTTAAACATCTATATATTTATTTGTTTATTTTCTTCAACAGTATAAGTATTGTCATAAAATTCATAAAGACAATAATTTCCCTTCTCTGACTTATATACATCAGTTTAAGCTAACACCCCCCCCCCCAATTGCAAAACAATAATAAAAAAGATTAAAATAGACTTTCAAAATCAAAGACACAAAGTGAGAAAAATGTTGTAACCCCATCAATAAATTTAGACAGGTCCTTCATTCTATCCTATTACCTTATTTTTTTCAATCTCAAATCATGCCAACATTTTAACAATTCATTTTAACAATTTTAACAATTCACTTCTTCTTTATGAATATTATAAAATGTTCAGATTCCTTTAAAACAGTGGTTTTGTGTTGTTTTTTTTAACCAGGGACCACTTTGATCAGGGACCACTCTCCAACATTGATACCAAAAGGGTTATGAATCCTTTTTTGGTCAACTTTAGATTCGGTTTGGTTATTTGGGGTGCTGATTCATAAAATTGCATTGGATAGATCACATCAGCTCTACATAACTTTCCAAGTTTGCTATAATCTTCCTTTCCTTCATAACTAGTGGAATCGATTTCAAATTTTATTTATACTGTATACAAAATAACAACATAGTTTTGCAACATTTTTTCATATATAAAAGTACAAATTTAGAAGGATGTCAATACTGCTACTCTAGGGAGAGAAAATGAAATATGTTTTAAGGAAAATCTGCTCATTTAAACTGATCCTTAAGTTCATAACGATGTGATTAGTAAGAATACCTGTGAGTGTCCTCCATGTATAAGGCCAGGTTTTAAAACTGAACCTGCGTCCCCCGATGCTAAATTAGCAGCCATTGCTCGACCTGGAACACACGCTTAAAAATAAACCAAGAGTTTATGCATATCAAATAATAATAATAATAATAATAATAATAATAATAATAATAATAATAATAATAAATATGTTCTTTTGACATTGCTGCACATTTATGCATGAGAGGCCTCTCCAACAAAATACAATTTGCCCAACCCCAGAAAAATGTAACCGGGATTTTCCCAGGATAGTTTTGTGTTTGCCTATTTGCGTAGTTCAGAACATGAGAAGGAACTACATTCAGGCTGATGGAAAAGTGATGCAGCCTCCTCTGCCAGTCTGCTTGGCTTCAATGCCAGGGGGGGAAGGAGGGGAGGTCTCATAGTCACCATAAAAAAAGCAAGATGGGAAGGAAAAGGCAGAGTGACCTATCCCACCTCTGGCTTTCTATTGAGTTTTTGGCTAGCAACTTTGACAGTTTGATTTCTTCGCCAAAGAGGGGATGTCAAAGTGTCACTCAAGGATTGTGGGGTTAGAGCAGGGATGCCAAACCATTTTCATGGAGGGTCCCATTAACCTTCAAAGGGCCCTTTGGATCCATGGATGGAAAATTCATGGATACAGGGAGAGGGACAATTCTTTCTTATTTTATTTTATTTTATTTGCATAGCAGTCAGTGCTCTTTAGTTTTTAACATTTGGGTAACTGTATACCAGTGTTTCCCAACATTAGTACCAAAAAGGTTACAAATCAGTTTTTGGTCAACTTTAGATTCGGTTTGGTTATTTTGTGTGCCTATTTATTTATTTATTTATTTATTTATTTATAGTATTTGTATTCCGCCTTTCTTACCCCGCAGGGGACTCAGGGCGAATTACAGTGTACACATACATGGCAAACATTCAATGCCATAGACACACAACATATATAGACAGACACTCAGAGGCTATTTAACATTCAGCTTCTGGCCACCAGGGAAGCTGTCGCTTCACCGTCCATTTGTGACACTGATGAAGTAATTTCCTCATTCTTTGCATACTTTTTGGTAGGGCTGGGCGGTTTCGTTCGTTAATTTCGTAATTCGTTATTGATTCGTATTTAAATTAGCTTACGATCCGATATTGAGCCATGCAGGAGCAACTAAAAATCGAAACGAATTTTTCAATTTATTTCGTAATTGTTTCGTAATTGTTTCGAAATCGTTTCGAAATTGTTTCATTATTATTTCCGTATGTCTGGTGCAAGTTTTATAGTTGTTGTTTGTTTTATCAGTGATAAAAAAAATAAATTATCACACCAACCGTCAACAACAGAGGGAGAGGGAAGCTTCAGAAGTTCCCCCTGTCCCATTTGGAGGTTTTTTTAGTGTATTGCGCAATCGCGTCCGCCATTAACGAATCGATTCGTAATTGTTTCGTAATTTACGAAATTTCGTATATTTCAAACTTTTTTAAAGAAAAAATTCGGAATTCTTTTAAAAAATGAAACGCAAAAACCCCCTAAAAACGAATCAAGTTTAGAAACAATTTTTTCCGTGGTTACCCAGCCCTACTTTCTGGAGATTTTTATGGCCTCGTAAATCAGTTAAATTAGCCTCCCCACATAAGTGGTATCTAAATTTCCTACTTGACAGATGCAACTGTCTTTCGGGCTGCAAAGGTCGACAACAAGCTACACAATTTTGGTTGGGAGCTCACTCCGACCCGGGCTGGCTTCGAACTCATGATCTTTTGGTCAGTAGTGATCTTAATGCAGCTGACTCCCAGCCAGCTGCGCCACAGTCCCAGTGATTCAGAAAATTGCATTGGATAGACCACATCTGCTCTAGTTTCTGATACAGAATATATGCGATCCCATAGTCGCTATCTGCTCGTTCACAGAAAACCATATTTAATAAGCCTTGGCACTATAAGAGGGTTTTGCGAGACCAGTTGCTCTCGTTTATTATTTATTTATTTTACCCCGTCCTTCTCAACCCCCGAGGGGGAACTCAGGGTAGCTTACACCGGCAACAATTCGATGCCATCACACAACATAAATAAAACACAATTAAAGCATTGGTTAAAACATTAAAGATAAATAGGCAGTTAAAACATTATTAACAATAATATGGCCGCATCCAAATTTGATTTAATATTCAGGGACTTAGTCCAAAGCCTGTCCATTATCAGTCCACATACATCAACTGTGATTGCTGCTAAGCCTGCTGTCCAAATGCCTGGTCCTACAACCACGATTTGAGCTCGTTGCAATGATGTAGTAACCATGAGGCCGCAGACCATATTTGAGTTCTTGCGGACCACTGCTGTATACAAAACAGTAAGGTTTTTGTTTTGTTTTCGATAAAGTGCTGTTTTAGGGGGCTTCCTGGCCAGAATCTGTAAAAGAATATCAGAAATGCCCACTTCCATTTACACCCCAATGGTCACAAATATTTTGTGCAGAATTAGCAAATGCCAGAAATGGCTTTATGGCTCCTAGCACTTGTACAAAACGACCTATATCCTATGAATGCAAGGTAGAGCTTGGGCTGAGTGGAAAGTGATAAAACAAATGCCATGCATTGAAAATGAAAGAAAAAAGTTTCCACCCCAACGAGAGGAGAAAATTCATGATGGTAAAAGCTGCTCCACTGTAGAATGGGATGCCTCCCATGGTACTGGACTTTCCTTTGTTGGAAGTCCTTAAACTGAGATATGAGAATGCTTTAATTTGGAAATCCTAGAATAGATCCTTTGGTGCCTTCTATTTTTATGAATCAATGAGAGTGACTCCCACAGAAACAGTTTTGCCTTATACTCTGTAGTCAGGACAGGGAAAAGAGAGACTCCCAGAACAGCAAAAGAGGGCATATAAACTCAGGCCTGCTCCTTTAAAGTGCTCTGCAGGTCAGACATATATGGAAAATCCCTTACCTTGTTGTGTAATTGCAGAAGCTGGCAAGGTGGCCGGGTGCTGATTTCCTAAAGTGTTCAGAGCATTTTGAACTGTCCCAGTTGGAGACATTGTCTGCATGACCACTGGGCCCTGAGGCCGTAAGTATTGTTGCCCAGGAGCTGAAACAATCTGCAGTACACTGCCTGGTTTGTACAAATCACAGAGGAGGAAGTCATAAACTTGAAGGAGAAATCAGCACACAGCCCAAAACACTAGTGCTGCCATGTACAATTTATAGTAATTTACATACAAATATAACAATGGTAATCCCAAATAATAAACAAAGCCTCATCTTAAGCTAAACTAGGTCTCTTCAACCTGCAGTCCTCCAGGTATTCTGGTTTAGCTCCCAGAATTCCCAACCATTGAACAAGCTGGCAAGGGCTTCTGGGGGATGGAGGCTTAAACAGCTGGAGGGTTACAGAGTGAAGAGGCCTGACCTAGTTCATTTTCCTTCTTATACCTTAGACAAAGCAGAAAACATCATAGCAATGATAAAAGAATGATCTTTGTACCCTACCTTCCAAAATGCCATTTCCCCACTATTAAATATACAATCCGCAAGACTGCTCTGCAATATTTTTTTCAATTCAGTACTCTTAAAAGTAAAGACTTTCTTCCATGAAGGACATCTTTTCCCCTTCAGCTTAGGGGGAAAACAGTAACCACAACCTTGCTCAGAACAGTGCTAAGTTCCTATGAAACGAATTGTTAAAAGCAAGCCTTGAAATATTCTTGAAAACAAGGCACTAGCCTTCCTTCTGAAATAGCCACTGTCTCGCTTGTTATCGTGTGCCTTCAAGTCATTTCCGACATATGGAGATCCTATGACAGCATTTTCTTGACAAGATTTGTTGGTGGGAAGGGAGGTGGCTGTGTTTTCCTTTGAAGCTGAAGGAGTGTGGCTTGTCATGGTTGGATGAGTGGATATTCAAACTCGGGTCTCCAGAGCTGTAGCCCAACACTCAAAACATGATACCACGGTGGCTTTCTCATAGTCTTACTACAAGCTTGGGAGGGTAGAAAATTGGTCTTTGAAATCTGCATGGTTTACTTGGACCTCTTAGAACTTGTAGGGTTGCAATTTCAATCAGCCCTAGCCAGTACAGTCAACAGTTAGGGACTATGAAGTTCCAGTCCGGTTCCACCCCCATCTCAAGTACAGCTGGTGGGAACAAGAGAGAGGGCCTTCTCCATGCTCGCCCCCAACTCTGGAACTCCCTCCCTAAAGAAATAAAGCTAGGCCCCTCCCTTCTTTCCTTCAAAAAACAACTGAAGACTTACTTTTGCTCACTAGCATATAGAGAGGAGGAAGATTAGACAATGAGAGACCACTACCGGACCTCTAGTTGAGAACTATTATTGTATCCGGGCTTTGCTAGTCCATGTTAGCCCAGTTACCATCATTGGCCACACAACCAACCCACATAAATTTGTGAACTTTAGTTGGCTTTTGTAAATCAATGTGGATACTTTATGTTCAGATTTTATGTCATTATATAATTTTGTTAGATTAAGTTTTGTTTAATTTAGTGATATTAAGTTCTAATGTTGATTTCACATGTGGGGTTTTTCTGGGATTATTATATTGGTACTTGTCAGTTCTATGGTGGCACTGAATGTTTGCCTTTGTATGTCTGGATCCACCCTAAGTTCCCTTGGGGAGAGAGGGCAGAATATAAATCAAGTATTATTCATCATCATCATCACCTTTAATTTCTTATTAATCGCCCTCCATCCGAGATGCTCCAGGCGATTTACATAGCAGAAATTATACAGGATAAAACACATACATACAACTATTAAAATTAATATTTGGCGACCTCCGATGATGGTAGAAGGAGAGACGGTCTCTAAGATACAATGGACCCTCGCCATATAAAGTTTTAAAGGTCAGGACCTGCATCTTATACAAACCACGATACTCAATTATTGTTATTACTACTACTACTACTACTACTACTACTACTACTATTATAGTAGCAAATTAGAAGAAGAACTAATAAATAGGTGTGAAGATGCATTCAACTTCAATCCTCATTTCAGTGGGGGATTGTAGTTGGACACCACTGCTTCTTAAACTGTGAGTCTTGACAGCAAAAGGGGCCCCCTAAACCCAGTATTGGGACATGAAAAATTTTGTAACAGGAAAAGGTTTCTGAAGGCCACCCATTTACATGGATCTTTTAGCAACACGGTGCAGTGTTTACAGTGGAGTCTGCAGAAAATGCTTCAGTAGTACACAAAAAAATAAAATTAGCCTGTTTAGCAAGCCTTGTAAACGCTGATTTACTCATTTGTTATCAGTAAATGTTTGATTTTATACCCATTTTATCTACCTATATACCTGGGTCAAGCAAAAATGTATTGGGTGGAATGGAGTCATGAGTGGAAAACAGTTAAGAAGTCCTGGTCTACTCAATGCTGAGATGAAAAGTGAATTTAGTCCCAAAAGTACACTTTTGACAAATAAAAAGATCAAAATATGTGTTCCAGAGTAAACCAGGCCTGAACTCTCCCTAGAAAACATGATGAAAAACACTTCATTCTGAAATGAGCTTGAACAGTACCTTGCAGCTGCAGAGGCTGTCCTGCAGTGAGCTGGCGAAGTTGACTATGAGATAAAGTAAATTTGTTGCCCTGAAACTGCAGTGTCACAGGAGTCTCTGGCTGAGCGATTCTGCCCTGTGCTCCAGCAATTGAAGCCAGCTGGGCTATTTTGACCACTTCTCCACCTGTGGGGACAGAAATGCAATTAAAGGGGAGGGGCTGCCTTCCAAAGATGGGGTTTTGTCTTTTGGTTTGGTTAGTAGGACTGATGCAGAAGCCGCCCCCATGCAGAAACATATGCAGTGCAGCGGGGGAAAGTGTCATATAAAAGTTCTACAGGTACTGCTTTGATATTGGTGATGGCATTAAATGTTTGCTTTCTTTTGATTGTTTGAAATGTAGAACGCGTGGTGAAGTGAAGGAAGAGACGTTACCTTTCCACTTTTACAGGCAGCAAGAGTAACCTGAAATAACTCATGTGACACTTGGGAGAGTAAAGAGTCATGAAGGTCAGACCACCACTGCCTTTTCAAAAGCAAAACCCAGGAGAATGCAAGAGATACCAAGAAGTTCACAAGGATTGCTAGTGAATGTGTCAGTTTTTTTAAATACAGCTAAAGAAACAGGTTAATTTTTATTTTGTGTATATTCTGATCTTAAGGTAATAAAAATTAAAACAGTTAATTTATGGACCAAACTACAGCAATACTGGCATATTTGATGCAATCAAACACCATTGAAAGTATTTTACAATGGATTTTCAAATGTGACAAGTTTATTTTCTGTACACACATACTTTTCAAACCAGTTTGTTTGTTTCTTTAAAGAGGATGTATACCTCATCCTTCAGGTAGCTCACAATTGCTGAAAACCAAACTAAAAACTCACCCATAAAATTATTTTTGATAAAAAGGGGATATTAATCCAAGTTTTTAGCATCTGTAGACAATGATCTTCAATTTAGCCTTCAAAAGAAAAACTATCCAAAATTTTGAGTTTCAAGGCGCTCAACTTTTAGCTTTTGCAAAGGCAGTTCATTCCCCCAGAGATTAAAACATTAGTACATCAGTGCTCAGTATTCTCTAGACATGCTAGTAAGGCAGCGCACATTCACTCTAAAGCAAAACCAACTCTTTCTATCCCCACCCTACCCACTTTGCCAAAAGTTGCAGCTCGCCTCCAAGGAAAGTCAAGAAGCCTTCTTAGCAGGATAAGGTTAGTGTTTTCAAAAAGAAAGAGAATCAAATTAGGAAAAGGAGAGCATTAAAAAAAGTTTCTGGGTCCAAAGGGAGCCTGGCCAGTGGAGGAAACATGCAACAATTAGGAGATTAAGTTGACACCACTAATGTATGCCCACAGCAGTTTTCAACTATGTTTTCTCATCCAATTTGTGGATGTTTTCCTTGGTCAATTAAGCAAAGTAAAATAGTGAGCAAAGCTACTTAAGAGTGAAGGGTTGGGTGGAGTTGGGGAGCAGGGAGAGAACCAAACCACTGCAACAAATAGTTCTGTACACATGTTTAGGGTGCCTATAACTTAACCTCAGGGAATTTTTTAAAAATAAAATAAAAATAAAATACAAAGATGGGAAAAACCTGGAAAGGGGAGGGGACGGGCACTTACTAGGCAACCGTGCCTGAGCCTGAGAGGTTAATACCAGCCTCTGAGGCAGCACACTCTGTTGAATGGTGTGTGGGGGGGCTTGTGGCTGAGCCTGGCCTATTTGCAACGCCTGGGCAGTGGGGTGAGCCCGCTGTTTTGCAGGATGGGCTGGGCTAGTTGTTGTGGTGAAGGTCACTGCCGGATGCTGTCTCGGAGGAGCATTGATGGAAGCCTGAGTTGTCTGAAACTGTGATGCTGCGGAGGAGGATACGGCGGCGGCTGCAATCAATAAGGTTGGGTGGTGCAAGCATATTAGAGTCAATCCCAATTTGTAAGGGTTTATAGCATTGGAGTTGTTGTACTTTTCAAAAACTTTCAGCCTAAGTAAAGGAAGGAAAATCTCTTGTTTCACAGACTGGAGTTTAAATACTGATCGTGTTACTGAGGTTGTACCTTCATCCTCAATGAATTATGGCTCATTTGCTCATTACACAAATACAAACGGCAGTTATACACACATTATACACGAACACACAAACTCGCCTTGGAAGCGAGCTGCTCTGTGTGATTTAACAAAACAGACATTGCAGCAGTGGGCAAGAACAGCTTGGGAGACTATTAGTTTGTTTGCAAAGCCATTTGTGTGAATATCGGGGGGAGTGTTTCGAACTCTGTCCAAAACAAGCCTTTTACAGACAATCAAAGAAAAATGTAGACACCAGAGTCTTCACAACCACATCTCAGCTCTAAGACAAAACAAATAAAGCTTGCTGTCTTCAGGGATTTCCTTTCAAAGCATATTCAGAAAAGGCATATAATAAAACCCTCCTGAAACAAGTCGAATAAGGAGACCTGGTGCCCAAATTCTTCCTGCACATTAGAAACCTTCTGAAGAAAGGACATGACATAGTTCCCACAGCTACGCACTTGACAGCTTTCTTCACACAAAAAGGTTTTATCAAAGAAAATAATTCAAACATATAACCCACTATCTGTGTTGCAAATTGAAATGGTTCCAGAAAAAGTTAATCTGTTTTTTATTGACTTTCAGAAGGCTCAAGTAAAATGAAACATGGGGAATATCTCCGGTTAGAACAAGTTTTCAAAGGACCCCCCTCCTCAAAAAAAAACAACAACTATGGGTTGTCTCTCATTGCCCTTAGAACAGTTAGCACAGCCTCAATATACAGTAATTGTTATAGTGTGAGGTAGCATAGCAACATGTCTCATAAAGACATCCACAAGAAAGAGCTGTGGTTAGGTCAAGCTAACACCTTTGTCTCTGGGAGGCTCCATTTTTATTTTACAGGCAGTCCCCGAGTTACAAACACATGACTTACAAATGACTCCTAGTTCAGAACACAGGAAGTAGGAAATATCTACCCCTAGGGAAGTGAATTCACTCCTGGAATATTTATTGTCATGGGAAAAGGTGTCCCCACTGAAGCTTTCTCACCAATCCTTGTTTCCACAACAAGTCAATTTGTTCAAAATCCCATTGTCATAGGGACAGAAAGTGAGGTGAAATCTTCTGAAAAGGGGCACAGACACAAACACCACAGGAGTTTAGACCCCTGTACTATCTAAAGCTATATGTATTTGGCTAAGGTTTACAATTAAAATGTACATGTTCCAACTTACATACAAATTCAGCTTAAGAACAAAACTACTGAATCTATCATGTTCGTAACTTGGAGACTGCCTGTATATGCTGTATGTTCATGCCAGTATAACAAGCAATTCATATAGCAGATTCACACTGCAGAATCCTAGAGTTAGAAGAGACCACGTGGACCATCTAGTCCACCCCCCCCCCCCTTTTGCAGGGAAAACACAAAGTGCTTTTCCTTAGGTAGACTAGAGCCATGGAGATGTCAACTGGCAGAAAAGAAAATTGTATGCATACTTTACCACATGCCCAGTTTGGAAACACTTTTCAATGCCCTGATAAATACTGGTAAGAGCAGAACATCAGGTTCTAGGAGAAGCAGTTTTTTTTTTTTACTGCCATGCCTTGTACTTTGAGGACCAACTCAATATTTTCAACGTGACTATTCAGGGTTTTTTTAAGAGTAAGAGGAGTTGGGAGAGAGAAAGCAGAAAATTTTAATGGCTCAGAACACTGGCATTTGAGCACATTTGGGAAGGACCAGAGTAGAAAAACCTTTCTCACCTTGATTTGCCGATACTGTTGTCATAGGGGATCTTCCTCGCACCTGTCCCTGTTGAGCAACCGTAGTTGTAGTTGCAGTGCGCTGAACCTGAGCACTCGGGAAAGATGTGGTCCTGCCTTCAGGTTTTTGTCCATACTGAACAGGTTGGAATAATCTGAAACAGTGATTGGCATCATTACTACCTCCCACAACAGGCACATGCACACATTATGTTAAAAAAAAAACACAGACAGAATTTTCCTTTGTGGCACATTATTTGAGAGATGGTGAAACCTGTGAAAGAGCTACCATCATTTAAAAACACAATTAGCACTCAAAAAGGTGTGTGCCTGTCACATCACATTCTAGAAAATGTGTTTGGGCAGGGCTCCTTAACCTTTTTCCACTTGTGACCTCATTCTAAATGGGAAATTTTTACATGACTCCAGGAAAATAAGGTGCATAATAGGTGGAAAAATCAAACATTTACTGAAAATAAAACCAAATTCCCCTCCTTTTCCATCCTTCTTCACGCACACCACTTTTTCCTTTTCTCAACCTGAAGCCCAATTTCTCCTCTTTCTGTGTCCATAAACATCCCCTTTTTTGACTAAAATTTTCGCAAATTGTTTTATTTTTTTCTATTTTGTTTTTGTCTTTGTAAGCTGCCCTGAGTCCCTTCGAGGAGAAGAGGGTGGGTTATAAATAATGTTGTTTTGTTGTTGTTGTTGTTATTAAACCCCACAGTTCATTCCACCATTTGGGGTTGCAACCCCAACTTTAAGAAGCTTTGTGTTAATGCATGCACTGTGTATACTTACGTATAAGTTGAGGATAGGATTTGTGTTCAAAATCATGGATTTTTATATGATCCATGGATAAGTTGAGGGGAAAGCATTAATGCTGCCATAGATGGCCAGTCATCATAGGCTGCTGTTGCCATTTCTCTGCTCAAACATTCAAAAAGGCAATAAACAGTAATAATCTTTGCAACTGGCCCTGCCCATTGTGTCCAATTATTGTGGTTTTATATTGCATTGTGTGTTTACTCTGTATTGTTTTTTTGTATTATTATTTTGATATTTTATTGCTGTATTTTTATGTTGTATATTTGCTTTGTTGTAATTATTGGGCTTGGCCTCATGTAAGCCACCCCAAGTACCCTTGGAGAGATGGTGGCGGGGTATAAAGTTTTATTATTATATGTAACAGTGAAAATAGTAGAGTGCTTCTTTTAGGTTCTCCTTGATGGATTAAGCTTTTGTCACTCGATGCAGAAAAGGAGATGGTTCCTTTTTTTATAAGCCTTAAGGTACAGTAGTCACATTGACTTATGGGTAAGTCAACTCAGGTTTTTTTTGTGTCAATGTTTTGATTAAAATTTCTAGACTCATGTGATTATCTATGGTACGTGTTTCATTTTAGAAAGTAAAAATAACGTTATTAAAATAATCTGAAAAGCACCAAGAGACAGAGGGAGGCTGTGTAAACGTTATCCAAACTAAGGATCTTGGCTAGTCACTCATAAACAACCCAGAGTTTATAAACCAAGAACACAGCCTGGTTCATGTTTTTACCTTGAAAACAAAGCAATAAACCAGGTCCCAAGATTGAGATGACACACTAAGTAAATAACTGCTACACAGCAATGGTGTGTGTGTGATGGGGCGATGTGATCTGCCTGTGTCCCTGTGCAGTTTGTTCATGATAAACCTGGACAGGATTCTGGATTATAATTATTTGCTCAGCTGTACTTTCAATAGCATTTTCACAGTATATTCCTCCCACTTCAAATATGGCAGCAGAACTTCACCAGAAGTAGAGGAGGGCGGATTATTTTTACATATTCCATATACCTGCTTGATTTCAGCTTTACTGGATTCGGTCTGGGGGGAGATGGAGGAGAGGTATAGATTTCTTCAATAAGTTTCCTGGTCACTTTTTGCTTTGGCAGCACTTGCATCTCATAGCGAGTCATCTTATTCTCGATTCCAATCAAATCAAAGAGACTTAAGTCTGCAACCTAGAGATTAAGAGTGAGGTTAATATTAATAGCCTTTTTATTTGCAAGTATGTACTAAGAGCTGATTACAAGGTCAAACAAGTAGCAATCTATATACCTATACCTATATCTATATACCTTATATCTATATTTATATTTATCTATCTATATACCTAATAAAAGTGCAAATATAATAAAAGTGAAAATATGTGTGTACATGGCCCACTTCCACAGAGAGGCTCCCACTTCCACAAACAGCTTCAACACATAGTGCTGAGGAGCCACCAAAGGCCCTCCCTCCATCGACATTTCAGGTTATAGTGAGCACCATGAATATGTAGCCCAACCCCTGCCAATGTCTCGCCAAACACCATTTTGCCCACCACCCAAGGAATCATTTCATCCTAGATTTCACATGTTCCCTCCACCACAGAGACATTCCAGTATTTCTTACTCTCCATTGGTGTGAAATTTGCATGAATCCGCCCACTGCCTCTCCCTGAAACCCTTTCCTACTCTTTTCAACTCTGTCTTTGGGGGAAATTCATCTTGATTTACAGGAATTATAGTTCACCTACATCCAAAGAGCACTGTGAATGTAAACAACGATGGATCTGCACAAAATTTGGCAAGCATAACCCATGACAAAATTTGGATACTGGTGGAATTGGGGTGGAACTGGCCTTGACATTTGTTAGTTGTAGGTACTGGAATTTACAGTTCACCTGCAATCAATGAGCATTCTGAACTCCAATAAATATGGTACTGGGCCAAACTTGGCACACAGAGCCCCCCACACAGAAGAGAAATTGATTTGTGGGAGTTGTAGTTCACCTACATCCAGAGAGTACTGTTAACCCAAACATCGATGGATCTGGACCACACTTGGCACGCACACCTGGTACACCCAAATTTGATTACTAGAGGGGTTTGAGGGGAACTGACCTTCCTTTCGGGGATTTGCAGTTCACCCACAATCAGAGAAACTGTGACCTCCACCGATGATGGACCTGGACCAAACTTGGCACAAAGAACCCCCATGACTAACTCAATCTACTGGAGCGTTTTGAGGGGACTAGCTCACCATAGTGGCAGTTGTAGTTTACCCTACAGCCAGAGAGCACACTGAATCCGACCAATGATACATCTAGAGAAAACTTTAAGTACTGATGGAGTTTTTTGGGGTTAAACTGGTATGATATGAATTGTAGTACACCCACAACCTTATGCATTTTGTACAATAAAAAATGACTTTTTCAAATAACCCAGGCAACGTCGGTTAAGCTAGTTTAATAATAAAAGTAGGAGTATTTGTTTTAAACATTGCTGATCACCCGCAGAACTGAAAACATTCAGTAACACCAGCCAGTGGCTGACACACATTTTGGTGCCTCAAATGTTAGCCATGTTTCGGGGTCTATTTGACCTGCTGATTCCAGAAATGGTACCTGTTTCTAGTTTTTGAGTTACAGAACATATGTCACCCTCTACTCACTCATAGAAAACATGACAACCATCTCTAAAAAATTAGAGCTGATGCAGTCTTTCCAATGCAATCACATCAACAACCTTGATGTGATTGCAACCTTGGGGCATGGCCTTCTTTGCCGACGGCTGAGACAAGGCCAATGCCGAAAGCTACTTTCCCGGAGTTGGTGGGACCACAGGAGAGGCCGTCTTCGCTCTGCATGATTCCTCATGCGCCCGCTTGAATGCAATTCATATTGCCGTAGAACAGTGGTTCTCAACCTTCCTAATGCCGTGACCCCTTAATCCAGTTCCTCATGTTGTAGTGACCCCCAACCATAAAATTATTTTTGTTGCTACTTCATAACTGTAATTTTGCTACTGTTATGAATCATAATGTAAATTTCTGATATGCAGGATGTATTTTCATTCACTGGACCAAATTTGGCACAAAAACCCAATATGCCCAAATTTTAATACTGGTGGGGTTGGGGGATGATTTTGTCATTTGGGAGTTGTAGTTGCTGGGATTTATAGTTCACCTACAATCAAAGAGCATTCTGAACTCCACCAACGATGAATTGAACCAAACTTGGCACACAGAACTCCCATGACCAACAGAAAATACTGGAAGGGTTTGGTGAGCACTGACCTTGAGTTTTGGAGTTGTAGTTCACCTACATCCAGAGAGCACTGTGGACTCAAACAATGATAGATCTGGACCAGAATTAGCACAAATAATATACCCAAATGTGGTGGAGTTTGGGAAAAACAGACCTCGATATTTGAGAGTTGTAGTTTCTGGGATTTATAATTCACCTAAAATCAAAGAGCATTCTGAACTCCACAAACGATGGATTTGAACAAACCTTGGCACACAGAACTCCCATGACTAACTCTGCGGCCCAGCCAAGGGAGCCTTCTCGCAAGGAGAGCCCTCGGCTGTGTTGCAGCCTTGCTGGAAGGCGCGAATGTGGCCCAGCAAGGAAGCCTTCTCGCGAGGAGAGCCCTCGGCTGTGTTGCAGCCTCACCGGAAGACGGGACCGCGGTCCAGCCGAGGGAGACTCCTCAAGATGAGAGCCCTCGGCTGGATCGCGGCCTCGCCGGAAGGCGGGACCGCGGCCCAGCCGAGGGGGACTCCGCGCAAAGAGAGCACTCGGCTGGATCGCGGCCTCGCCGGAAAGCGGGACCGCGGCCCAGCCGAGGGGGACTCCGCGCGAGGAGAGCCCTCGGCTGGATCGCGACCTCGCTGGAAGGCGGGACCGCGGCCCAGCCGAGGGAGACTTCGCGCGAGGAGAGCCCTCGGCTGGATCGCAGCCTCGCCGGGGGCGGGGCCTAAGGTGGCGGCCTCGCGACCCCTCCGAAATTGCCAAACGACCCCCAGGTTGAGAACTGTTGCCGTAGAACATGGCGGCGTAGCCGCAGCTGACCTCATGGACTGCGTCGAATGGGCAGAAGCCACCGAGCTTGTGGTAGACAAATGTCGAGCCTGTACAGTTTCGGTCGTCACCATACATGGCTGTTTGGATTGTCTTGTCTGCCTCAAGGATTTTGACGCTGTCAACATCATCAAGTGGGTCTTTTTTGAAGGTCTCTTTCCCGCCAATGTCGAGCGTACCAAAGGAGCTGGGGCATTCAAGGTTGATGCTACAGCCGGCCGCGCCAAAGACGGGTCCGCCGATGTTGATGTCAAGAGTGGGGCGGATGATGCCGATGGTGCCAAGGTCTGTTGGTACAGAAGGTACCTCAACCGATGAGCTCGATTCTTACAAGATTCAGCCGTCAGCGCTTGGCAATGACGGCAAGAAACAGCGATATGAGCTTCGCCGACGCAAAGGAGGCACTTAGAGTGCTTGTCAGAATCCGGTATCTTTTGGGAACACTGCGTGCAGTGTTTAAAGCGAGTTGTAGACATAGTGAGGAAGTTCCAAAGCGAGCCTTACAGCGGAAAATCAGGACCTGCGGAGCATGCGCCTTTTATGCCCTGCCGGGGACTGGGCAGGGTTGCCGCCAAAACTTGAGAAGTTTAAACTGAGGAAGTTTCCGTTGGTGCCTGTGAAGTCACAGTCACTCCACATGTGTGCATTCACAGAGACCACGAAGAAAAAAATATTTTGTTGAACATTCCAAATATAGTGGTTAAATTGATTTCATCAGTGAGTTCCACTGTTGAACAGCTCTTCCTATGGTCAATAAGTTCTTCCTAAAGTTTAGGTGGAATCTCCTTTCCTGCCATTTGAACCCATGGCTCTACTGAGTCCCTGTCTCCAGCACAGCAGAAAACAAACCCTCTTCCTCATGACAGCCTTTCAAATATAGAAACATGGTTCTTATGTCCCCTTCTCTCAGCCTTCTCTTCGGCAGGCTTAACAGACGCAGCTCTTTAATCTTCTCCTCACAGTACATGCTTTCTAGTTTAGGGAGGCCGAGGACCCCCTCTAGCTGAGAATTTTGAATGCCCCTCTCAAAACTACAAACCCCAGATTTCTGCAGGAGGCAGCCACATGATGTGTATCAACAGAAGCAGCTGATGCCACAGCTCCTACTCTGCAAGGGGGGGGAGCCTTTCGCGACCCCAATGTTCAGCTAAGTGGACCCTATCTGTAGTCAGAACCCATAGTTTCAGAAGCTCTCATTCAGAGGACCAGCACATGAGAATTACTCCTGTAGTTGATATGATGCAACTGTAGTGGTTTTACCCACTGAAGGAGAATGACAGCAATCTCCTGATGCCGCTTTGTAAGCAGAGCCCTCCAATTAAAACTAGTTGTAGGGTAGAGACACCCACACTTAATTCACAGGAAGAGGAGATTACTTGACGGAGATATGGTGCATTAAGCCCACAAAATAGAAGCAGAACACGAAAATATTCTCACATTCTTTTAAGCCATTCACTTACCTTCCAGATGTTGTGTTCAAGTGCTTTTAAGACCAGCGAAGCAGTCCTATATTGCAGTGTCTCTGGAACATAAGAAGAACTGGAGAACCGAGGGCTTATGAGATCAGGATGGTTACAGATCTTTTGCAGCTGCATCAATACATGGAGGACACTAACAAAGTGTCCACTCTTGAGAGCATCTTGGGTTCTGCCAATGGGGGGGAAAAGATGATACATTTTTTCCAGCTGCCATCTCTGCATTTATATACCAATATATGTCTGCACCTATATTGTTTGAAACCTCAAAAACAGATATTTTAGCAGTAACTTTTTTCCTTTATTCAAACACACATACTGCTGTCTTTTCAGTTAAAATCTCCATCTTAGAGTAGATAAAAAGTTCTCACCAATGTGCTGATAAGAAGAGGAAAGCTGGATTGTATAAATGCACAGGTAACTTTTCAAAGTACTACTTATACGTAAGTAATCTGTCCTCTTTTGCTGTGGTCTCTGTGTATCACACACACAAGTGTGTGACTGGCATCATTCTTATAAGCAGAAAAAGAAAACACCTATCAGTCAGACTTTATTCTTTTGTGTTCCTTCTGGAGATAGTGAGCCCTGGGAGTATCAATTAAGGCTCCATGGTGAAGAAATTACTTCACCATGGACACAAAGTGGCTACAAGAGTCACATAATCCTAGAGTTGGAAAAGACCCCAGACCAACACCATTCTGCCATTCAGGAAAAGAATATCAAAGCACTCCTGACAGATGGCCATCCAGCTTATGTAAGGAAGGTCTTCCTCATTTTCAGGTGGAATCTTCCTTCCTGTCATTTGAACCCATGGCAGCAAAAAACAAGCTTCCTCCTTCCTATTTATGATAGCCTTTCAAAGATGTAAACATGGGTCCTCTCATGCCTCCTCACCACCTTCTCCTCTGGAGGCTAAACAGTCCTAGCTATTTAAGCCACTCCTCAGAAGGATTTATGGTTTCTAGAGCTTTTACCCTTTTAGCTGCCCTCCTCTGGATACGCTCCAGTTTATCCCTCAAGAATTGTTTTGCCCAGAACCGGACACAGGGTTATTTCAGGTGAGGAATATTGATGCAGCCTAGAACTGCATTGCCCTTTCTAGCTGCTACAACACATTACTGGCTCATGTTCACCTTGTGATCTATTAAGACTCCTTGATCCCTTTCCCATGGACTGGTTTCAAGCCAGTTGCCACTCATCCTATATCTGTGCATTTCATTTTTAATGTCTAAGAGTATACATTTCTCCCTGTTGAAATTCATTTTGTTAGTTTGGGCCATTCAGCTCTCTAATCTGTGAAGGTCGTTTTGAATTCTGATCCTGTCTTCTGGAGTATTAGGTCTATCTCCCAGTTTGGTGTCATCTGCAAACTTGATAAGTTGCCTTCTAAACCTTCAACCTGAGAAATTACTAAAGATGGTGAACAGCCCTGAAAGGCCCAGCACAGAGCCCTCTTTATGGCACCCCACTGGTCACTTTTTTCCAGGATGAAGAAGTGGAATAGGTTGGTGAGCACCCTTTGGGTTTGGCTGCTTAACCAATACCCCATCTACCTAACAGTAGCATTGTCCAGCCCACATTTAGAACAGTTTACACAAAGTACATGATCGTCTACTGTCAAGGTCTCTCAAAATTAAGCCTAAATCAAGAATCGGAAGCCCTCTCCCATCCGCCTTTGCCAGCACAGTCAGTGGTAAGGTACATAGTAGTGGTAATGCAAACTATCTGGAGGGCCAAGGGATATGTGTCCCAATTCTTTTTAAAAATATGCAACTTTAAATACTCATTACATGAGGGAGCTTTTCACATGGGAAAGCATCTAAATCTGTGAGGCCCCACCTGCCACTCTACTAATTCATATCATTATATACATAGACCAGGTATGGCATGACATCTCAAATTCAGCTCACTTTCTCTCTAGCTACAATGCTGTGGATTAGCAAAGACATTTAAGCACCAATAAAACACAGAGATTTTAAAACTCTTAATTCTGAATCTCTTACCCTGGCTGCAATATGACATCTTCATACATCATTTTTTGTCTATTTGAAAGCCGACATTTGAGCACATGTTCATATTTCTTTGTCAACTGCTTTTCCACATCTCGTTTTGATCTGCGCAAAATAAAGGGCTGGATCATCTGAAAAGATGGCATAGAAAATCAAAGAGAACATCAATAAAAAGCATTGAACAAAGTGATGCTAAGAAAGTGAGACATGCAATTCAAACACAAACCAGATGACTTACTCGGTGTAATCTGATAACCAGTTTGTGACAGTAATCTTGATTTTCCTCATTGGCAGCTTTCACAGGGAAATCCAGGTAAGATTTAGAGATTCCTGGAATCAGGAAGTGTACCATGGTCCAAAGCTCCATCAAGGTATTGTGCAAAGGTGTATCAATGAGGAGCAAGTGATGTTGGCTGTGAAAGGAGAGATGTTAACAACTCAAAATTCTACAAAAGAAAATCAGTAGTGTGCATCATAGCACTGGGAAAAGAGAACTATTAAATAAAAATACTTGAGTGTCTTCTATTAGATCTTGGTATACACTCAATTTTATTAAACTACTGCTTGATTTTAAAAGATACTCCAGTTAAGATTTTTTCCAAATGATGTTTTGAACAGCTATCAAACAGCAACATTTGGAGCTCAAGGTATCAAAAAATGGCTGCCATCATACCCTACTCCACCTGACAATGTTTCAGAATTCAACTCTAAAGAGAAGCTTTGCAAATACATTTTTTAGCATGGCACACAACTGGTTAGACTGGCTGCTAACAATTTTATTGCAGTTGTTCTGGAATAAAACTTTTTTTTCTTGACATTGTAATACCCAAATATTTCACTTTCTTCTGTATTGCAAATCTTAAGTATTGTTTAGGTCATAGGTTCCTGACTCAAACAAGGCTCACAAAAACTACATTTGTGGACAGATTGCTTACACTACAAGAACCAATTACTTTCTAAGCTATTCCTTGAGAGTAACAACGAGCACATTGATGAGGAAGGCAGAGGGAAATACACTTCTACGAGCAACAAACCTGTGGAGACTGAAAAGTGCTTCCCAGTGCTTCTCCGTCATGTTTTTAATCTGCTGCATCTCATCAACCACCAGGTATTTCCATTGCATCTTCATGAATGCATGGTGGCCTTTGAAGAATTGCTTGTAAGAAGTGATACACACATTAAAATTGTTGGGTTCCATCCATTCCTATAATAGCAAAGAAAATGTGAAGAGTAAGAAAAAGATCTAAAACAGGCGTAAACAACAGCAGAGGGAGTGAAAGCTATCCCTCCCACCACTAACTGCACTATCACAGGGTTGATGTGAGTCTTTCAGACATCTGGACATGTTCCAGAAGCATTCTCCCCTGATGTTTCACCCACATCTATGGCAAGCATCCTCAGAGGTTGAGGAGTCTATTGGAAACTAGGCAAGTGGGGTTTATATATCTGTGGAATGTCCAGGGTGGGAGAAAGAACTGTTGTCTGTTGGAGGCAAGTGGAAATGTTGCAACTGGCTAGTTTGATTAGCATTGAATGGCCTTGCAGCTTCAAAGCCTGGCTGCTTTCTGCCTAGGGCAGTCCTTTGTTGGGTGGTGTTAGCTGGCCCTGATTGTTTCCTGTCTGGAATTCCTGTTTTTTGGGAGTTGCTCTTTATTTACTGTCCTGATTTAAGAGATTGAAATCCAATGAAATCCACAAGCTAGAGTTTGAAAGCCAATGAAATCCACAAGCATGTGGACAATTCAAACAGAGAGAAGGAAACCATGAAAACAAAATCTGGCTACCAGTATTAAAACAAACTCTAAAATAAGCACAGTAAATATAGAGCAACACTAAAAAAACAGGGGAATTCCAGACAGGAAGCAATAAAGGCCAGCTAACACCTCCCAACAAAGGATTCCTCCAGGAAGGAGGCAGTCATACTTTGAAACTGCAAGGCCATTCAATGCTAATCAAGCTGGCCAATTACAATGTTCACACTTGCCTCCACCAGACAAGAGTTCTTTCTTCCACCCTGGACATCATTTCACAGATAGATAGATAGATAGATAGATAGGTAAGATAGATAAAAACACCACTTCAGTATTTTTTCTAATTGAAGGACAAACCTGAAGAAAACATTTAGGTACTTCAGATAACTCCTTCTCTGGGAAGAACAAATATGTGGGATAGTTGGGGTATCATTCTAATAGATGGGAAAGTGGGGATACATGGTTTTATGTTTAATTCTGCTTTAATGTTTGTATATTTGTAGATTTTAAATTGTATTGAGTTGCTTTGAATGTAAGCCACTTTGAACCTCCTTGTGGAGAGCAAAAGCAGGGTATTATTATTATTATTATTATTAATAATAATAATAATAATAATAGGAGAGCAATAAATTTAGATATAACAGACATGGAAAATAATATAGATATATAATACTTTACCTGTCGTTTTGCTCTAAGCTCTCTTTGGTTGCCAATGTAGAGCAGGAGTTTCAGCCCAGGACACCAACGCTTCAATTCAAGCTCCCATTTGAGTATGTTACAACTTCGGACAACAACAAGGTGAGGACCCCAGTCACCTACGGAGAATGGATTTTGTCTAGTGAACCAACTCCAGTCCACACTAGGCCTCTCAAATTTGAAATAATTCATCTCCAAAAAAACAGAAAGAACACAAAGATTGGCTTACCCTCATTACAGGCCAGGTGTGCAAAAAAGGCAATGACTTGCACTGTTTTTCCAAGCCCAGCCTCATCAGCCAAAATACCATTGAGATTCTTCTTGTACAGTTTGGCTAGCCAGTCTAAGCCAATCTTCTGATACTCCCGAAGTGAGCCATACAAAAGAGGTGGACTGTTATATTTCACCTACAATAAAATACACTGATTTGATTTGGATTTTCCTTTACTTCGTGGTGGAATTTCTTTCAGTAATTTCAGTCAATTTATACAAATCAAGGCAAGAAGCCCCCCTCCCCCAAGCTGTTTTATGAATCCCAATAAGAAGAAATAGTAGTAGTAGTAGTAGCAGTAGTAGTAGTAGAAGAAAATAAAAATAAAATGTTTGTATTTCTTACCCACCTCTCCTCACAGCTCAAAGTGGGGCACAACACAGTTAAAAACACATCATCACAAAAATATTCAGTAAAACATATATTAAAACATATTTCTATAAAATATGCAAAACAAAGATGAAAATGCAATTGCTAGAAGATATTAAAAGAGCTTTGAAATTATTTTTTAAAAATAAATGTATTATTTAGCACCTCTTTCCTTACCCCAGAATCTTTTTGTAAAACAAAAGTAAAGTACATGACTACAGAAATTGAAAGGCTGGGGCGGGGAGAGAGGGAGAGAGAATGATTTCTAGGCTTCAGTTATAAATTGCTGGTTAGTCATGATGGCTACATATTACCTCTGGGGCTCCTTCCACACAGCTGAATAAAATCCCACATTTTCTGTTTTGAACTAGAATATATGGCAGTGTGGACTCAGATAACCCAGTTCATAGCAGATATTGTGGGATTTTCTGCCTTGATATTCTGGGTTATATGGGTTTGTAGAAGGGCCCTAGTTTCAGAGGAAGCATGCATCTCAGTACCAAGTACTGGATGATGAGTGGGAAGGTGCTACTGCATTTATGCCCTGCATGTGGGCTTCTCAGGGGCTTGTGGCTAACAATCTTGGGTAATGTGACAAGGTCCTTAACCAACTATGTCCAAGTTTAAACAGAACTATTCCAAAAAACGTGAAATACACTAGAGTCTAAGTTAACCAGCATGAATGGGGATTGATAGACAAATGTACTTTCTGGTTGCTTGAGAGTGATTATTGAAAATAGGCCTAGCTCATGTTATACCATACCATAAACTCTGTATTAACTTGATATTAATATTGCAATATAGTAACTAAAAGCAAACAAAGACAAATGTAATTTAATGTAACACAGTTTTACAGCTCTTTTATTTAAAGTATTAGTTACAGGCAGTCCTCGGGTTATGAACAGGGTAGGTTCTGAAAGTTTGTTCTTAAGTTGAATTTGTATGTAAGTTAGAAAAGATGCATTTTAAAAGTATAACTCCAGCCAAAAAGTATTTTTGCAGTTTTGGATAGCATGGGGAAAGGTTAACACCCCTTTGGTGTTTGTTTTGCTTTTCAAAATGTGGCTTGTTGTGGAAACACGGGTTGAGTTCAACCCTCCAAGTATTAGACAGCATCTTCCATCCGCCCTAGCAGGCATAGTTTGCTCAGTTCATATCTGATGCCACGGTTTGGAAGCATGTAAAGCAAAACTATATTGTTGCCATATTATCCAAGGGTTTGTTTTTTTTGGGGGGGGGGGTCCTCTAGAAACCCATTTGTGATTTCATGGGGCCATGTGATTTGTACACATATTTCAGATATGACATTGTGTGGGATCTTGAACCCTGCCCAACAAAAAAAGACATTGGCAAGTCAACATGATTAGTTCAGATTTCTCAACCAAACGTCATGCCTCAGCCTTGCCCCATATGTTCTGATCCCTTCCCTCCTCTCACCAGATCAGTTTTCTGTTTACTATAAAATAAAACAGAGAGGAGGAACCAAGATCACTCGTACTGGGGCAAAAAATGAACCTCATCTTCTCCTGTGGATTGAGAGCTCTCACATTGCTGCAGTTGTCTTTTCACATCAGAAAGGAAATTCTTGATATAGCTGAACGTGGACCAAAGAAAATGCTTACTGCAGTTGTGATCCGCGCACTGCCTTTGGGCAAGAGTGCTTCTGCTGCAGCTGCCACCTCTGCTATGTCTTTGCCGTGTTTTTTTGTAGGCCCCACTCTTTCAGCCCCTTTATACTGGTCAATGCTGAGGAGGGAGTCAATCAAAATAACTTCCTTCGGAAGGACTTCTCTTTCTGATATGTGGTCTTCCATCTCTAACAAGAAATGGAACAATCAGTTCTGCATAGCTGATAATATATGAGTAACATCTATATGTACTTTATTTATATTCCACTCTATCTCCCCAAGGGGACTCAGGGTGGATTACAGAAGACATTTACAGCAAACATTCAATGCCATTATACAATTAACAGACAATACATAAACAGAAGTATAGGCCTTCCTATCTTTTTCATCTCCAGCATCTGGAGGCTGTGATCCACTCCAGCCACCGGATGGTGCTGTCGCTCAATCTTCCACACGGAGGAGCTTTTTGTCCATAGACATCCTCCCAATCTAATCGGCAGCATGTTCTCACAGGTGCCTTTTATTACCTCCCCGCTAATAGCAGTATCGATTTATTTACTCACATTACTGTTTTCAATCTGCTAGGTGGGCAGAAGCTGAGCTAATGGTGGGAGATCACATCAACCTGGGTTTGAACTGCCAACCTTTCGATCTGAAAGATTTTCTACAGCTGGTGGTTTAACCTGCTGTGCTAAAGCCTGGACCTAATGCATTAATATCTAAAACTACCAACATAAACATAAGTTAGTTTTTAAAGTGGATTTCCAGCTTCTTTTTTGTTGGTTTCTCTACGAATTTAACCGTTTTCTTCTACTTTTTATCAAGTAGAAGAAAACTGTTCGCTTCTGTTTTAACATTTACAGATGAATAACCCAAAATGTATGTCTCCAGACCTGTATGTAAAGTCTTTCCCTTTCCCCCAGATATATATATATTGATAAAATGATTTCCATGTTAATGATTTTCATTTTAATAAGAATGTGCCCAGTGAATCATCCCTCAGCAGCACTGTTAACATGTTTCTATTATTTCCCACAGCTTTACTGTCCAGTCTGCCAATTTGTATTTCTGTCGTTTTCCCTTTTTGAGCATGTATAATTCTTGCCACTGCAAACATATACTGTAGTATTCTCTCATGCTCCTTTTTCATTTGATCATCCAACAGTCCTAGTAATGTGAGTTCAGACTTGAAGTTGATTCTTGTTTTATGAATTTATTGGATTACCTCATGAATTTGACTTCAGAATTGTTTGGCCTTTTTGCATATCCACCACAGATGGTAGTGGGAACCTTAATGGACTTCACACTTCCAACACTTATCATTTGCACCTTTATACATTTTTTATATTTGGTGGTGGAGGGTGTTAAATGCCATCTAAACATCATTTTATAGAAATTCTCTTTGCGATTATTTGGCAATTCAACTGTTAGACCCTTCTGCCACATTTTCCCCATTTTTCTGATTCAATACTATAGCCAACATTCTGCACTGTATTGGAATGATAGAATCATAGAGTTGGAAGAGACTTCGTGGGCCATCCAGTCCAATTCCCTGCCAAGAAGCAGGAAAATCGCATTCAAAGCACTCTTGACAGATGGCCATTCAACCTCTGTTTAAAAGCCTTCAAAGAAGGAGTCTCCATCACGCTACAGGGCAGAAAGTTCCACAGCTGAACAGCTCTCTCAGTTAGGAAGTTCTTCCTCATGTTCAGGTGGAATCTCGTTTCCTATAGTTTGAAGCCATTATTCTGCCTCCTAGTCTCCAGGGCAGCAGAAAACAAGCTTGCTCCCTCCTCCCTATGACTTCCCCTCAGATACTTATACATGGCCCTCATCATGTCTCCTCTCCTCTTTAATTAGTTCTTCCATTTCCAACAGCTAAAGGAATTACAAGGGAGCCTTAAACGAGTCAACCCTTCTCACATAAATTACTTTTTACAGTAGTAGCAAAGAAAAAAAATCCCCACCAATCATTGGTTTGTTTATGTTTTATGCATTACATGAAACATAAACAAACCAATGCAATTGCGACAATGACTCTGGAAAAAGCTAAAGCTTTTTAATGCACTGGCTGTCATGGTCCTTATATGGAAAAGTAACAGGAAAATTGCCAGTTTAGTACTATGTTTGCTTCCACAGTAGCCATTAGATATGAAAAACTATGGACTGCAAAGATTACTGCAATCCCTATCAGGCAGGAAAAGCCCTTTGCTGATCACAAGTTATGTATCAGATATCTCCCTAATGCTTCTTTCTTAAAATCTAAGACCATGGAGCCAGTGCAGAGTAATGGCTGAAACATGAATCAGAAATTCCCATGTAAAACTGGATTTTACTCAATCGGCCACAGCTTTCTCTGCCTCCAACACAACTACAATTGATGGATAATAGCCCTCATCTACTTTATAGGGTTGTTGTAAGGATTACTAGATTACATCGTTGGAGAACTTTTGGCCATCCTGATGTTCTGGTTTGCATTTTCTTTAATCCCTGTTAGTAATATTGGGTGGCATCAATGCAAATTGTAGGCCAAAACATCTGAAGAGCCAAAGGTTTTCCAAACTTTAGACAGCATCACTGAACATTCTAAATCTCTACGTAAGAACTTGCTGTCATGACACTAACCTAGAGGCCTTTTCATAAATGGTGGAAAAACCCAACAATTTGCAAAGTTCAGGGGTAAATGCAGAATACTGCACCTGTCCTTCAAAAGCCAGTGACTTTTAAAATGTATTTTCAAATGAAATATTGAGTAAAAATACCTTCTTCGCTGCTGTCTTCTTCAGATTTCAGCTCTGACCAGTGCACATTTTCAGCAAACGCACCTTCATACATTTTCATCAAATCATCCAAAGGCAGCTCAGCTACATGTGATTGAAAAGATAAACTACTATTAAAGGCAAAGGTTTCACCTTGACATTAGCTCCTCTTTCCTTACCTCCTGACTTCTAACAGTCAAAATATACAAGACTTAATAATTGAAAGAGATAAAAACACCTCCCGCAAGAACAAATCATAGGGATAATCAATTAACTTATGGTTGATCTTTTCAAATAATCCCATCAAATGCCTGGGAGGAAATAATGTGGCACTGACAAGGTAATGATGATCGTGATGATTGGTACTCCTCTCAGGACTCAGACCCAAAGCAGCTAATATCTGGGCCATGAATATCTTACTGGGAGGAACACATTCCTCCCATTCAAGGGAAAAGGGAAGCAAAATTGCACAGCCATCTACCTTGTCAGCACTCTTGAGCCTCTCACATGTGGTATGTATTTCTACATCCAACATAATTTTAAAATCAAAAAGTGCAACAAATTATACTTGTTAAAACATGTCAAACTAATCATGTTATTAAAATACTGTTAAACCATTTTAAAACACCACTCTAATCAAAATAGTTTTTTAAGAAGTCTAGCACATGAAAATTTATATATGTCAGATCATAAGAAGTAGGAGGTGGAAGGACAAAATGGAGATGGTGTGCCTAATCTCCATTGTAAAGAAATTCCATAATCCGGGAGCAACCACAGAGAAGTCCCTCCTTTGTGTCCCCTGAAGAGTAATGGGCCTCTCCCAAAGATCTCAAAAAGTGGTTTGATATGGGAGTACATGGTTACTTTAGGTCAGGGCTTCTTAAACCTTTCCACTTGGGACCTCTCTCGAACCGAAATATTCTTACATGACCCCAGGTACATAAAATAGTTATAAAAATAAAATATTTAGTGATAACAAATCAGCATTCCCAAGCCTTGCTAAACAAGCTGTTTTTCCTTCTTTTTTTGAACTTGGCTGCTTTTAAAAGGTTATAAGCCACCTTGGATCCAGTGCTGGGAGACAGGGAGGACAAAAATTGAACAACAACAGTCTAGTTTGTACTTTATAAGGCATTTAATGTTTGCCTGTTTCTGTGTGTAAACTCCCGTAAGTCCCTTTTGGGAGAAAGGGCGGTCTAGAAATAAAGTTTTGTTGCTGTTGTTGTTATAGCATTAGTATCTTGGACCAGTTTTCAAAATATAGTTCCACATATCGAATGTTACATTAATCCAAACAGGATGTAATCAAGGCAAACATCACTGTACTCAGATCAGACATCACCAGGAAGAAGCGCAGGTGGTTCACTCACTTTAATCATGCAGATAGTCTCCTGGCTAACACTAGGACCCAGGAGTACAACCAAAGAGCAAACCTGTGTCTTCAGTTGGAGTACAACTCCATCCAGCACAAGTGGAATCCCTCTTTCTGGGTTCCCATAATCATGTTAGTCATTGCCTTCCACACTACCTACATTTTAAAGCCATCTTCAAAGGTAACTCCATCTATAAAGCAGTAATCAAATATGGGAGATACTGGAAGGTAAGCCATGCTCTTACCCTAGGCCACAGGTTTGATACAACACTAAAGCAGAGGAGGATGGAGACTAGGAAGTGGTATTTCAGAAAGGACCCTTTAAAGTTAACTTCTAGGCAAGCCTCTCATTTTATTTATTTATAGCACTTTTATACGATTATAATAAAACATCAAAGTGGCTTGCATTCAACAGACTAAGACCAAACGCGATCGTCTCACTCAAGCGAATGGAAACAGACTAGAAAACTACATGTTTCTTGCTTAAGGTTTTAATTTCTAGAGCAGACAACACATTCGTTTATTCACTGCCTTAAAGACATGAGATAGCAAATGAAACTAGACTGATAAGCTCACCAGTGAACAAAAGAGGGAGCAAAAGAGGAGAATCATTAGAGGATTCTGACCAGGAACAAGAAATCAACATTCACTTGCTTTCAGTTTTTTTTCCTAAAGTACATGGACATTTTCCAGAAGACCTGGTCAGTCTTTCCTTACCACTTTTCTCACTCTTTAACTTCTCAGCTAGGAAAGCAATGCAGATCAGGCTCTACTCCTTTATCAGCCTGACATGATGGTGAAACAGCCAGGGGAGCAGAGAATTGTGCAGAGAATGGCATCCTCGCCTTTCATTACAACTAAACTGAGTCTTTTTTATGTATGCCACATCTGTGATAAAGAACTTAGGAAGCACAGTGAAGATTGAAAAATATAGCAACAATTAATCACAATCTTGTATGCTATTCTCCCAATAAAACTAAAAAAGCAAAAATGTACAGGAAGATCGACAATGCAAGTAAGAGGGATACGAGAGAAAGGATATTTTCCAATTCTAGGTGAATTTCCTGTGTGCAAGACTTTGGGCTCTCACCTTCCTTGGCCAAAGTAGACAGCTCAGTTTGATGATTGACACTGCTTTCTTTAGCCTCTTGCTCCTCAATTGTTTCTTCTTCATCTTCAACTGGAACAAAACACAAATCTCAACAACTGAGATGAGTCTAAGAATATTCACACTGCTTCCAGAATACTTGAACTGACCATTTAATGTACTTATAAAGCCCTTTCACACACCTCACAAAATAGTCTCTTTTTAAAAAAATGAAACAAAACTGTAGAACACACACAATTATATTACACTGGCCATTTCTTCAAAGGAAAGGATAAGGGATCCAAATCGTCCAATGAAGATTTAGCATGTTCAGTGGCCATAGAATTCTGACAGACTGTAGGAGGGAAAAGAACCCAGAAAAAGGAAAATGGGTATGCTGATCAAGAGAACTCAGTTACACTGTAGGTCCTGCTTGTTTCTCCATGTTTAAAAGGAAATGGATGAGACTGGTATCTGGAATTAAAACAGCAGAGTTGCAGATGAAATGACTAACCTTCATCGTCTGTCAATGATGTGCTCGCTTTTCTCTTTCTTCCAGATGACCAAAAACCCTGAAAGACACACAAATACATCAAAACGTGTCAAGAGGAAGGCGTGTCAAGCCAACCCCAACTGAGACTGCCTTCCACCTGGAAACCAATGCCATCACTGCGGAAGAAGATGCAGATCAAGAATAGGGCTCCACAGCCACCTACAGACTCACAAGAATTCTGATCCTGGAAGACTTTCCTACTCGGCCAATGAGGGATTGCCTAAGTAAGTAAGTACATCAAATCCACATTAAGAGCTTCAGAGGTCTTCTTTGGTAAAGTGCCTTTGTAGCACAGTAAAACTTGGAGAAAGTATCTCTCAATGCTCCTCAGTCAAAGAAACATGCTACAATGTAATGTCAAAATGTAGCATTTCTTCCTATTAATTTCATTATAAAAAGGAAACAGGAGGGTGCAAACAACCTATGCTGGCAATCTGATGCTTTGCTTCAATTCAGTGGTTCCCAACTTGTGGTCCACAAGAACTAAAATATGGTCCACGGCCTCAGCATTATATCGTTGCCTTGAAACCATGTGGCAACGAGACCGAGTGGTCTCGCAAAATCCTCTTCCAGTGCCAAGGCAACGGAAATGTAGGGAGGGGAGAGGCTGACTACCCAAGAAAGATTACTACTACTACAACAGCTCTAGATTATTAAATGTGGTTTTCTGTAGGCAAGCAGATGGCGACTACTGGATGGCATATGTTCTGTATTGGTTGATGTGTTCTATCCAATGCAATTTTCTGAATCAGCACCCCAAATAACCAAACTGAATCTAAAGTTGACCAAAAACTGATTTGTAACTCTTTTGGTACTAATGTTGGAGAGTGGTCCCTGGTCAAGTGATCCCTGTTCAAGTGTCCCTGGTCAAAAAAAGGTTGGGAACCACTGCTCCAAGTCATATGCCATAAGTGGGCAAAAGCTGGGGTGTGTTCCTGACTTGAAGACGTGAAATCACCATAGCTTGGATTTCTTGTGCTTGTTACGTTTCGCAATTGAATTTGCAGCAAACGACTTCTATAGTTAGAAGACTCATCAAGACACTCGGGCCTGACAGAATGAAGGCTATAACTAACCTTTCCTATTATTAGACCTTGCTGCACATTCTATATTAATCTAACCTGCCAAGGAAAAACAATTCTGAGCCTCTTGCCTCTTGCCACCATCAATACAATACCATGGCCAGCCCAATTCCCTCTATCTTATGGGAAAGGGTGCAGCACAGTGGTAAAGCACTTGTTTCTAAAAGGAGACATTTGCACATTCTATACCTGGCATGACCAGCTAAAATGGCCAAGCAGCAGACAATGGAAAAGATCTCAGTTCAAGAACCCAGCCCAGAGAGCTGCCGTCAGTCAAAGATATTATTGACATAGATGAACAGACAAAACTTCATAAAAGATCCTCATTTTGAACCAAGAAACAAAAAAATAACCAGCAAACAATGGTTTTGATTTCACATGCTAGGTTTCCTATCTATACAAGTGCCGTGTCCAACATACAAGGCCCCATCTACACTGTCATACAATGAATGCAGTTTAAACTGTTTCATGTGGCCAGGGTAGACACCTATAATGCAGTTCAACTGCATTGAACTGCATAGTATCAGTCTACACTGCATTATATGGCAGTGTATAAATGTTTTTACTGTATTCCATAAACTTTCACATGGGAATAACTCTGGCCCACTTTGTTTCAAATGGAAATAAAATATAAATTAAATCCAATATACTCACTGGAGAAAGGGGATAGGAAAAGAATCTTACCAGATCTGCTTCTTTTTGCAGCAGGCAATCTTCTAAATGCCTTATATCTTTACCTGTAAAAAATAAAAGAGTTTTATGCAGTGTTAAAGACACTTAAGATGGTCAGCATATATGAATGTTCAAATTCACTCAGGAAATTGAAAATAAAGCCCAGCAAGATTACAATGTTACTTAATCCTGCATGGTCAGCAATGCTAGGTTCAGAATTATGACGACTAACAAATAGTATTGCCTAACTCCAATATTATTTACAAGGCTTGCTCAGATATGGCAACACACTAATCTGGTATTTTATAATCACATATGTAACCAAATCCCCATCTAACTCTGAATGTGCTCTACTTTCTCTCATGGATATCTGACACCAGTCTATAAAAATAGATATTACAATTCAGATGTTACCTTAAACCACCAGTTGGTGGTATGTGAGTAAGTCCTTTTCCCATATTCTAGCCCAGTGGTTCTCAATAGGGCTGGGCGGTTTCGTTTCGTTAATTCGTAATTCGTTAAAAAATTCGTTAATTTTTCAATTACAAAACGATAACGAACCAGTCTGGAGCAATTTTTTTAAAAAAACGAATGTTTAAATCGTTTCGTAAATGTTTTGTATTTCATTATTGTAGTCGTTTCGTTATCGTTTTGAGGTCGTTTTGTTATTATTTCCGCATGTCTGGGGCAAGTTTTATAGTTGTTTTTGGTTTTCTAAGGGTTTTTATAGTTGTTTTTGGTTTAATTAAGCTTCAGAAGTTCCCCCTGTCCCATTTGGAGGTTTTTTAGCGTATTGCGCGGTCACGTCCGCCATTAACGAATCAATTCGTTATTGTTTCGGAAATCGATTCGTTATTGTTTTGTAGTTTTTTCACATTTACGAAATTTCGTAAATATCGAACTTTTTTAAGGAAAATTTTGTAATTATTTTAAATAACGAAACGCAAAAAAACCCCAAAAAACGAATCGATTTTAGAAACAAATTTTTCCGTTGTTACCCAGGCCTAGTTCTCAACCTGGGGTCCCCAGATGTTTTTGGCCTTCAACTCCCAGAAATCCTAATAGCTGGTAAACTGGCTGGGATTTCTGGGAGTTGTAGGCCAAAACTCCTGGGGACCCACAGGCTGAGAACCACTGTTCTAGTCAAATATGCTGGCTTGCATATAACAGCAAACTATGTTTTACCAAAGATGTGACAGAAAGGAGGAAGGCACAGAAGGGATCTTAACTGAGATACACAAAGCTTAACTCAGAAGAGAATCAAAAGATATTGGGGTCAAGCAAGATGGAAACAGTTTATTTTCATGGATAGCAATGGTGTATCCCCATAGTCCTTTCAACCAAGACTATCCATCCTAATTTAAGTTTTTATTCCTTTTGCATATTCATTCCATTTTATTTGCTTTACCATTTTTGACAGTTTGCAACACAAACACAAAATTAAAAAGAAATACATAAGAGTAATTACAAAAACATATACAACTGGAAACCAAAAATGAATGGTTATTGCTGATCTTTCATTTTTAAACTCAAAAAGACATAAGCAAAATTAAAATAATAATATAGGAAGAGCATTAACAGGGATGAGGTGAAGTTCCTATATATTTAATCATCTCTAGAAACCATGCATAATGTCTTTATGGCTCTTTTTTTACAATACAATACTGTGATCTTATTTGCAGTAAAAAGGGAAATGGAAAAGAATTACCTCTCTTTGAATGTCTCTTTAAATTTAATGCTTTTTTCCTTTTCTCTTGAAATTCTATCTGCAGTTTTATTTCTACAACCTGAGGAATACAACAAAGAATGTGACATGTATGAGAAACAAACAGACCAGGAACTCCATGTTTAAGGCTTCAGTGAGAGACACTGGAGAGAGTAGAGGAGGCACTATTGAAACTGCAAAAATTCAAACTGCAAAAATCTAATTAGGGAAAAGACTAATGACAAATACCTTTAAAATCTTAGTAAGATCAATAATCCATAAAATATGCTAGTTGCATTCCCAGAATGTTAAAATAGGATTCTAGAAAATGTTGGTGTATGTTCACACTGCAAGCTGGTGCTTGGTTCCATTTGCTTTGCTTTTCAACACTATCACCGCCACTAAACAAACAGCTCAACAACATCTGGACATAAATTCCCCACCTCTAGTTTAGGGGATCATTCAAATTGGGGCCAGGGTAAAGCAGTGGGTTAAACCACCAACTGCAGAAAATCTGCTGACCAGAGGGTTAGCAGTTCGAAGCTGCAAGTCGGGTGAGCTTTCGCTGTTAGCCCTAGCTTCTACCAACCTAGCAGTTCAAAAGAATGCAATGTGAGTAGATCAACAGATATCACCTCAGCAGGAAGGTAAAATGGCACCCCATGTAGACATGCCAGCAAAACATGATCGGAGATGTCTACGGACAACAGGCTCCTCAACATGGAAAAATGGAACAAGAGCACCTTCCCATGGCCGGAGTTGAGCATCGCCTCCAGACACCAGAGATGAAAGGGGAAGGCTTTTCATTGTTGTTCACTGTGTAAAAGGCATTGAATGTTTGCCTTATATCTGTACACTGCAATCCGCTCTGAGTCTCTCCGGGGAGATAAAGCGGAATATAAATAAAGTGTATTATTATTATTATTATTACTATTATTATTATTATTAAATTTGACGTCCCTGCTTGCTTTTCTTTTCTACAAGCCAGAACTGCAAACCAAATTTTCTTCTTGGTTTATAATTGTTGGCTTGTTAGGAGAGCAACAGGTAATTGGGGGGGGGGGGGGGGGGGGGGGGAGAGAGAGATAATAGAAATGGACACAATGCCATTGCAGTATAAGTCTTTGGACATATTTTTATAAGAATGGAAAGAATGAGGGAAAAGACTTTATCTATAGGCTTGGAAATATAAACTGGTGAGATATTTATTAATGTTAAAATAAGCAGAAGTAAACTATTTGTGGAAAATAAGGTGTAAATTTCCACAAGACTAGTCCCAGTGGAGGACATTGCTAATTACAGCCTCATTCAAGGATGAAAGTGTTTTAAGACTAGACTGTTTGATTTTCAGCTGAAAAAGAAAACAATACCTGTTCAATATTGAACCAGAAGTACTCTATCTCTCTCGCAATCATTGCAGCAAGGCGCCTGAGCTTGTTCTCTTCCTCTTTCTTAGCCCTTTCTTCATTAAGTTTCTTTTCCTCATGATAGCGAGCCACGGTCCGGACCATCTAATAGAAAAATTAAAAAACAGCGCACTGATTCAAGTCTTTATTTGTATACCTTTTGTAGTTATTATTTGTAGCATGATTTTAGCAAATCCAATCCTAAAGCAGGCTACTTTTAGGAAGTTGCCATGCATATGACCAAACTATTTGTCCAAGTAGCTCTTGGGACTTCTAATTTAATGGGCAGTGTCCTGATCTTCCAGGCTGCCTCAATAACACTATGTAACACGATATTTGTTCCCGAGTCAGACATGTCATTTCTTAATAGGTTCTATCAAAGAAACATGAAAAAGGTATTAAACTGCAAAAACTTTGTTTTTGCGGAAAATCTGCAGCACATTTTGCTATAGTTTTTCAATGAGTATCTCATAAAGAGTCTCAACCAATTCAACCTAGTTTGTGGCAGTCCCAAAAACAAAGTTTCTGGAGTATAACAATTACTTTTAAAGTAAGTACACATATTTAAACAGGAAATAACACTTTGAAACCAGGAACAGATTTTTTTTTCACTTTTTGCTACACAGTGTAATCTAAATAAATATTGAGGTAAAATTATGAAGTAAAATCTGTGAAGTAAGCTCTAGTTCAGTGCTTTGCAATGATGTTGAAGTGGAAGTTGCTTGTAAAATGAATCTGCCTTTCAGAACCACAACAATATTTAATTAGTAGTTAACATGCGGGAGTTAGTGTGGTGTAGTGGGATGAGAGTTGGACTATGACTCTAGAGACCTGGGTCCAAATCCCAACTCAGCCATGGAAATTCACTGGGCAGATGTAGGGAAGTCACGCCAGACTCAGAGGAAAGCAAAAGCAAACCTCCTCTGCAGAAATCATGTCAAGAAAATCCCATGATAGGGTCACCATAAGTCAGAAATGCCTTGAAGGCACTCAAGTTAACAAACAAATATTGTAAATTATTGTCATTTTTATTATTATAATAACCACTATGAGTGGCTATGCAAAAGTGTGTGTTCACAGAGAAATAGCATAATGTTCCCATGATGTTGACCCCCCCCCCCAGGTGCTTTGGAGTGCAACTCCCATCATCCTTCACCATTTGCCATGTTGGATGGGGCTGATTTTATTATTATTATTATTATTATTATTATTATTATTAAAGTTTATTTGTACCCCGCTAGCATCTCCCGAAGGACTCGATGCGGCTTACAAAGGCCAAGGCCTCAACACACAATATAACAATACAAAACCTAAAGCAAATTAAAACAATTAAAGCAAAATAAACAACAGGCAATAAACAATACACAAGACACAATAAAACTGGGCCGGGCCAGAGTAATGGGTACAAGATTAAAAGTGCTGATGTGACGGGAGGTATATAAGGCATTATAGGGCAAGTGCAATATGCGGTGTGCAGCAATCTTATTTCAAGTAAAGTGCTTATGGGACTTGGTGTTGGAGATTTCCTAGTCTGGGAAGGCGCATCGGAACAGCCAGGTCTTCAAGTTCTTTCTGAAGACTGCCAATGTAGGGGCCTGTCTAAGATCTTTGGGGAGGGTGTTCCAGAGTGGGGGGGCCACCACAGAAAAGGCCCTGTCTCGTGTCCCCACCAAATGCGCTTGCGACGCAGGCGGGATCACGAGCAGGGCCTCTCCAGATGACCGAAGTGAACGCGTGGGTTCGTAGATGGAGATGTGGTCACGCAGGTAGGGTGGTCCCAAACCGTTCAGGGCTTTGTAGGTAAGCACCTACACCTTAAATTGGGCTCGGAAAATAAACGGCAGCCAGTGGAGCTCCTTGAACAGGAGGGTTGACCTCTCTCTGTAAGGGGCCCCAGTTAACATCCTGATTTGAGTTGTAGAACAAGATACCTTGAAGACATCAGGTTCCATACTCCCGACATAGACTGTACTTGGACAGACATAAAGAAGGAAAGACCATGCCTGTCTCTTAAAAACCCCTCCCACCTAGGTCTGCATCACAGTAACTGGACAATGTTGGCCTAAAGAATAAACAAACCTTGGGATATTTGGAAAGCCTTTCATTTTGTGACCTACACAGGAACACATCAGAACCTGCACTTTGGGAAAGTTCAAGAAGCCAGGCTGCTTAAACTTTCCCATTCACAACCCCTTCCATCCCACTAAATTTTTACGTGACCCTAGGTAAATAGGTATCTACGATATAAAAATCAAGCATATACTGGTAACAAATCAACATTTGCTAGGATTGCTAAACAGGCTGATTTTCCTTTTTATGAAGTACAGCTGAAGCATCTGCTGCAGAATCCACTGTAAACACTGCATAACAGATGTCATTATTAAGACTCCAACACTGAACTAAGGGGGGATCCATTTGGGATTGGGACCCACAGCTGAAGAAGCACTGCACTAGCTCAAGAAAACTTTTATCATAATATCCTGATTCAGACACCATATCTTGGCTGATTAAGCTTTATCCAACCTCACAATACTTTCCCTCTCCTATGCTATGATTCTATTATTAGACTAATTAAATCCTGCTTCCTATTACATTTGGAACTGAAAAGCAATGTTTCCCAAATGCAAAAGAAGTCAGGATCTCTAAAACATTGTCACCACACGGTCCGTATCTTGGGTGCCACATCTTTCATACTTTGAGGTCCGTAGAAACTATCGTTAATTAACCCAAGCTGTGCTAAACCCAAATGTGCCAAGAAGGGAAAGGGACAGCTCACGGACAGGCCCAAACCCCTGAGCAGCAGCTCAAACACATCAATTTTGTTGATATCTTCACCCCTAAAGAAGATTTCAAGCTGTAGGAAACAGGGTAGGATAAAGTGCTGAACTTTAGCTGCTAAAATGCCAGATCAAGAAATGGGATGAGACTGAACTCACCTTTCAACTACAGCCCCCAACCCATACATATATCTTCAAATTGCTACTCTAGGGGATTGGGAAACCTTCTGGAGTCAATTTTCAAGCAGCTATGAGAGCTACAGGAGGACAAGGAAGTAGTATCATTGGGACACAGAGTTGAGGCCCAAAAAGATTGTTTCTGTTTTCTTGTGACACAGAAGTGCCATCCAATGTGCAATCTGGGCAACGCAGTAGGATCTCAGAACAGTGCCAGTTCTAGATCATGCAAACACGAGAAAATAAGTGTATCCCGACCTTCTTAGCAGTGGCCATTTTCCATTTCCTTTCTTGAGCAAAGTCTGTTGCCATCCACTGCATTTCCTCCAGGAGATAATCCCATTGAGATTTGGGTCTGGGTACCTCCTGAAGTTTGGGCAACCGTCTCAGAGACCACAAACCTTCCTTTCTCAACTCTGCTATTCGTTGGTGGACTTGGTTTTCCTTTATGAAGAAAGGAAAGACAAGATTATGAACACAATGCATTTTCAGAAAGCTGAAGACATCAAAACACTCAAGCAGAGAGGTAATCCAGATAGCACGAGCTACAGCAAACCACTCAAAGTGACAAAACATACTGTGAAAGAAGAAAATACAGGCCACATGATCCATAAAAAGCTGTAGCTTAGAAGGGTTCCTTGCTTAAGACAGCACAAGAGAAGCAAACTAAGAGAGACTGCCCCCATCCCTTGCCAACATGCAGCCTGGTGGGCAGATGCAGGCCTCACAAGGCTTTGATGCAGCCCACAAAAGCTCTCAGTCTAAGCCTTAGAGAAAAGAGGTCACAGGCAGAGTTACAACAGAGAACAATTGAATCCCATCATTCTCCCCTCCAAGTGTTTTACCTCTATGCATTTCCTTTCTCTATGCACCAGTGTTACCAAACTGACCTGTGACAAAGAGGTCACCACCGATCAGGATGCTGGAAGTGTTGGTCTTGGTTGGAAACACAGCCTGGGGAGGTCGTTGGACAGGTTAGAGGAGTGGGGAGCAGAGATGATATTTTAAGGGCTAGTAGACCTTTTCTCGAGCAGGTGGTAGAATCTTGTGCTCCATGTTGAAATTTAAAACTAGACTGGCCATTTTAGAGGGAGGTGGTAAAGGCGAGGTGTCTCAGTTGTCGCCTCTGCTGCTTTTGCTTTTTCTTTGTCCCTAGGTTGCCTCTGTCATCTCCTTCTCATCTGGTGGCAAATCCACCAATTCTACATAGTTAATTTCCCTCTATATGAGGGAGAAACTTAGCTTCAAGACAAAGTTGTTGCAAGGTCTTCACAGTGAAGTGAAGTTTCTCCCTCACAAGCAAGGGAAATGAATGGTGCAGAGTTGGCAATTTTCTCTTCAGAGGAGGAGAGCAAAACTTTGTCAACCCAACTTTAACAAAGTATATCAGGGAGAACTGAAAGGTTTTATATTATCTTTTTCCTGACCAGTCTCCTGAAACTACAGCCAAAGTTGTGAATTTCTGTGCAGCAGCAATAGCTTAACAGTGCAAGATGCTGTCACAGACTTAAAAGGTTCTATTATTTTATCTCAGCTTTTATCACTATTATTCAAATATAACAATTTTATCACTGTTTTTAACTCTCATATACCACATTATGTCTTAATGCTGCTTTTAAAAACTGTATTTTAATGCCTAAACACTGTTGGAATACCACAGCACTAAAGCAAAGAAAAAAGGTGAAGTGTCACCGCATTCCTACCCCCCTCACTTGAAGGTGCATAGTCAGCAGGTAGAACATAGTAACTCTGGAGCATGGGGAGAAACCGAAAGCTGGGAGGTAAGAGGAAAATGGAGTACCTTAAAAAAAGGAATAGTTAATTGGCTAGAATTCTGACAAGAACCAATCCATATTGCAATGCTTGTTGCTGTACGTCTCTTTTTTGTGCACCCAATTCTAGAGGCTTATAGTCCAGAATGGTTTTTGCAAAAGATAAAAATACACTCAGAGAAAATAACCCGAATCAAAAAGATCCAAGTCATTAAGAAGGTATCTGCCTGGTACAGTGGTACAACAAATCACCAAGGTTTCATAATGTAGCAGACTGGGGAGAAACCTCTAGGCAGCCATGTAAGTATACAAACATCACAGAAGAAGACACAACCTCCAAGATATTCACTGGCCATTTAAAAGCATCTACTGGGGAAAAAACAGCAAAGGGGATTAAAAGGCTGCTGCCTCTAGTGCTATAAAATGCTATGGTTTATCATGCAAACTGCAGAGAAAACCAATTAATGACATTTGCATCAGCACATGAACTATACTGGATTACAAAATACATAGTAGCACTATGTGCATGAGTTCGCAAAGAGAAGTCAATCAATCTGGACCAATGATTAGCAAATGCAGAAACACACAAAGAAGGCGCAGACTCAAGGGGTTAGCTCAAAGAATGCCAAAAGAGATTTATATTTTTGAGATCACATTCTTTCAGTCTATACAGGGTTGGCTTAGTACGAGAAATACAATGAAAGTTTCAAATGTTTTCCTTGTTCAGTACTACCAAAAGTAGTACATCCTCGATGATGTTAGATCAGCCTCCTCCCTTCTGACCTTCCGCAAGAGAGTGCAAACATGGCTTTGTGACCAAGCCTTTAGAGAACTTATGCAATAGATAGACTTGGAATAATGTGCAATGACTGTTGGAACGGCCCGGATTATGCTCATGGATTACATGTTTAACTCTTAATGTATTGTTTTTAAATGTTTTAATGTACTTTTAAATTCTATTTTAATATTTATTTACATGTACATTGTTGTTTTAGGGCGTCAAATTGTTACATGCATGTAAAGCCGCCTTGAGTCCCCTCCGGGGTGAGAAAGACGGGGTAGAAATGTCGTAAATAAATAAATAAAAGCAGCCATGGTGGCGCAATGGGTTAAACTCCCTGCTGGCTGAACTGCTGACTTGAAGGTCGGCGGTTTAAATCCGCAAGATGGGATGAGTTTCCATCTGTCAGCTCCAGCTTCCTATGCGGGGACATGAGAAAAGCCTCCCACAGGATGGTAACACATACAGGCGTCCCCTGGTCAACATCCTTGCAGATGGCCAATTTTCTCCCACCAGAAGCGACTTGCAGTTTCTCAAGTCACTTCTGACACAATTTTAAAAATCTACCAAAAAAGCAGAAAACACTGGATACAGTACTATAAACCAAGAGCAATGAATCCATACAATACAAATAGCAAATTTATTAAAAGAACAAAAACAATCTTAAGCATATTCTATTTCCTGCTGGGGAATTGGGGCGGGGAGGGGGGTTGTCTTACCAGCTTAATTTGTTCTGCTAGTTTATCTTGGGAGCTGTCTTGGGGCAAAACTGCTACATTCTGAGCTGAACTCTGACTTTTTGCTGCTGTTACTGCCAAACCTGGAGGTTTGGAGGCAATCGAAGACACCAATTTATTTGCCGTTGGAGAAGTTCTGCTGGTTTGCAATGGATACGTTGACTGTGGTGCTGTACTGGTAATAGCTGCAGGTGGATTGGATGTAGTAGGAGGCAGGACGTTTGCTGGAAGACGCTGGAAATTTTGTACAGAGTCTGACGTGGCTCGCACTAGGGGAACAGTCTGTAAGCATACAAGTATATGTCATCTTAAGCTTGCAAACATATGCATATCCCAATGAGACCCTAGTGTCAGAGATCGGGAGTAGCCATTGCTTTCAATACTGTCAATAACGTTTATTTCTACAAAAAAACCCAGAAATGTTTGTTTTTGTGGGAGAAGATCCACGGGGAAGACAACTTTGGGATGGAGCCTAACCTTATCTCCTGGGACCCCAATGTTTAGACCAGGGTTTCTTAAACTTTTTCTACTCATGATCCTTTTTCACCTGAGAATGTGACCCCAGGTATATAGGTATATAACATAGGTATACAAATTAACCATTGATTCTATGATTTACTGATAATAAATAATGAAATATAATTTAAAATAATTCTTTGGTATATATACAATTTAACTACCATTTATTAAAGATGAAAGCAGATTTGCATATTAATAGGATGGATATGCTTATTTATTTTTACAAAAAAAGTTGAACTTTTGGCTGAATATTTGATACTACAGGATGTACAGCATCTTCAACATTTTGATATGGAGCCTTAAGTGACAGAAAATACTCTGTTGGCTCTCCTTTGTAAATGCCTACAAGCGACTAGGTAGACTCATCTTTTTCGCAACCTCCAGATTCACATAGGGGTAACAACACACAGTTTAAGAAACTTTGGTCTAGGCAAAAAGCTTTTTCCCAGTGAGCTGAATGGAAACCACTAAGACCTGAATAGCTCTTTTATAGGTACAAAGACATCTCTAATTATTGAGCAAGCATTTCAGCTTCCAATTTTCTAAGGCACAAAGCTTAATTACTACATGGCGGAAAGGTATATTGTGCATGCCACCAACATCAGTAGTACCGTGGGCAGGAACTAGAAAGCCTTTTAAGCAGTGGATTATTAGTCAGTAAAGGAAAAACCATACTCAACTCTTCAGGAAGGAATTTCTCAATGAGCAGCCTCTGATAACCACATTCTGTGCAAACGACTACAGGAAGTCCCCAAGCTACAAACATTCAACTTATAAATGACTCACAGTTAACAACGGGGGTGAGACAACAGGAAGTGAGAGAAATCTTCCTGTTCAAAGGGAAATTCACTCCTGCAAAAAGTCATCATGGGGGAAAGGTATCTCCACTGAAGTTTTCTCATCAATTATTTTTTCCACAACAAGCCATTTTTTTCAAAGTCCAATTCTCACAGGGACAGAAAGTGAGGTGAAATCTTCTCAACAGGGGCACAGACAGCAAAACAAACTCCATAGGGGTGTTAGCCCATCACTATGCTATCCAAAGCTTTGTATATATATATCTGGAGTTTCTCTTAAAACTACCGTATATTCCGGCATATAAGACGACTGGGCGTATAAGACGACCCCCAACTTTTCCAGTTAAAATATAGAGTTTGGGATATACTCGCCGTATAAGACCACCCCTCTTCCAATGCACACCAAATAATTTTTTAAAAAATCAGATTTGAATTCAATATGGTAATTTTAATTCAAATGCTTATGACATGCAGGTTCCTATGAGAGGGACATTGTACCTTACATTGGACATTATAGTTGTTCTTCCTCCCTTGAATTTCATTTACACTCTGGGTCCTTTACATCATGCTGGCAAGTATGAAAGCAGGCTTTAAATGGTTAAGATTACATTTATGTTGGCATAGAAGCTTGCATGCAAATAGAAGTCAGGCTTTGTACAATGAGTACTGAGGTGAAGGCAAAGCATTTGGAGAATTATTATCTATAAGCAGTCTTTATAAATCAGGACCTCCTATCAGAAGAGAGGGGCAGATTGGACCCTAATCCTTCAGAAATGTAGAATTTGGCATGGCACATGTTTACTTGGTCACATCTTGACATGTCTTCATCCTTAAATCACCGTGACAGCTTGAATTGTTTTAGAGTTTCTCAAGAACACAGCCAGGTGATGTTTAATTGTTAGAAGGGGAAAAGAGATCAGAAAAGAGGAATGGGGACCCTGGGTCAATAAGAGCTTTCCAGTTTGACTTCTGTCAAAAATGAAATGCAAAGATACAGGATGGGGGACGCGTGGCTCAAGAGCGGTATGTGTGAAAAAGATCTTGGGGTCCTTGTGGACAACAAGTTAAAAATGAGCCAACAATGTCATGCGGTGGCAAAAAAAAAAAAAAGCCAATGGGATTTTGGCCTGCATCAAGAGGAGCATAGTGTCTAGATCTAGGGAAGTAATGCTACCCATGCTCTATTCTACTCTGGTTAGACCACACCTGGAATATTGCGTCCAATTCTGGGCACCACAATTGAAGAGAGATATTGACAAGCTGGAATGTGTCCAGAGGAGGGCGACTAAAATGATCAAGGGTCTGGAGAACAAGCCCTATGAGGAGCGGCTTAAAGAGCTGGGCATGTTTAGCCTGATGAAGAGAAGGCTGAGAGGAGACATGATAGCCATCTATAAATATGTGAGAGGAAGTCATAGGCAGGAGGGAGCAAGCTCAAGGGTCTGGAGAACAAGCCCTATGAGGAGGCTTAAAGAGCTGGCATGTTTAGCTGAAGAAGAGAAGGCTGAGAGGAGACATGATGAGAGCCATGTATAAATATGTGAGAAGTCATAGGGAGGAGAGAGCAGATCAAGGGTCTGGAGAACAAGCCCTATGAGGAGCGGCTTAAAGAGCTGGGCATGTTTAGTCTGAAGAAGAGAAGGCTGAGAGGAGACATGATGAGAGCCATGTATAAATATGTGAGAGGAAGTCATAGGGAGGAGAGAGCAGATCAAGGGTCTGGAGAACAAGCCCTATGAGGAGTGGCTTAAAGAGCTGGGTATGTTTAGCCTGAAGAAGAGAAGGCTGAGAGGAGACATGATGAGAGCCATGTATAAATATGTGAGAGGAAGTCATAGGGAGGAGAGAGCAGATCAAGGGTCTGGAGGACAAGCCCTATGAGGAGCGGCTTAAAGAGCTGGGTATGTTTAGCCTGAAGAAGAGAAGGCTGAGAGGAGACATGATGAGAGCCATGTATAAATATGTGAGAGGAAGTCATAGGGAGGAGAGAGCAGATCAAGGGTCTGGAGAACAAGTCCTATGAGGAGTGGCTTAAAGAGCTGGGTATGTTTAGTCTGAAGAAGAAGGCTGAGAGGAGACATGATGAGAGCCATGTATAAATATGTGAGAGGAAGTCATAGGGAGGAGAGACCAGATCAAGGGTCTGGAGGACAAGCCCTATGTGGAGTGGCTTAAAGAGCTGGGTATGTTTAGCCTGAAGAAGAGAAGGCTGAGAGGAGACATGATGAGAGCCATGTATAAATATGTGAGAGAAGTCATAGGGAGGAGAGAGCAGATCAAGGGTCTGGAGAACAAGCCCTATGAGGAGTGGCTTAAAGAGCTGGGTATGTTTAGTCTGAAGAAGAGAAGGCTGAGAGGAGACATGATGAGAGCCATGTATAAATATGTGAGAGGAAGTCATAGGGAGGAGAGAGCAGATCAAGGGTCTGGAGGACAAGCCCTATGAGGAGTGGCTTAAAGAGCTGGGCATGTTTAGCCTGAAGAAGAGAAGGCTGAGAGGAGACATGATGATAGCCATGTATAAATACGTGAGAGGAAGTCGAAGGGAGGAAGGAGCGGATCAAGGGTCTGGAGAACAAGCCCTATGAGGAGCGGCTTAAAGAGCTGGGCATGTTTAGGCTGAAGAAGAGAAGGCTGAGAGGAGACATGATAGCCATGTATAAATATGTGAGAGGAAGTCATAGGGAGGAGAGAGCATATCAAGGGTCTGGAGAACAAGCCCTATGAGGAGCGGCTTAAAGAGCTGGGTATGTTTAGCCTGAAGAAGAGAAGGCTGAGAGGAGACATGATGAGAGCCATGTATAAATATGTGAGAGGAAGTCATAGGGAGGAGAGAGCAGATCAAGGGTCTGGAGGACAAGCCCTATGAGGAGTGGCTTAAAGAGCTGGGTATGTTTAGCCTGAAGAAGAGAAGGCTGAGAGGAGACATGATGAGAGTCATGTATAAATATGTGAGAGGAAGTCATAGCAAGGAGAGAGCAGATCAAGGGTCTGGAGGACAAGCCCTATGAGGAGCGGCTTAAAGAGCTGGGCATGTTTAGTCTGAAGAAGAGAAGGCTGAGAGGAGACATGATGAGAGCCATGTATAAATATGTGAGAGGAAGTCATAGGGAGGAGAGAGCAGATCAAGGGTCTGGAGAACAAGCCCTATGAGGAGCGGCTTAAAGAGCTGGGCATGTTTAGCCTGAAGAAGAGAAGGCTGAGAGGAGACATGATGAGAGCCATGTATAAATATGTGAGAGGAAGTCATAGGGAGGAGAGAGCAGATCAAGGGTCTGGAGGACAAGCCCTATGAGGAGTGGCTTAAAGAGCTGGGTATGTTTAGCCTGAAGAAGAGAAGGCTGAGAGGAGACATGATGAGAGCCATGTATAATATATGAGAGGAAGTCATAGGGAGGAGAGAGCAGATCAAGGGTCTGGAGGACAAGCCCTATGAGGGGTGGCTTAAAGAGCTGGGTATAAATATGTGAGAGGAAGTCATAGGGAGGGGGGAGGGAGGGAGGGAGGGAGGGGGCTAGGAGGAGGAGCGGCAGGCAGAGTGGTAGCCTACTGGGCTGTCTTCATCCTCGCAGGCATTGACTTGGCTCCGCCTCCGGCCTCCATCTCAGAACAGCTGCTGCAGGAGGGAGCCAAAGCCCGAGGGGCGGGGGCGGGGCCTCTGGCTGCTCCGCCCCGCCCCCGCAGAGGGCCCCGCCCCCCGGTCCCACCCCCCTGCGGAGGCTTCAGCTCCTGCTGCTTTTCCAGGCCGGCGGGGGTGTTTGCATGCTGTGCTGTCCCCTCCGCCACTGGTCTGCTGCTACCTCCGCCTCTTGCCTCAAGTTCAGAGCAATTGCCGAGGGAACCAAAACCGGAGCGTGGGCGGGGCCGCGAGGGGCGGGGTCCTCTTCTCCCACTGCCTCCCTGCTCTGGGTTTGGTTCCCTCGGCAGTTGCTCTGGCTTTGAGGCCAGAGGCGGAGCTAGCAGCAGACCAGTGGCGGAGGGGACAGCACAGCATGCAAGCAACCCCCGCCGTCCTGGTAAAGCAGCAGGAGTTGAAGCCTCCGCAGGGGGGCGGGACCGGGGGCGGGACCCTCCGCGGGGGCGGGGCGGAGCAGCCAGAGGCCCTGCCCCCGCCCCTCCGGCTTTGGCTCCTGCAGCAGCTGTTCTGGGATTAGAGGCCGGAGGCGGAGCCAAGTCAATGCCGGCGAGGGTGAAAACAGCCCAGTAGGCTACCATGCTGCCAGCTTGGTAGCGAAGCCTGCCGGTGCTCCTCCTCGCCCCCTCCCTGCCTCCCCCCCTCCGCCCTCCGCCCCCCCCTCCTCAGGCTCCACCACGCGGGGACGCCAAGGGCGAGGGAGACGAGGGAAAAATGATGCCAAAAATTTTATACCGGGGTACAAGACGACTCCCCACTTTTGAGCTGATTTTCCTGGCTTAGAAAGTCGTCTTGTACCCCGGAATATACGGTACCTGTTCTGAATCACATACAAATTCAACTTAAGGACAAACGTACAGGATCTTGTTTGTAACTTGGGACCACCTGTACACGGGACAAAAAACACAGAAAGGAAAATGGATGTTGCACCCAAGTATAAAATATGCATGCCACATGCCATATTTGAATGAAAACCTTCCATATGCATGGATGCTGCAAACCCAGCATCAATGGCCTGAACGAAGGAGTGATCCAGTTGCCTACCCTGGATGGCGTGACATTATGCCCATCATCTTTGGTAAAGAGTCTGGGAGTCCTTTTAGACCCTCTGCTGATGATGGAGGCCCAGGCCTCCGCTGCGAGCAGAGTCACATTTTTCCATCTGCATCAGGCTAGGCTTCTGGCTCCCTATCTGTCCAGGGACGACCTGGTCACAGTGATCCAGGCTACGGTCATCTCAAGGTTGGACTACTGTAACGCCCTCTACATAGGTCTGCCTTTATCGATGATCCGGAAACTTAAACTAGTGCAAAATGCTGCTGCCCGGCTTCTCGCAGGGGTTCCAGCGAAGTGTCATATCACTCCAATCTTGCAGCAACTGCACTGGTTGCCGATTGAGCACCAGATTACCTTCAAAGTGCTGATTCTTACTTTTAAGGCCTAATATGGCCTGGGGCCGGAGTACCTGAGGGACCGCCCCACCCCCTACCAAACCCCAAGATCACTTCGTTCAGACAATCAAAATTTCCTTGAAGTTCCCAATTTTCACCTGATGTCTACTAGGCATAGAGCATTCACGGTGGTGGCTCCTTACCTGTGGGATGCCTTGCCAGCAGAAACACGAGCTCTCCGAGACTTACTATCTTTTCGTAGAGCTTGTAAAACTTATTTATTTAGGCTGGTATTTGAATCTTGTTGACTGAAATTTTTCTTTGATTTTAAATGTAATGTATCACATATGTATATTGTAAACCGCTCCGAGCTTTCGGGAAATGGCGTTATATAAAATTGATAAATAAATAAATAAATGTTTTGTGAAACAAAATCCAAAAAAGCAAACCTTGATTTTCTCATTTTGTATAAGGGACATCATTTTACTGTCCTATTGTACATTGTAGGGTTTGAGCGGTCACAGATTCTAGTATCGGGTGGGGGAGGGGGGAGGATTTCTTGAACCAAATTGCAGTAGATACTAAGGGGTTTGTATACACTTAATTACTTCTCTACTTGCTTGTGCTCAGTGATCAGCTATTCTATCATACATATATTTTGAGGCAGCTAACATATTTAAAGTATTTATTCTTCCCTTTTTCTATTCATGTCATCTAAAACAAGGCCTCTTAAACTTTTTCCACTAACAACCCCTTTCTGCCCTAGAATGTTTACATGACCCCCAAGCCATGTTATATATAGGTATAAAAATCAAATATTTACTGATAATAAGTCAGCATTTACAAAGTTTGCTAAACAGGCTAGTTTTTCTTTTTTATGAAGTATAGCTGAAGCATCTACTGCAGCGTCAACTGTAATCACTGAGTTAAGGGGACCTTCTTACACTGTCAGGACCCATAGGTTAAAAAGTTGGGATCTAAAATAGCTCACCAATGAAGTTGCTGTTTTTTATTCATACAAAGCACAAGACTGCTGCTGAAAAATGTTGATTTATAGACCACACTGCGTAATCTTTTTGAAACAGTTTCAACACAGAACATTGTGTATCAGTCTTCAAAACAAGTTTTCCATCAATTAGACATTCAGGAACAAGTACCTGCTGCTGTGCTGAAGCTTGAGGTTGGGAGATCTGTGTTGTTATTTGTCCTTGCATGTGTGCTGCTGGCTGCACTGGTACCTGAACCTGGCCATGCAGCATAGAGGTAGCAACACTTTGGGGCTGGGTCTTCACATGAAGTGGAGGTTGCACTGGTGCATCTGTTATCTGTGGTGGCGGTTGCACGAGTTGCAGCGTTGTTGGGAGTGACGTGATGGGGATGTTGGTTGGCTGCAGCCTCCCAGGCAGTTGAGGAGGAGGAGTGTGTAGACTTGCTGCATTTTGAACCGGAGGCCCTTTTGAAGGGTCATACTGTTGCTGGCTCTGCTTCTGCCCTGTGAGCTGCACTGCCTGTGGGGTGGGAGGCATTCCACCTACAAAGCAGGAATAAAAATGGAAAGAGCTCTGTTTTAAAAAACTCCATGGAACAGCTGAGTCCATGGACTCAAGTGATGTCACAGCACCATCAAGGAGAGAAAAGTTAACTTTTTACTTAATTAGCCACACAGCACCAGAGGTTAAATAAAATGTCCTGGGATAATCACAACAAGAAATTCAATAAACACAAGTTTTCCATGCAACAAACATGGATTTTTTAAAATCAACAACAACAACAGCAACAACGTCAGCACACACAAAACAAACAGATTTCACCACTAAGTGGTTGCTTACATGTCCTATGATTTCAAAATATGTCTGATAGTTAACTACAGTGGGGAAAAACACAGCACCAATGTATAAACTAATATGTAATTACAAAAATACTTGTGTACTAATGAGAGCCATCCTCGACAAAAAGAGCTGCATTGTTTTGCACAACTGTTTTCCATGCCCACATGCACCACTAGAGCCCATCACTCAGCTCCTTTGACATGAACAAGGCATTTCACACCAAACATTAATTTACAAGAGGGAAAGACAGGATGGAATCAGAGATCTCAGAAGGGCTCAGTTCTGTGAGGTTTCTGCTTCCAGCACAGTCGTACCCCCTTGCTAAATTAATCTGCGGTTGGCATGTGGTGACACAGTACCTTGTGCTGTTGGCATGAGCTGTTGAAGAGGGACTCCTGAAGCCACGCCTGGATGCTGAAAAACCATCCCATGACGGCCCACTTCAATTCGGGGTCTCTTAGACGAATCTGGTGATATTCAAATTCCATTTACGGCAGGATATAGTGGTAGGGGTTTCAGTTTACAATGTTTACAAAAATGCCCCATGAATGCAATGATCAGCTTTGGAATCTAACACATCTACTGGGAAAACACAGCTTCACTATATGAGATGCTTTGTGAAAGCCAACCTCTTGGCTGTGAGAGATGTATAGGACACTCACTGGACTTCCCCTCACAACAAACACGTCAAACTGAAAACAAAGTTTATTTAAATAAGCAATAAAAGGCAGAAGATGTTCTTTTCGTTAAGCCTAAAAGGATCATCAAAATTACACTGAAAAGTGTCATACCTGCAGAAGTAAGTGCTTGCTGTCTCTTAAAAGCTTCAATTTCTATGGCATTCACAGTTCCTGTTACTGGAGTCCCTGCATGCACCTGCTATTATAAAACAAAACAAAATAGTCAAAATTCAGCTAAATTATCAGCTTTCGACAGCAGCCACAGAGTCTTACTGGCATTCTTTTATCAGCTGTATCAACAAAATCTGGTCGGTTTTGAAAATGAAGCAATGTAAAAAAACAATTTTCAATATGTATACCACTGCCTTTGAGATTACTTAAGATAACTTTGCATCCATTTTATAAAGAGTCTTTCTTTTGAAAAGGTACCCTTGATTTACAGGAAGAAAGATGTATGCCGCATATAAATGCATAGGATCTCTTTCCTAGTAATATGAATGCATATTAATAGCTTCCTTTGTCAAGCTCAAAAGCATCATATGCTTGGTCCTGTAATAAAGCATTGCACTCTTTACATCCCCCAAGGGTTGTCAAGGAGAGGAGGTTGCTAGACTTTTCTCATTGCCCTGGAAGGTAGATTCAGGTCTAATGGCAGCAGTTTAGTTTTCTGCTGTTCCAGAGACTAGGACATGGAGCAATGGATTCAAAATGCAGGAAAAGGTATTCCCCTCAACATTAGGAAGAATCTCATGGTGGTAGGAGCTGTTGGTCAGTGGAATATGCTGCTAAATGGGAGTCTGACAGAGTCTCCTTCTCTGGAAGTTTTTAAGCAGCGGCTGAATGACCACCTCTAAAGAGTATTCTGAATTGTGTATTCCTGCATGATAGAAGCGGGTTTTACTGGATGACCCTTGGGGTCGCTTCCAACTATAGGATTCTAGCCACAAAAGGGTAGAATTCCACCGAGTATCCGAAAGAACTTGATGGTAAGAGCAGTTAGGCAATGGACCCACCTGCCAACAAAGGTGGTTCATTCTCCTTCCCTGAGCTTTTTCAAAAGGAGACTGGACAGCTACCTGCTGGAAACACTTTAGCTGGAGATCCTGCACTGAACAGTGGGTTGAACTTGGTGGCTTATGAGGCCCTTTCTAATTCTATGACTTTACGTTACATTACAATTCGAAACACAAAGAGCTCAGAGCTTGCAGGAGTACTTACACTACTCCTACCATAAAACCTAGTGCATTTCCTCCATCTCCAAACATACAGGATATTTCCAGTTCCCAAAACACTTAACCGTCCAATCTCACTGTACATAAAAAACAACAGTAAAACAGATCTATTACCAAGAAAGAAGAAATGTAAAATGATCTTTTGCTAGCATAATCTACAAGCGCATGGATTACATCATTCCTTACCAGCAGATGTAATCCATTAAGAAAATTATTACATACTAGCAACATGCCCATTATTACTACAACGTGCCATATGTAAGCGGAGGGCTTTTATTACATATTTGTAGGGGGAGGTTTTTGTCTCTACAAAGAGGCAATTGTAATCCCACTGAGAATGGATGGTTTAGAACCAGTTTAGACATGAAGGAAACGTTTTATGTTACCAGTGTCTCCAGATGTTGAATGACTGATACAGAGTAAAGAAAATGGGAGTACATATGGACACAAGTGGACTTGCTCCTGGTAATTCATTCCTAGCCACCGAGATGCAACTTGCTCCCATCTACATAAGCACAAGATAGATTTTGTTCTTAGTCGCTACAAACTGTGATAAGATTATTAGATTATTTTACATATGATTAAATAATCCTGAGGTAAGCCACTCCACTGTCAAAGAAGGGCAAATCAAAACTCACTAGGGGCTAACTGCTTTGCTAGTTCCAACTAAAGCAGACCTACTGAACCAAAGGGATAAAAATAAGCATTGTTTTTTTATTCAACAACCAATTCCATGACTCTCGTATGGTACCACCAATAGGATTCAGGCACAAATATTAAAAGATGAGGAGGGGGAGCTCTCTCACCCACTTTCTCCACATTGTGCATCATTCTATAAACCTCTATTGTGCCAATACTTAATCATTTCCTTCTAAACCTAAAAGGCCCAAAGCAATACACAAAGTTCTTAAAGAACTTATAAAGACCTACCTTATGCTACAAAATAATATTTAAGAACTGTCTCAGTCAACACAATAAGGAAATCTTGGGAGTTCCATTTCTTCTCCCCTTGGGATGAATGATCAGAACAGGAATGGACAAGCAGCTAAACGAGTTGGCATGCTGCTAATACTCCAAGGAATTGTCTGTATATATGTTAGAAATTGATCCTTGAGACATTATAATTCAGCGGAAAGTGAACAAATGTAGGATACTATACTTAGGCAGAAAATACAGGATAGGTGATGCCTAGCTCTCCAACAGCGCATGTTAAAGAGATCTTGGAGTCTTCATGGACAACAAGTTGAACATGAGCCAACCATCTGATGCAGCGGCTTAAAAAGCCAATGGGATTTTGGGCTGCATAAAAGGGGTAGAGTGTCCAGATTGAGGGAAATCATGGTACCTCTCTATTCTGCTTTGGCCAGACCTCACCTGGAATAACCCTGTCTCCAATTCTGGGCACCACAATTTAAGAGATATTGACAAACTGGAACATGTCCACAGGAGGAGGGCAAATAAAAGGTCTGAATCCCTATGAGAAGCGTCTTAAATAACTGGGTCTGTTTAGCCTGCAGAAGAGAAGGTTGAGAGGAGGCATGATCTCTTCTCAACTTTGTTTAAATATTTGAAAGGATTTCACAAGGAAGACGGAAAAGGCTTGTTTTCTGCAGACCTTGAGACAAGAACTCAGAGCAATGGGTTCAAATGACAGGAAAGTAGAATCCACCTGAACATTAGGAAGAACTTCCTGACTGTAAGAGCTGTTCAGCCTAGGAAGTAACTGCCTCAGAGTCCAGTGGAAGCTCCTTCTCTGGAGATTTTTAAACAGAAGCTGGATGGCCATCTGTCAGGGGTGCTTTGATTGTGCTTTTTCTGCACGGCAGAGGGATTTGACTAGATGGCACATGTGGTCTCTTCCAGCTCTATGATTCTATAAATTATCAGGAATGGTGCACTGTATATATTCAGTTGACTTGTATATATACAGTTTCGGGATCAAACCTATGTTTTGGATATGACCCCTGGATATATCATGGGTCATTCTTCACAGAGGGGATAGCCTCGCCATTACAATTTTCCTGTCCAGGCACTCAAAAAGGCCAGAAGCAGCTTCACTGTGGCAAGAGAAAGGAGAGTCTGTGCTTCTTTTAAGTTCTTCAAGGATGGACTAAGCTCTACTCAGACAGGCTAAGCTTCCCTTTCTGAGAGGAATTAAGGTATAGTATTTAAATTGACCTATAGATAAGTCAACCCAGGTTCTTTGGGCCAATTTGTTCACTAAAATTTCTAGACTTATACAGAAGAATATGCAGTAATTGCATCCCAGATTGAGAATCCTGCAAGGTGTGGGAGAAGTTTCTCAGGTCAACTATGATTCTGTGAGATTTCAACATTTTATTGTTTTATCCATATTTGAAGACAGACAGCAACATATACATTTATGTTTATGTTTTTGGAATTGTCAACTTTCATACCTTTTTAAAAAGCCTTTACTCTGAAAAATAATCAGAAGCACTGTAAAATGTGAGGAGGTTAGGAATATCCACAATTATATGTTCTTACCTATGTTACATAGATCTTTCAAACCATAGAATACATCGTATATGGGCATTTCCTAAGAATATGCCTCATCACGCTAACATTTAAAGAGTAGGTAAAGCATTTGTGCCGGCTTTAAAACCTGTTGTTGCTTTCTGCAGAATTCTGGGGTTTGTTATTTAGGGAGGGGCCTTTGAAATTCCCAGCCAGAAAGGTCCTTAGCCTCACTAAATTACAAACCTCAGAATTCTGCAGGAGGCAGCAACTGGATTGAAAGTGGGAGCACATGCTTTACATACTCTTTCAAAAACTAGTATGATGAGGTCCAGATTACAGTTAAAGAACAGTTTCAGAAAATTAACAAGGAAGTTTAACACTGTAACAGTTTGACATCCACCAAGTTTACAAAAATGACAGCCAAATTACACCAATTACCCTAAAACCAAAGAGACTTATTATCCATTCTATTTGTGAATAGGTAATGGTTTCCCCTTGACATTAAGTCTACTCTAGTCCGACTCTGTGGGGTGGTGCTCATCTCCATTTCTAAGCTGCAGAGCCCACGTTGTCCGTAGACACTTCCTAGGTCATGTGGACTGAATGGAGCGCCGTTTGCCTTCCACTGAAGTGGTACCTATTGATTTACTCACATTTGCATGTTTTCAAATGGCTAGGTTGGCAGAAGCTGGGCTAACAGCAGGAGCTCACTCCGCTCCCCAGATTCAAACCGGCAACCTTTCGGTCAGCAAGTTCAGCAGCTCAGTGGTTTAACCCACTGTGCCACTATTTATTACCTCTTATAAATTGCCTTGTCACACAGAGGCATCCACAGCAATCACAATGATTGATTTAGGCATGGTGGGAAAACCATGTGTTTTTGTTATTAGACTGAGATGACATAAGATTAAGTCTTGCAGTCACTCCTACTTTCCCACTTCACACATAAGATCAAAGCTGCTGAATTTACACTAATTAAAATCTCATTATTTCCAACTCAGGGTTGGAATATAATTTGCTTCAACAGTGCTAGATTAACAAACTCACTTCAGGTTATAAACAAATGACAATTAAGGAAAGCAGTTAGAAAAGGAGTGGCAACACATTGCCTGGGTTGACATTTAGCTCACAAGACTGTTTACAGTCCTCAAACCACTCTTATTCTGGAGAAAGAGTTGAACTTGGAAATCTACAGGAGCAGTGAGCAATTCATCCTTTAAACAGGCTCCAAACCCTCCCATGATCTTTAATGCAATTTCCTCACAAACACAGAAGTGAATATTCAGGCTTCTTTCCCTGATGTTGCCATTTTGGGCAGATTTGACGAAGTATAAATCACAGTTCTCTGAAATGGAAGGACACTTTTTAGCTGAAAGACCAAACTGATAATCCTTCCTCATGCAAGGAGGAGGAGAGGTAAAGAATGAATGTGTAAGGCCCAAATTCTTAAATGTTCTGTTTCTTAAAGACAAAATTGTGATTTGTTGTTATATTTTCATCATGGTGTAAAAGACTGTGTGTGATAATCTGCAGGGCTGTTTTAAGGCACTTATGGCTTGCTCCAGCAATTATGCAGTTCTGCAATGTTTCTTTCTGACAAGGAAACCATAGGTTATTTCATTATGCAGTTATAAAATTAGATGCGTGAAATTCATTGAAAAGAGAGAGAGTTCATCTGGAAACCTGCTATATTTTTATTTACATTTTTAAACCCTTCAAAACTGAAGATGAAAAAAGAGAAAAGGATTTTAGAAGAAATCCAGTCATATTGCCACAGACAGAGAGAAACTCACATTATTGCTATGCGGAATGCACAAGGGAACCAAAACACAAGCAAACCAAAGTGGAACACATTTAAAGCCAAAAGGTTAATGAAATAAGCCAGCAACTTTGAGACAAGCAAGGGAGGGGTAGCTTCCTCAACACTCCATAAACACTCATGCACCTGAAAATTTAAATATTTTATGATCATTTTTGTTTTAAGATGAGAAGGTATGGGCTCTTGGGGAAATACAGATTCTGCTTTCAAATACCAAATCTGAATGAGAATAATAGTAAAAATCTGGGATGAAACTACAAGTTTAGAACCATTGAAAAAGTACCTGAAATGGTTGCTGCTGAGATGAAAAAGCAGCAGAAACATTTGGAGGAAGCTGGGTTGCTATAGCAACAGGAGTACCAGTCTGCCCATCCTTTCCTGTCACAACCTTTACCTGAGAGAAGATATTTTGGGGAAAAACAAAGAAGGGAAATCATTTTTCTTTTGTTGTGTTTTTAAAAAACTAATCAACACACCCCATGCTGCATTGGACTTATGGTTCCTCAGTGAAGAGGGGATCAGAAGTAGTTTGGTTCAGCTTGAATCCATTGTTTTTCAATGAATTTCTGCTTTGTCAGAAAACCGCAAAATTGAGCAAGGGATAGACTAGCTGTGATTATCATTGCCTCTTGCCAAGAAAAGTCTACACTCAAATTTAGTCTTGGCAATAACGTGAGTTAGCATTCAAGGTCTTGGCTTTCTTAACAGACAAAGAAATTAGCACGACAGACAATTCACACTCAGAAGAGCCCAACATTTATTAAGCAATGAGCATAGCCTCCATTCTCTCCTCCCCCCCCCCCCCCCCCCCCCCCCATTCTCAGAGTGATCAGCCCACCCAGGCAAGGGATGAAGTGCATTGCTGTAGCAGAAAGAGATGAAGAAGGCAGGGGGAGAGAAAGACCACAAAGTACAAATAAAGGAGCTGTCTCCCAAAGTGTCTTTTTCAAGAAAAGGAGGGAAAACTGGTCAACACCCACATAAGTTTCTTTCTTGTCATGGTTTGATACAAGCCTTCCATAAGTGCACCTGGGTCAATATTTTTTTAGCAAGGAAAAAACTGATTTCTCAACTGGATGTTAAAATACTAGCACAACAAAACAAATATAGGGAGAGCAGCCCTGTCAAGTAAACTAGGAAAAATTACCGTACCAAACTGAGATACTTGCGGAATTGTGATTGAATTCTGTTAGCAGTTTAAAGTTAAAACCTCCAATATCTGTTTCACTTCCCCACACCACCACCCATATAAACACCTCTAAATTTGGGGGTGTCTTAGAATTCTAAAGGCCGTTTCTTGACCCCTATAATTAACTTCAACAGAACTTTCTCAAGAACATTTTTTCACACAATAAGTTTATGGAGAATTAGACATTTTATGCCATGTTGGAATAATTTATGCCAATTGGAATAATGCCCATCAAATTTGTTTAAATTACAGAAATTACTTCTCAGAAGAACTTGACTTTTTGAGCAGATGTATGCTGTTGTTCACTACAACTTTTTTCTGTTTAGTAGAACAGGTAAAGGTTTTCCCCTGACATTAAGTCCAGCCGTGTCTGACTCTGAGGGTTGGTGCTCATTTCAATTTCTAAGACGAAGAGCCGGCGTTGTCCGTAGACACCTCCAAGGTCATGTGGCCAGCATAACTGCCACTGCCTTCCCACCGGAGCGGTACCTACTGATCTACTCACATTTGCCTGTTTTTGAACTGCTAGGTTGGCAGAAGCTGGGGCTAACAGCGGGAGCTCACCCCACTCCCCGGATTCGAACCAGCAACCTTTCGGTCAGCAAGTTCGGCAGCTCAGAGGTTTAACCCACTGCGTCACCAGGGGCTCAACAGAGGCTGTTTAATATAGGTTAATGCACAGCCAACAATTTAAGTTCCAAGATAGGTATACATGGTTGATCTGTATTCAGATTGGGTTGTTGTAGGGTTTTTTGGGCTATATGGCCATGTTCTAGAGGCATTCCCTTCTGACGTTTCGCCTGCATCTATGGCAAGCATCCTCAGAGGTAGTGAGGATGCCTCTGAGGATGCTTGCCATAGATGCAGGCGAAACGTCAGGAGCGAATGCCTCTAGAATATGGCCATATAGCCCGAAAAAACCTACAGCAACCCAGTGATTCCGGCCATGAAAGCCTTCAACAATACATTGTTTTCATATTAATTTCCAATGGATTTGTATCTCCTTTCCTTTCTTCAGATCTATTTCATCTCCCCAAATACTCTATTCCCTGACTTCCTCTGTCTTTGCACTTACAGAAAAGTAAGGCTGAAAAAGAGAGCATGTGTATCTGATGCACACCATGTGCGGAATATGACAGATCCCAACTCCATAAACTGCTGGTAGCATATTCACACAATTTAATTAGAGGTATTCATGATGTGAGAGTCAGCATGGTGTAGTGGCCTAAGGATTGGGACTACAGTTGTGGAGACCAATGTCTAAATCCCCTCTGATCAGTCATGGAAACTCAATGGGTGACCTTGGGCAAGTCATAATCTCTCAGCCTCAGAGGGAGGAAAAGGCAAACTTCTTAACAAATCTTGCCAAGAAAGTCCTGTGGTTTTAGGGTTTCCATAAGTTGAAAACAACCTGAAGGCACACAACACCAACAACAACCACCACAAAGCATTTGATCTGGATTCTGTATTTCCCTAATTGTTTTAAGAAAAATGCAATCTGATTAAAATACAAAATGTTTATTTAAAAATCGAATATAAATTTTAAAACCTGATTGCTACCAATGCTCTTTAACCCTAATTCAACTTTATCTTTTGGGATACAAAATTGAACTCAGATTAACAGTTATGAGATAATCAAGTAGTCCTGTCTAAGCAATCTCCTAATCCAAGTGAATGCTCATAAATTCTGCTGGGCCACACAACATCACTTTGATGGAAACAATTATATCATCAGATTATTAACAAATGTCATTCAGAAGCTCATCAAGATTATATTTACGGATTCTGAGTTGGCGAACGTTGAGCATTAGACTGGTTTTATTGATTGTGATGTATAATTGATGGTTTTAATTGTCTTATAATTCCTGTTGATATATGTTTTTCTCTTATTGTTTGTGTTGGCATCGAATTGTGCCTTTTGTAAGCTGCCCTGAGTCCCCCCTCGGGGGTTGAGAAGGGCGGGGTAGAAATGCGCGAAATAAATAATTAATAAATAAATAAAATGTCAGCATACCCACAGTATTTAACTGGAAACATAGATTAATACATCATGCAAGCCAACAACTTCACATTCCATACACTGTTGAGGCTATCTTAAAATGGCTACTATGTCAGTTCATAAGCAATGCAGTTTACTTCTGAATAAACAAACATAAAACAGATCGTATAGCTCTTCTTCCTTTTTAACAGACAGTTAACTTTGTCATTTTAACTGAGATTCGGTAAATGTATTGTGGTAGTTTATGCTTGTGTCTGAAGCCTTTCTAGGGAGATGACTACTAAAGTACAAAAGTGCTCTACAACTTCTACCTCATGCTTAAAACAACTTTTTTAACAGCATGCAATTTGGCTGCAACTAGCAGAAAAACTCCAAAATGCAAAGGGGTAATAAAATTATTATTATTTTAGATTGTAATCCAATACAAAATCATAAATAATAATACATTTTATTACCCATCTCTCCCTATGGCTTGAGAATTGCTTGAAAGCCATGCCATGGTTGAATCCAACCCTTCCTCCAATGTGCGGAGAGCAGCATCCAGCAGAATTTTCCATCCCTTCCTGTAGACAACCTTTTTATTTCATCATAGTCTGCAAAGCAGGTTAACTTGGGAGATAGATACTGGACCTGAGTCATTCACTGAGCTTCATGGTTAGGCAAGAATACAACTTGAACTCACACTGATCAGTACTATTGACTGCACCACACTACTTGCCGATGTATGACACTGCTGGATTTAACCCTGATCCTAAATGTCAAGATGATTATGTTGCTTTGTTATGTTAGGGTCATACTATTAACTGAGACTTGGGACTTCAGCTGCTACCTTACTGACTACCCAGTCTTAAAATGGTTACAGCTGAAGTAACTTCCAGGTAAATAAGCAGCAGAAGTCAAATCACAATTTTAGAAAGACTAAATGACTGAAACAGAAAGATCTCTTACCTCATCGTTAATAACCTCAGATTGCTCCTCCTCCTCCTCCTCCTCCAGATCCAAGTCATTTTGCCTAAGATAAGCTTGTAATGGCACACAATGCTTCTTCTTAAAAGCTAAAAAATCCATCATATTCCCTTGAAGGTGTTGCAGGAAAAACAGTTCAATCAAATACTCTTTGAAAGCATCTTTCAAAATCTCCATTTGCTTGAGATGGTGTTCCAAACACTGTTTTCTCATCTGAGCAGCTTCTTGAGTGGCTGGAGGAATCTCCTCCAGCTTTTTCTGTTTCTTTACCACAGCAGAGACTGAAGGAGCAAGGGGGAGGTTGGTTAGCCCTTGTGGCACACCAGCTCGGGAAGGACTTGTAGGAGGTGGCGGTGAGGTCATTCCAAAACCAGGAGGTCCTCCAACCCCAGCTATTAGCCCACCAGAAGTCCTCTCATATCCTAGGGGTCTGTTCAGTTGCTGCCCTTGGAGGACTTGCTGCTGCTGTTGCATGCCTTGGATGATATTGCTGATCTGTGGCGGCAGATTATTTGTTGTGATGTGACCAGGACTTGGCAAAGGTTGGATATTTGCTCCGCTAGCTACAGGGCTCTGCGGTCCAAGATGGTGGATGGTGCCACCCGTTTGTGAATGGGGCTGAGACAGTCTGCGTTCTCTACCTGTACCAGATGCTCCAGAAGATGAAAGCTGTACCTGAGCAGTGGTGCCTTGAGAAATCTGGGCAATGCTAGAGCCTTCTTGATACACGAAGTGTCCACTGTTAGAAGGGCTCAAGCTGATTTGTCTCACAAGCACACTTGCATCAACAAAGCCTCGTGTTGGGCTCTGGCTGCACATCCCCAAGCCAGGCCCTGAGGCACCAGCCCGAACATTTGATATGGATTGGACTGGCACTGGGCTAGGCTGTGTGGGGCTCTGAGACTGAACCTGTGGTGCCAACGGCGAAGTAACTTGGATATAGGATGGTGACCCATGTTCAAACCTTCTTTGCTGAGGGCTGAACTGGAAGCTGGGAGACGTTGGACTAGGGATTGGTAATGGAGTAAGTGTGATCTGCTGGTTCCCCGTAGCAACGGATGCAACATTTTGTAAAGTAATGTTCACATTCTGCCCTGCTACAGGGCTTCTGCTCATGATAAACTGCTGGATTTGGTAACCAGGAGATTGTGGTGCAGATGGGCTTGCAGAAGGAGCAAATGAAGGTGCTGGGGACTGTGGCAGATTTGCCTGCTGATCTTCATTCTCACTGCCAGTGAAAGAGCGGGACCTTTGGAGCTGGCGTTGGGCATTTGGAGGACCATTGCCATGGTGCATTATCGCCTTTTTAATTTTCCCAATTCTAAAAAAAGGTTCATAAAGTTCCATTAAGGGAAACAGTTTTCTAATGTTTGATTATACATTTTTCCTACTTTCTAATATTTGCTATCTCTAGTCCCCTCTTTTTTTCTCAACTGTATTTAAAAACTGCAAACATCAAGGAGCAGAAGCCTGGCTGTACCTAGAGCTAAAAGAAATTGCACTTCAACAGTATCTGACGGTGCAAAAGCTTCCCATCTCTACTTCAACTAGAAATGCCAAAGACTGCGCCTTCAGTGCACAGCTAAAATTCCTCCTAACGCTCCTCTCAATCTCCTTCAACATTTCCTCCCTCATATCTTGATTATCAACATTTTAAGCAAAATGGAATATGTGGTTCTGCAGTCTAATTAGATCCTCATCACCTTATAAAAATCAGTCACTAAGAAGCCTTCCGAGAGGTAAGGAGAAGACAATTCCATAACACAGCATTGTCTGGCAGGAATGAGTCACTGCCTCTTTTGGAGGTAGTTTAAGGATACGTACGAGAATTCAAATCACCACATATTCCAGTATGCTCCAGTAGGGCAATCCTAAACCAAATCTTTCTCCACCTAACCAGCCTTAGAGGAGTGCTCTAAGGCCAAAGAAGGAGAGAGAGAGAAAAGCATGCATTTAGTTGTATTTTACAGCAGGCTTTGAAGAGCCTAACCATAAAAAAACACAGTGACTATTCAAACTAAGCTATCAACACTAAAGATTTGCTTATACAGGCAGTCCGCAAGTTACAAACATATGACTTACGAACAACTCATCGTCAAGAATGAGGGCAAAACAACAGGAAGTGAGAGAAATCTACCCCTCAGAAGGGAACTTCACTCCTGGAAGAAATATTAGCATGGGGAAAAGGGGTCTCAACTGAAGCTTTCTCACTAATCCTTATTTCCACAAAAGCCATTTTTTTCAAAATCAAAATCTTATAAGGACAGAAATTGAGGTGAAATATTCTTAACAAGGACAGACAGTAAAATAAACATTACAGGGGTGTTTTATATGCTTTTTATGGTTTTTACCTGAATTGTTTTAATATTAATAATGTTTACTTTTTTTCTTTTTTTTTTTTGTCGTGTCAGGAGCAACCGCTCCTGTTGTGAGAGAATTGGCCGTCTGCAAGGACGTTGCCCAGGGGACGCCTGGATGATTTTTGATGTTTTATCATCCTTGTGGGAGGCTTCTCTCGTGTTTACTGTTTTAATATTTATACATTTGAAGTTGTATTCTAATGCTTTCAGTTGTGAGCCGCTTTGAGTCTCCGAATGGAGAGAAACAGCGGGACATAAATAAACATCATATTAACAGGTACCACTCCGGTAGGAAGATAATAGCACTCCATGCAGTCATGCTGCCCACATGACTTTGGAGGCATCTACTGACAACGCTGGCTTTTCAGCTTAGAAATGGAGATGAGCACAACTCCACAGATTGGGCTCAACTAGACTTCATGTTAAGGGGAAACTTTTACCTTTTATACTATCCGAAGCCAATATATACATATAGTTTTGGCTGGAGTTACACTTGAAAAATGTCTCTGTTCCAACTTATTAACAAATTCAACTTGAGAACAAACCTTTGTCACTTGGGGACTGCCTGTAAATGCAAGTAACAACACCTCCACACTAGACACCACAGTTCAATAGAACAATAGAGTTGCTAGAGACAACATGGGCCACCTAGTCCAACTACGTCATGCAGGAAAGCACTATCAAAGTATTCCTGACAAAAGTTTCCAAGGACGGAGCTTCCACCACACTCTGAGGCAGAGAGTTCCACTGCTGAACAGCTCGAATGGTCAGGAAGTTCTTCCTCATAATGTTCAAGTGGACCCACTGTTCCTGGTCCTAGTTTCAAGGGCAGCAAAAACAAGCCTGCTCCCTCTTCCTTATGACACCCTATCACATGTTTGTACATGGCTATCATGTCTCCTCTCAACCTTCTCTTCTGCAAGCTAAACAGACCCAGTTCTTTAAGATACTCCTTATAGGGATTCATGGTCTTCAGACCTTTGATCATTTTAGTCCCCCTCCTCTGGACACCTTCAAGTTTAGAGTCAATGTCTCTTTTGAACTGTGGTGCCCAGAATTGGATACAGTATTCAAGGTGAGGTCTAACCAAACCAGAATACAAAGGAACCTTGAGTTCCCTCAATCTAGACACTACACTCCTTTTGATGCAGCCCAAAATCCCATTGCTTTTTTTAGCTGCTGCATCACACTGTTGCTTCATGTTCAGCTAGTTCCCTGCAAAGACTCCAAGATCTTTTTCACATTAACTGTTGTTGAGATAGGCCTCACACATTCTCTAGGAACCGCAGTGGCTCAATGGGTTAAACCCTTGAGCCGGCTGAACTGCTGACTTGAAGGTCAGCAGTTGGAATCCACGAGATGGGGTGAACTCCCATCTGTCAGCTCCAGCTTCGCATGCAGTGACATGAGTGAAGCCTCCCACAGGATGGTAACATATCCGGGCGCCCCCTGAGCAACATCCTTGCAGAAGGCCAATTCTCTCACGCCTGAAGCGACTTGCTGTTTCTCAAGTTGCTTCTGACATGATTTTTTAAAAACCCATTCTGTATCTTTGCATTTCATTTTTTCTGCCTAAGTGTCGTATCTTACATTTGTCCTTGTCGAAATGCATGTTGTTAGTTTTGGCCAATCAGCTAATCTGTTGAGGTCCTTTTGAATTCTGATCCTGTCCTCTGGAGTATTAGCTCTCTTTCCCAATTTGGTGTCATCTGCAAAATTGATAAGAAGCATGCCCTCTAAACCTTCGTCCAGGTCATTAATAAAGATGTTGAACAGAACTGGGCCCAGGAGCAAACCCTCTTCATGACACTCCACTTGTCACTTCTTTCTACTACCTTACCTCCTTCAAAGTATCTTTCTTTGTAAAAGCAGCAGCAACAACAAACACGACATACAGACACACCTAGCACAAAGCCCAACGTTGTTAATTCACCAAACTAAAGTACTTCTAGCGTGGAAGAAGGGTTCAATACATGGGGGTTGGGCCCAGGGGCTTCATCAGACCCCATTCGCTCCAGTCTGCCCTGAAGACAAAGCAGGAAAGAGAACCCACTCTCCCCCTCCCCCATCCCCTGGGCCCTTCCACACAGCCCTATATCCCAGAATATCAAGGCAGAAAATCCCACATTATCTGAGTGTGGACTCAGATAACCCAGTTCAAAGCAGATATTGTGGGATTTTCTGCCTTGATATTCTGGGATATAGGGCTGTGTGGAAGGGCCCACAGACTGGCGGCCTTCAGGGATGAAGTGGCGCCTCAACGTTCGTTCTCCTTGAGGCTGGATGCAGCATCGGAGCGGTTCGAGGCCACGTTAACCGCCGGGGAGTCCCTGGCTTGGTCGTTTGGGTGAGCACCTTGGGGCCTTCCAAGTGGCGTCGAAGCGCTGTGAGGCAGCGCGGGGTGGCCTCCAAGCCAAAGCCCTGCCAGCGACGTCAAAGCGAGGAGGCCTTTCCTCTCCGCCTGCTCGGAAAGGCCTTCCCCTTCAGGGCGCTGCGGGGATTCGAGCCTCGCTTGACGCCGCGGCCTACACGCCCCGCCCGCCGCCGAGCAGTAACCCACGCTTTCCTGCCGGTCGGCCTCACCCTCCTCCGCCTGAAGGACACGGGAAGAGGCGCCTCTCCTCCTCCGCCGCCTCCGCCTCCTCCTGCGCCTCGCCTTCGCCGGCCCGCTCCTCGCGCGAGCCAGCCTGAACTATTTGTTCGCGACAGGAAACTGGTCAGAGACGGGGAAAATAAAGAGGCGGGGCTTAGGGAGGAAACTCCCCAAACAGGCGCATCCGCTCTGCTACGGAGAGGCGCGAGGGACAATCCAGGGCGCGGCTCGGCTGGGAGTTTTGGGGAGAAACACAGCCGCCGCCTCGCGCCTGCTTTCACTTTTGTGTTCCCACGCGCATGCGCCAAAAGGCTCTCGCTCGCAGCCCAGCTCGACTGGAGACAAAACCGGGGGGGGGGGGGGGGGGGGACATGCGTCACGCTTTCCAAAAAACAAAAAAAACCCAGAAAGGAAGGCGCAGGCCTGTGTTCTCCCGAGGACCAGGCCGAATGCTTTTAAGGTACTAGTGGGTTTAAATTGGAGTTAGATCAAACTTCAACCTTTTCCACACTGCCCCTGTATCCCAGGATATGATCCCAGATTATCTGTTTATCCCAGGTTATCTGGCAGTGGGGACTATGTGAAATTCCACACAGCCCTATATCCCAGAATATCGAGGCAGAAAATCCCACAATATCTGCTTTGAACTGGATTATCTTGAGTACACACTGCCATATATTCCAGTTCAGAGCAGATATTGTGGGATTTTCTGCCTCGATAATCTGGGATATAGGGCTGTGTGGAAGGGCCCTTAGACAAACCCTTTATCCCAGGATCTGATCCCAGGTTTTCTGTTTATCCCAGGGCCCATCCACACAGCTCTATATAGTAGAATTTGTTGTCGGTTCATTCCTTCAGTCGTTTCAGACTCCTCATGACCTCATGGACCAGCCCACGCCAGAGCTCCCCGTCGGCCGTCACCTCCCCCAGCCCCTTCAAGGTCAAGCCAGTCACTTCAAGCATGCCATCCATCCATCTTGCCCTTGGTCTTCCTTTTTCCTTCCATTTTCCCCAGCATCATTGTCTTCTCTAAGCTTTCCTTTCTTCTCATGATGTGGCCAAAATAGTTAATCTTTGCCTCTAATATCCTTCCCTCCAATGAGCAGTCGGGCTTTATTTCCTGAAGTATGGACTGGTTGGATCTTCTCAGGGTTAAAGGCACTCTCAGAATTTTCCTCCAACACCACAGTTCAAAAGCATCTATCTTCCTTTGCTCAGCCTTCCCTATGGTCCAGCTCTCACATCCGTAGGTGACTTGCTCTGACTATGCGGATCTTCTTTGCCAGTGTGATGTCTCTACTCTTCACTATTTTATCGAGATTGGTCATTGCTCTCCTCCCAAGAAGCAAGCGTCTCCTGATTTCCTGGCTGCAGTCTGCATCTGCAGTAATCTTTGCACCTAGAAATACAAAGTCTGTCACGGCCTCCACGTTTTCTCCCTCTATTTCCCAGTTATCAATCAGTCTTGTTGCCATAATCTTGGTTTTTTTGATGTTTATCTGCAACCCAGCTTTTGCACTTTCTTCTTTCACCTTGATGAGAAGGCTCCTCAGCTCCTCCTCGCTTTCAGCCATCAGTGGTATCATCTGCATATATCAAGGCAGAAAATCCCACAATATCTGCTTTGAACTGGGTTATCTGAGTCCATACTCAAATAATGTGGGATTTTCTACCTTGATATTCTAGGATATAGGGCTGTGTGGAAGGGCCCCCAGATTATCTGGTAGTGCAGACTAATATAATCTGGTTTAAAGCAGAAAACCTAGGATCAGATCCTGGGATAAAGGGCCTGTCTAGAAAGGCCCTCATATATTCCAGTTTAAAGCAGATAATCTGGGATCAGATCCTGAGATAAAGGGCAGTGTGGAAGGGTCCTTAGTTGGCAAACGAACCCCTTCTTCAGAAGATAAATGTACTCAGTGCCCCCTGGAAATTGTAATCTCTAAGCAAACCAACAGAAAGACGCAGTAACACATCTGCAGCCATTTACCGTAGTTTCTTTCTACATACGACAACAAGGTAAGGGAAGACATTACAAATGGGACACCTCAAAGCTCCAAATGATCCAAATGATTTATTTAAGACAACCACATTTGCATTACACACAGAAAAGTTAAGGAACAAAAATAGAAACGACAAATAACATTTAAAATGCTCCTAGATGAGAAGGACGAAGCTGGTACACAGCAATCAATTGATTAAAGTTCCGCAACGTGTTTTTTGTCAGCAGCATGAATTATATGTTTTAAATACTGATTGTAGTATTATATCCATTAGATGTCCAACATGTCACCTGTTTATTTGTCATATTTATTTGTGTAACGAGGGTTGAACTCCAGGGCCCATGAGGCTTATTCCGGCTCTTTGATGGTATGGTCCTATGACACCTAAAGTACCATAAGGAGAATAGGATACAACGAGAAGAAGCCCCATTGACCTCTTTGGGGATATTAGCTATATGGCATTAGGAGCCCCCAGTGGCGTAATGGGTTAAACCATTGTGCAGGCAGGACTGCTGACCGAAAGGTAGGTGGTTTGAATCCGGGGAGCGGGGTGAGCTCCTGTCTGTCAGCTCCAGCTTCCATGCAGGGACATGAGAGAAGCCTCCCACAGGATGGTAAAACATCTGGGTGTCCCCTGGACAACATCCTTGCAGATGGCCAATTCTCTCACACAAGAAGTGACTTGCAGTTTCTCTGGTCACTCCTGACACACACAAGCTAGGAAGCACTTTCGTTATTTAGAATGTTGCCACACAAATGACTTAAAATCACATTTTTTAAAATAAAAAAGCATAGCACTCTCCCATTAAAGCTCTCTACTATGGGAATCAATGGAGCCATGGGTTCAAATGACAAGAAAGGAGATCCCACCTGAACATTAGGAAGAACTTAGAGCTGGTCAGCAGTGGAACTCTCTCTCTCTGCGTCAGAGTCCCGTGGAAGCTCTTTCACTGGAAGCTTTTAAGCAGAGGCTGGATGGCCATCTGTCAGGGAAGCTCTGATTGTGCTTTTCTTAAAAGAAGGGGATTGGACTAGATGGCCTCTGTGGTCTCTTCCAATGCTAGGATTCTATTACACCAAAGTCTTTCACCATTTAAAATTATTAGTATTTGTATTCCGCTTGATCTCTTAAAAATAAAAAGACCCGAAGTGGCTAACAGTAAAAGCAACACAATATATAATTTAAAGCCTAAAAAATTACAAACATTAAAATCCAGTAAAACATTGAAACCATTAAATATAAAAAAAGTTAAAAACCATTAAAACCAATTAAAACTTCTTCACAGCACAGCACTCTCTGGCTTGGTTGTAAAAACTGTGTCCTTTAAAAGCCTGTCTGAATAAAAAGATCTTGCAGAAGGACATCAGGGAGGGGGTCATTCTGGCTTCCCTGGACAGAAATCCAGAGCTGAGGGGCTGGCCACTGAGAAGACCCTGTTCTCTGATGTTCTCCTCCAGAACTGTGCTTGCGATGGTGGTGGGACTGAAAGCAGGGCCTCTTCTGAGGATCTCAAGGTCTGGGCAGGTTAGTACGGGGAGATGTGATCAGCCAAATAGTCTGGACCTGAGCCATAGAAGACTTTGTTGGTCATGAACAGTACTTTAAATTGTGCCCAGAAACAAACTGGCAGCCATTTGAGCTCTTGCAAAGGGGGGGGGGGGGGGGTTGTGTGCTCCTTGTAGCCAGCCCCAGTTAGAAACCTAGCAAGCTTTTTGGACCAACAGAAATTTCTGAACACTCTTCAAAGGCGGCCCTATGTAGAGTGTGTTACAGTCATCCAAACAGGATATTAACTATGACATGGACCACTGTGGCCAGAAAGCCTCTCCAAGTTTACATTTCAGGGTAATTTTAAGAGTGCCAGGATTTTCTTTCATTATACGGGATCTTGTTATGCCCAGTAATGTACAACTCGGGCTTAGCTTGATGTTGCTATTCAAGGCAAATGGCAGAATTCTTCCACATACATTTTAATACACAAAATTGTTTATATAATGGGAGATAAAGATACCACCACAGCAAAGCAAAAGAACATTCTCCCTTATTTTCAATGTGGTCATTGAAGAGCAAACCACAGACCACCTACTGCAATGCAACCTGAGCCCCACCACATGCACAATGGAGGACCTTCTTACAGCAACACCAGAGGCACTCCAAGTGGCCAGCTTCTGGTTGAAGGACATTTAGCATAATGCCAAGTTTTTAACTTTGTGTTTTTAAATACATTATAGCTGTACCCTCAATTTGCTTCAGACACTCCTACCCACCCAAATATAGTATTAAGTAACTTAATGAAGAAAATGTGTCTCAATTTATTTTCTTTTCCTGACTTGGATTTCATTTCTGGATCCAGCCCATGGGCAGAGACACTATTTGTGCACCCAGGAGAGAATGCTTCTGGAACATGGCCAGACAGCCTGGAAAACTCACAGCAACCCAGTGATTCTGACCATGAAAGCCTCTGACAACACACAGAACCTATCTTGTTCATAACTTGGGGACTGCCTGTATATATTGTATGACACTCTTATAATGGGTTGGTTCAAACTCTGGTTTGTTAGGATAACTGAATTTCCATGTTGCAAAAGGATGTCTAAAAAGTGTGTCACCAACACCAAAAGTTCGGAAGGCTCTGCTCTAGGCCTTCTGCCCCTGCTCAGCTTTTACTGATATGACTACTAACATAGACTGAGCTTGAAAGACTAAGGCAGCAGAAGCCAGTGACTCAGCAGCCCTGTCCCTTAAGAGCATGGGCTCAGAGAGGATAGGGCCAGGAACTGCCCCCCCCCCCAACTCCAAAAATATAGATAGTTCTTCTACATTGTACCACAAGAAGCCTTTATTGGAAGAGCAGGGCTATGCTTTATGGAAGCTCTCTGTATGGCATTTTTTAATAAAAGGAAAACAATGATCAGATACCCCCCAGTGAGAAACCATTCAAATCAACACATAATTTTGCCTTTAAGTGGCAAGAGACAAAATGTTTGGCAATTAAGACCAGTCAGCAATTCCTTGGCCAAGTTGAAAGATACGTGGCTACAGAAAGCCTGGAAGAAGAGCAGGGAAGCTTGGCCTCCCAAAACAAAACAAAATATTTTCATTATTTGTTTGTAGCAATTAGTACCTGGAGTCCTCTGAAATATTTTGTTTTGTATCTCAGGTGGCAATATTGCATACGTCTGCTGACTTTTAAAAGCAATTTCCTAAATCAAGCATAAGGAATGCACAATTAATTCTAGTAGATGTATTGCCCTTTCACGTACTGCAAACAGAGAGAAACAGCCTGATTCAAGTCTCCCTTCTGTCTTTCTTCTGCTCTCAGTTCAGCCTGATAGTTTTGTCATTATACAAGCAGGTGAACAAACGCCCAAGTTTTCCGAACAGAGACTCCTAAGATTGGCATGTATCAAACAGCATGCCACTACATGCTACCTTCCAGAATGATTTTCATTCAGTCCGAGTCGTCTCCAAATCCATCACTGCCTTCATGATTGTTGGTCTGGGGAGGAAAAAAATAGCAGTCATGCCTCACAAGGCAATTCCATGATTCAGTTACTGCAACTTACCCACAACTGTTTACCATTCCAGACACTGATTCTCCAGGATACTGTCTAGCCTTTCTAACTGGACATTCTTGACCATAGTTCTGTTTTGCTTCCCACCACCAGCAAGTTCGGTTATGGGGTAACCTTTAGTTGCCTCCTATCATGGCTAGCAGTTTGTCTGGCCTGGCTCAGCTGCTGCTGGGGGCAGGTCTCCAGCAGAGGAGGACTCTTCCGGTATTTGGAGCAATATTAGAAGGGGTTAATCTGACCTCATATGATCCCACTACTTACTTTTTCCCCTCTCTCCCTTTCTAAATATACTCATCTGCAGGTATGTTTGCATGCATACTTGTTGGATGAAGATAAAATTTCATTAAATTACGTCCAGAAAAACATATGTCAGGATAAATTGGTCAGTCTTTGGATCACCAGGCTCTTTGGTTGTTTCTTTGTGGACATAATAAACACCCATGAGCAATTAAATGGAATATGCTAAAAATTAGAAACCCAAAGAGAAACAATGGTAGAGGAGTTAATAGCAGAGGACAGGGAAGAATGGCAAAGCCTGGAACACATAAGCAAAGAACAAAGGCTTCTCATCCCTTTGAGTACCTGTTTCATTCCCATTACCTGTGTGTCCCTGTTGTCCAGCTGTGTCCTAGATGCAGTGGAGTTGAAGTCGTGGTAAGACAGAGTTTCCAGCCAATTTGCCATAGATCTCTCTTCTTTCTCTGTGCTTATAATAGTGGGATAGATATACTTTTCTTTGAAAGCAGAAATCTCCTCTTCTTCCTCTGCCCATTCTAGGGCCTCATGGAATCCATCGTTCCCAAAACGTTTATTATACTTTTCAAAATGAACTCGTTCCAAAACCAGGCCCAGCCCAGGGGCCTTAGGGACATCCACCTTCTCCTCACCCCAGCTCCGCTCCATTATGGATTCTGAGGCATAACCCTTCACAATGGCGATCACCAGGCCAATCATCTTCCGGATCTGATGCATCATGAAACTTTGGCCTTTCACTTTAAGCACAGCAAACTCCATGCCTTCTCGCACAAAGGGCTCCTCGCAATACATCTCCATGATGTAACGTTTGGCACTGGGATCTTTGGGCCCCTTCTGGGAGGTGAAGTTGTGAAAATTATGAGTTCCCTTGTAGCTGGCCAGGAGGCGGTTAACAGTCGCTAGAGTCTCTGTGTTCAGGTGGAATGTGTTGTCCTGAAAATCACAGTCCTTGTGCGCAAAAGCAAACGTTGGAAGCATATAGGAGTAGGTTCGAGCATCACATTTGTTCTTGGAGTTGAAGCCTCCTGTGACCCTTTTGAGCCCTAAATGGGAAGCACATATGCACCCACACATGGTTATCTATGAAAAATGAGTTCATGAGCCCATTATATTTTCAGGTGATACTCTAGTCCAGAGCTTCTTACACATTTTCTGCATGCAATCCTTTTTTGCCTGAGATGTTTTTACATGACCCCAGAAATGTAAGATTATAAACATCAAGCGTTTGCTGATAACAAATCAACATTTGCAAAGCTCGATACACAGGCTGATCTTGCTTTTTAGAAAGCACAGCTGAAACATCTTCTGCAGAGCCCACTGTAAACACTACACCTTGTTGCGAATAGATTTTTGTAAATAGTTAGCGAGGACATGAGAGAAGCCTCCCACAGGATGGCAAGACATCCGGACATCTACTGGGCAACTTCCCTGCAGACGGTCAATTATCTCACACCAGAAGCGAGTCCAATTCGCTTCTGACACGATTTAAAAAATGGGTAGCTTTCAGAAAACTTTTACTGTTGCCAAATTTGTCATGACTCCAACACTGAGCAAAAAGGCTGCAGTAAAGAACATTCATTTTGCCTCAAAGGGCACAGAGAGCACTGCAATCCTCCCATTTCTGTGCAAGAAGGTATGCTAAAGCACTCAATCTAGATCACAGGGCACAACAACCAAAAGTTACAAACTGGAGATCATCAGATTTGTCCACAACAAACACCTTGCCTTGGTTCCCTTTGAGAGGAATGGGTCACTTGGTCTTATTCTAGCCTCTTAATTCACATGGGTCAAACTCAAGGCCCACAAGCTAAATCCAGCTCTCTGTATCATTTTATGCAGCCCTTCAGATTCTGGACTGCAACTCTTTTATTCCTCATCATTAGACATGATCATGACTAGAGCTGATGGGATCTGGAATACAGTGACACCAGGAAGGCTACTGTTTGTTCTGTTTATTTAGGAGAGAGGGGTTTGGATTTAGATACAAGGCTTGTGGATATGATGCCTGATTTTAAAATGCCTTTTACCCTTTCCCCATCTCAGAGCCACAAGGGCTGTTGGGTTGCCGTTCCCATAATCCCTAGTCCACATGGTGGATGATCGGTAGTGATGGAAGATGTCATTCAAGATCATCTGGAGACCCAAAAAATGTAAAAATGAAAGTGCCAAGCACTATGTAAAACAATATATAGTTGGTCCTCTGTCTCCACGTATTCTCCGTGGATTCAATGGCCCTTTGAAGACAACCATGAGGCCCTCAATGGAAATGAGCTTGACAACCCTGGTCTAGCACTAATGGAAATGAGCATAGTTCAAAGATGTTCCTTTTTGCATGATAACGCCCAGAATCCCATGCTAGCTGAGGAATAACACTTTCAAGCTCTGCTCTACTAATTAAGGGCTAGAAGCTACAACAAGATCTAGACCTTCAACCCTGGGACTCCCATTATTGATTCCCTTACCAAGGATTCTTATATGAGGAGGAAGATGGTTGTTGATCTTCTGTAAAATATCTTCTATCAACCAGACCTTCAAAGAGACAATTTGGCCAGCTGCAGAAACACCCTGCATTTAATCAATAGACAGGCATTAAAAGGGAGCTGGGGTGTGTGTGGAGGGAGCCTCCATCGGACACTAAAGGAATGTATGACAATTACTTTCAAGTAATAATCAAGGATTTCAGCAGTTGCTATCAGTTACAGAGAGTTAAAAGGTAACCCAATTTAACAATACTGGCACCCCTATACTGCGCAGAAACCTGGGCAGAACTTGAAACCCATTTTTTTAATGTATTGTCGGCTTTCATGGCCGGAATCACTGGGTTGTTGTAGGTTTTTCCGGGCTATATGGCCATGTTGTAGAGGCATTTTCTCCTGATGTTTTGCCTGCATCTATGGCAAGCATCCTCAGAGGTAGTGAGGGTGCTTGCCATAGATGCAGGTGAAATGCCAGGAGAAAATGCCTCTAGAACATGGCCATATAGCCCGAAAAAACCTACAACAACCCATTTTTTTTAGTCTACAGCTTCCAGAATTTCACTGCAACTATGGAGATATATATATCTCGTAGGCATTTTACATACATGTCTGGAGACATAAAATGTTGGGGTATTCACTTGTACATGTTAAAACAAGCAAAATGTTTCTAGAGCTTTCTAGACGATTCCATCTCTGACTGCGCAGGTGCAGGAAATACCATATGTGTGATTTCACAGAGACCACAATGAAGAAATAATATATAGAGAAACTGACAAAAGAGAAGCTGAAATCCACTTTAAAAACTAATTGATGTCTATGTTGGTAGTTTTAGAGTTAAAGGTAGAGTAGAGATGTATGTTTGTTAAGTAATAATTGTCTTAATACGTATCTGTTTACAAGTGTTGTGACCTTTCTTTTTGTGTTTTTTAGTGTCAAAAATTTAATGAAAAATATTAGGGAGGGGAGAGCTCAAAGAGCAGGGAGACCTGTGGAACTCTCTTCCCAGTGACATCAGATTGGCCTCCTCCTTCCTGTCCTTTAGAAAGAAACTCAAAATCTGGTTATGGGACCATGTGTTCAAACAGTAGAGGCAACAATCAAGAATAAGACCCAATTTGTGTGAATGGCAATGGACTGACCTGGACTATGATTTTAAACCTGCGGGATTTTAAACAAATGTTTTAGTAATTAATTGATTTAATGAATTGCTTTAATTGCTATTATTATTATTAATTACTTTTCTTGGCACAGAATGAATGCCTGTTGTGAAGACGCTTTGAGTCCCCCTCCGGCGGTGAGATGGACGGGATACAAATATGCGAAATAAATAAACAATAAATAATAGATATAATTGGCTTACATTTCAGGAGAATTGAACATTTAGGAGAAACTGCTTGGTGGTAAAAGCAGTTTGAGAACAGAATCAACTGCCAGGATGTGGAAAGGGAAATTGGCTCCCACACAAGAGGTCTTTAAAACAAAGGATGGTTTCCGTTGACAATGTTGAAGATCTGAATTTCTAATGCTGAACAGAGGATGTACTAGATACCCTATAATACCACTTCCATTGTGATTCAGTTGAATGGGATAGCTGAGAAACACAAGAAATGGTCACATTTTCCAACACTTGCAATTTCATGTTATTATGCGCTAAGGCTAATTGTTCTGCACTTGCAACAGGATGGCTGCACGCTTTGAACCCCAGTGTAACAAGTAAAACTACCCACTTCTCCTGCTGCTTTCTGGCGTAGCATATGCCACAGTGAACACAAGGGTGGGGACAAGGTGATTCCTGGGCCCTCAGAGTTATCCCTGCTCTATATAGAAATAATATGCAATTGAAACACACAACAGAGCATCACCTTATCTGTCCTGGCACATCTCTGAAAAGACATCTTCTTCATTTCCTCTCCATGATTTTCTGGGATGCATCCTGACTGAATGAGGGCCAACACCAGATCATCCTCAATTGTCTTGAATTGAGAATTACCCACATTCCGCTATAAGGAGGAAAGGGGAGAGAAGGGGGAAAAAAGTAAGATACTTATATCACCTGTCAGAGCTGGACTGCAGCATAGTCATTACATGAATTAATGTAGTTTGACACCACCTTAACTGCCATGGTTTGTTCGTTTATTTATTTATTTACTGTATTTGTATACCACCTTTCTCAGCCCATAGACGACTCAAGGAGGTTTACAGGGTGACAATTTGATGCTCACAATACCATAAATACAATTTTAAAACATTAATATATAATATAAAACCACAACAAAATCAATAAAACATAAATCACTAGCGTCTCCTTGTTAAAACATTGTTCAGTCCCATCGTCTAGTCCAGGGGTCCTCAAACTTTTTAAACAGAGGGCCAGGTCACAGGCCCTCAAACTGTTGGGGGGCCGAATTATAATTTGAAAAAACATGAATGAATTCCTATGCATACTGCACATATCTTATTTGTAGTTCAAAAGATACTTAAAAACAATACAATAATTAAAATGAAGAACAATTTTAACAAATATGAACTTATTAGTATTTCAATGGGAAGTGTGGGCCTGCTTTTGGCTGATAAAATGGGATTGTTGTTATTGTTCTGTGTTTTCAAGTCATTTCAGGCTTAGGTTGACCCTGAGCAAGGGCCGGGTAAATGAACTTGGAGGGCCGTATCCGGCCCCCGGGCCTTAGTTTGAGGACTCCTGGCTTAGTCCTTCCATTTTCCTATGTCAATTACTCTGCATTTGCAAACACTTGCTCAAAAAGCCACGTCTTGACTTTTTTCCGAAATCTTAAAAAGGAGGGGGCCAATCTGATATCCCTGGGAAGGGTGTTCCATAGCTGAGGGGCCAACACTGAGAAGGCCCTGTCTCTCGTCCCCGCCAAAAGTACTTGTGACAAAGGCGGGATCGAGAGCAGGGCCTTCCCAGACAATCTTAAGGTCCTAGATGGTTCATAAGGGGAGGTGCATTCGGACAATGCTATGGAGATCTGGGAGCTGTAGTTTGGGGTGGCACCCACACATTTTAGCAAAAAAGGCTAAAGGCTTTGAAAAACTACAATTCCAATAGAATCCTAGAAGACACCCCAGGGGGCATAAAGTCCACCCCCCTTCTTCCAGGCAGGAGAAGAACAATCAAAGCACCCCTGACAGATGGCCATCCAGCCTCTGCTTGAAAGCCTCCAAAGAAGGAGCCTCCTTCAGACTCTGAGGCAGAGAGTTCCACTATTGATCACCTCTTCTTACAGTCAGGACACACTAATGTGCCGTGACACCATTCAGAAAGCCCTGTATTAAACAGTTCATCGGTGTTTCCCCCCTCGCTCAATAGACACACTATACCACGCACTTGCATCCCATGGTAGCCTTTCCCTGAATACGCAACCAGCAGTACAATCTTTCTCTTTGGAAACCTCTTGGCCCCATCCTCAGCCTCATCCTCGCTGGCCTTGAAACGTTTCACTGTGTGCCCCTTCTCCTCCAGTTTCCCATCTTCCTCTTTCTCTTCTTCTTCCCTTCCACAGCTGCTACTCTTCAGCCTCTTCGCCTGGTTGCCAGTCACAGCCCTCACCTCTTCCGCCATCGAAAGGTGCTGTCAAGGATAGTACAAAAGAGAATTGTTATCATTGCAGTAGCTCATAAACACTTGAATTAAAATACAGATAGTCCCAGAGTTACAAACATCCGACTTACAAACAACTCATAGTGAAGAATGGGGGTGAGACAACAGGAAGTGAGAGAAATCTACCCCTCAGAAGGGAAATTCGCTCCTGAAAGAGTTATTATCATGGGGAAAAGGTGTCTCCACTGAAGTTTTCTCACCAATCATTTCCACAAAAAGCCACATTTTTCAGGATCCAACTAATATGGGGACAGAAAGTGAGGTGGAATCTTCTGAAGAGGGGCACAGACAGCAAAATAAAACCTACAGGGTTTATTTTGCTGTCTGTGCCCCTCTTCAGAAGATTCCACCTCACTTTCTGTCCCCATATTAGTTGGATCCTGAAAACACTTAAAAAATATCTCTGTTCCAACTTACAAATTTTATTCCCAAGATCTAAGGCTTTGATATAAATGATGCCTCATATTAATTAAGCATTATCATAATTACTACAAGTTATCCCCCAAATGCTTAAATCATATGTAAACACATTTCCAATTTCAAGGGCAAGAAAAAAAGAGACACTGCTCAATCTGTTTGCTGAAAATGAAATACAAATTAATGTGACTTAATACCATCTCTAATTTCACCTACAAAACCAAGAGAAATTCATAAATTGATACCAGTTTGGGCTCAGCATTTTTGGGGCAATGATTCAGAAAACTGCAATGCATACATTTAGTTTCTTAGATATTGTTATCACGGCTTTCTATGGGTTTTTTGTGTCAGGAGCAACTTGAGAAACTGCAAGTTGCTTCTGGTGTGAGAGAATTGGCCGTCTGCAAGGACATTGCCCATGGAATGGCCTAATGTTTTGATGTTTTACCATCCTTGTAGGAGGCTTCTCTCATGTCCCCGCATGGGGAGCTGGAGCTAACAGAGGGAGCTCATCCACACTCTCCCCAGATTCTAACCTCCAACCTGTCTGTCTTTAGTCCTGCCAGCACAAGGGTTTAATGCACTGCGCCACCAGGGGCTCTATGGGTGAACAGATGGCAACTGATTGATGGCATATGTTCTGTGTCTCAAAAACTAGAGTGGACAGGGGAAAACTGGTACCATTTTGGGAATCAGCAGGTCAAATAGACCCAGAAACAGGGCTAACATTTGAGTCATGTGCACTGGCCAATGTGATTATAATAACCAGTGAAACCCTCATTTATCAATCAGTAAAACATATACATACCTTCATGTGTGCTCCCTTGTGATAATTACCTGAAAAAAAAACATTATAACTTTGCTGCCAAGCATGCTTGATATTGTATGGGCATTCATTTATTGCGACTGATGAACTTTATGAAACTTTTAAGAAATGGAAAAAAATCTGCAGAAAAATTAAGCACCCCATCCCACCCAACATTACTACCCTTCAGGCAGGTATGGCCAAAATGAGGCCTCCCAGATGTTGCAGAACTAGAACCATAACGTATAAAGAGACCACATGGGCTATCCAGGCCAACCCCCCTTCTTCCATGCAGGAAAAGCACAATCAAAGCACCCCAGCAGATCGCCATTCCAGCCTCTGTATAAAGGTCTCCAAGGAAGGAGCTTCCACAAGCAGAGAGTTCCACTGCTGAACAGCTCTTCCTACACTCAGGAAGTTCTTCCTAATGTTGAGGCGGAAACTCCTTTCCAGTAATTTGAACCCATGGTTCCACTGAGTTCTAGTTTCCAGGGCAGCAGAAAGTAAGCCAGCTCCCTCCTCCTTATGGCATCCTTTCACATATTTATACATGGTTCTCATGTCTCTCAACCTTCTTTTCTGCAGGCTAAACAGACCCAGTTCTTTAAGATGCTCCTCATAGGGTTTCATGATTTCTCAGAAGGCTGAGGGGACATGGGAGCCATGTTTACATGTCTGAAAGGACGTCACATTGAGGGAGCAGGCTTGTGTTCTGTTGCTTTGGAGAAGAGGGCACCGAACATTTGTATTAAAACATACACGTTTAATACGGTTTGAAGCTTCATACTTGACACTGTTTCTTAATCTACCTTGTAAAAGATGAATTATAATGCCTAAATGTCCGTTTTATTTACATTGGTCTGTTAGACCAAAATTTTAAAAAGGTATTCATATGATGGAGTCATGGCAGTTAAATGTGTATTTATTTTTTTAAATGGGATTCAAATGGCGGGGGAGGGGAGATTCCACTTTATCACACTAGAGAAAAAATCCACTAAAAATCCGGTTTCTGCCTCCTGCAGACTTCTGGGGTTTGTAGTTTAGTGAAGCTGTTAAAGGCTCCTCACTAGACTACAAACCCCAGAATTCTGCAGGAGGCAGCAACTGGATTTTAAGTGGATTTTTTTCCTCTAGTGTGATGAGGCCTTTAAACAGGAGAAAGAATTTTCTGCTGGGAAAAGCTGTTCGGCAGTGGAATCTGCTGCTCCCCCAGAAGGTTTTTAAGCAGAAGGCTGGATGGCCATCTGCCAGGAGGGCTTTGATGGTATCTTCCTGCCTGGCAGGATGGGTTGGGCTGGATGGCCCTTGGGGTCTCTTCCCACGCTCGGATTCTATGGAGATTTCCTTCTAAAACGTTGGTGTGGCTCGGCGGCTCTCTGTCGGGAGGGCTTTGATGGTGTCTTCCTGCCTGGCAGGATGGGATTGGGCTGGATGGCCCTTGGGGTCTCTTCCCACGCTCGGATTCTATGGAGATTCCCTTCTAAAACGTTGGTGAGGCTCGACGGCTCTCTGTCGGGAGGGCTTTGATTGTGTCTTCCTGCCTGGCAGGATGGGGTTGGGCTGGATAGCCCTTGGGGTCTCTTCCCACGCTCGGATTCTATGGAGACTCTCTTCTAAAATTTTAGCGAGGCTGGATGGCGCTCTGTCGGGAGGGCTTTGATGGTGTCTTCCTGCCTAGCAGGATGGGGTTGGGCTGGATGGCCCTTGGGGTCTCTTCCCACGCTCGTATTCTATGGAGACTCTCTTCTAAAATGTTGGCGAGGCTGGATGGCTCTCTGTCGGGAGGGCTTTGACTGTGCTTTTCCTGCCTGGAAGAAGGGGGGGGGGGTGCACTTGACGAGCCACGTGGTCTCTTCCCAGGCTCGGCTCCTCTGACTGCAGGCCTGTGATGGGCCGGCAAGGCCAGAACCCCCTCCATAGAAGAATGAGGGCCCAGTCGGGAAGGGCTGAGGGCAGGCCTCGGAAGGCTACCTACGCGGCTGAGGTTCCTCCACCGGCAGCCCCCGAGGCTTCTTCCCAGGCAGTCAGCAGCCAGGCTCAGCCCCAGGCGGAAGAGAGGCATCCCCGGGGTGGGAGCCACGCCTGGCCTCCCAGCAGCATCTTCCCTGACGTCCCCTTCAGGCCTGGGGCTTTCGCTCCGGCTGAGGAAGACCCGCGCTCGCTCCGGCGCCCGACTTGCCTTTCCCTAAACCACGTGGGAGGCAGGGAAGAGGAAGGGGCGGGGCGGCTGGGAAACCCGACGGAGGCCAGCTAGGGACAAACTAGCTCGAAACGTCTCCTGACGTTTCGCCAGCATCTATGGCAGGCATCCTGAGAGGAGGTGTGAGGTCTGTTGGAAACTAGGAAAATGGGGTTTATACATCTGTGGGATGTCCAGGGTGGGAAGAGGTCTGAAAGTAGTCGGCAGTGCCTTTCATGCTCCTTGAGTCGTGCCTGGGCAATGCTGCTGCTGCTGCCGCTGCGTTTGGTGGTCCCGATGTAGACTTGTCCACAGCTGCCTGGTATAAAGTAGACTCCAGCGCCCAAACACGGATCAAGGAACATGAAAGGCACCCCAGACTCATCCAACCAGAGAAGTCAGTCATCACCAGAGGCACTCGCTGGGACACTTCAGCAAGTGAGAGTTCAGATGTGGCAGGCTCAAACCCACAACCTCAACCAATGGCTGATACCAAATGACAGACTCCTTTTTGTTGTTCATTCGTTCAGTCGTCTCCGACTCTTCGTGACCTCATGGACCAGCCCACGCCAGAGCTTCCTGTCGGCCGTCACCACTCCCAGCTCCTTCAAGGTCAGACCAGTCACTTCAAGCATGCCATCCATCCATCTTGCCCTTGGTTGGCCCCTCTTCCTTTTTCCTTCCATTTCCCCCAGCATCATTGTCTTCTCCAAGCTTTCCTTTCTTCTCATGATGTGCCCAAAGTACTTCATCTTGGCCTCTACTATCCTTCCCTCCAGTGAGCAGTCGGGCTTTATTTCCTGAAGTCTAGACTGGTTGGATCTTCTCGCAGTCCAAGGCACTCTCAGAACTTTCCTCCAACATCACAGTTCAAAGGCATCTATCTTCCTTCGCTCAGCCTTCCCTAAGGTCCAGCTCTCACATCCGTAGGTAACATTGCTTTGACTATGCGGATCTTGGTTGCCAGTGTGATGTCTCTACTCTTCACTATTTTATCGAGATTGGACATTGTTCTCCTCCCAAGAAGTAAGCGTCTCCTGATTTCCTGGCTGCAGTCTGCGTCTGCAGTAGTCTTTGCTCCTAGAAATACAAAGTCTGTCACGGCCTCCACGTTTTCTCCTTCTATTTCCCAGTTATCAATCAGTCCAGTTGCCAGAATCTTGGTTTTTTTATGTTTAACTGCAACCCAGCTTTTGCACTTTCTTCTTTCACTTTGATTAGAAGGCTCCTCAGCTCCTCCTCGCTTTCGGCCATCAAAGTGATATCATCTGTATATTAAGGTTGCTAAGATTTCTGCATGCCATATGCCAGCAAATATGGAAAACACAAGAATGGCCATCAGACTGGAAAAAATCAACTTATATCCTCATACCAAAAAGGGAAATGCTAAAGACTGCTCAGACTTTTGTACAGTGGCCCTTATTTTCTCATGCCAGTAAGGTAATGCTCAAGATCCTGCAAGGAAGACTCCAGCAATACATGGAGAGAGAGAGTTGCCAGATGTACAAACTGGGTTTAGAAAAGACAGAGGAACGAAAGACCAAATTGCCAATATCCGCTGGATAATGGAGAAAGGCAGGGAGTTTCAGAAAAAACATTATTTCTGTTTTATTGACTGAGAGACTCCTGGGCACACAGAAAACTGGGCAACCTGGGAAGCGCTGAACAGACTGCGCTCTGGCAACATCGAGATGCAGAGCCAACCTTATGAAATGGTGCTACAAAGTGGAGTCCACAACATGCAAGTGTGGAGAAGAGCAAACCACAGACCACCAATTACAATACAATCTGAGCCCTGCCACATGCACAATGGAGGACCTTCTCACAGTGACACCAGAGGCACTCCAAGTGGCCAGCTGCTGCTCAAAGGACATTTAATAGAATGCCAAGTTTTCACACTTTGTGCATGTGTGTTTTTTTAATACAATACAACTGTTTATTTTGCTCCTGATACAATGTTAAAAAAATAACACATCACTTGATGAACCAACCTGGACACAGCGTATTATTTGAGAACATAGAAATGCTGCACCACTTCAACAACTACCATGTCAGACTATACAGAGAAGCCATTGGAATCCACAAGCACGTGGACAATTTCAACAGAAAGGAAGAAACCATAAACATTAACAAAATCTAGCTACCAGTATTAAAAATAACTCCAAAATCATAAAGACAGGGGAGCTCCAGACAAGAAACAATCAAGGACAGCTAATCACCTCAACAAATGATGCCCCCAGGCAGTAAAAAGCCACACCTTGAAAAGTTCTAGGCCATTAAATGCTAATCAAGGTGGCCAAATGAAACATTTACACCTACCTCTAACAGACAAGAGTTCTTTCTCTCACCCTGGGCATTCCACAGATATGTAAACCCAATTTCCTAGTTTCCAGCAGACCTCAAACACCTCTGAGGGTGCCTGCCATAGATGCAGGAGAAACGTTAGGAGAGAATGCTTTTGGAACATAGCCATACAGCCCGAAAAACTTAAGCAATCCTCCTTAGGAGAGCTTTCAGGATGCCTGGGACATGACGGGAGTTGCCATTTCACGCCATCAGGGGCTTTTTAGTATCTGTCAGGTGTTTGGGGCTTCAGCTCCCAGCATTCCTGGCCATTGTCCAAACTGGCTGGGGCTGCTGGGAGTTGGAGTCCCAAACACTTGGAGGAGCAAAGTTTGGCAACCCCTCTCTCCAGGATGGAGAGAATCCCTTGGTGAGAATCACCCTTAGTGTTCGGCCTAGACCAATTATAGATCCATCTCTCAGTAGTATTGTCTAGCCCAGACATGGGCAAACTCAGGCCCCCCAGATGTTTTGAACTTCAACTCCCACAATTCTGTTAGTTCAAAACACCTGGAGGGCCAAAGTTTGCCCATGCCTGGGCTAGCCCACAGCTTTTTGTTACAAAGTTTATTTCGTTTTCAGACATTTTTATACCATAAGAGTGGGGGGAAATGCCAAGGAAAGTGTAAGTTGATTATGAAGTTTTGTTTGTGAGCTATCCATAAGTCTAATGTACATCCAAGAATGAGGAATTCTTGCATGTACATTACTGCAGAAGTTTAATTCTTCTGCAGAATTAAACTATTGAATTTTTAATCTCTTTTTATTGGGGAGCGAGGTGATCTCCTGTTAGCCCCAGCTTCTGCCAACCTAGCAGTTCAAAATCATGCAAATGTAGTTGATCAATAAGTACCACTCTGGAGGGAAGGTAATGGTACTCCATGCACTCATGTTGACCACATGACCTTCGAGGTGTCTGCGGACAATGCTAGCTCTTCGGCTTAGAAATGGAGATGACCCCCCCCCCCCCCCCCCCCCCCCAAGAGTCAGACATGACTAGACTTAATGCCAGGGGAAAACCTATACCTAACCTTACCTTGATTGGGAAGTAAAGAGACTAGAGATATTGGGGCACTGTGCATCAACACTATCCCCAGGTCAGGAGGGATGAATTACGGGGAGCAGGCCGATTGGTAGTAGGATGTATTTGGAATTCCGTGATAGGATTCTTTGGTGGTGGTCCAGCTGCAATGCTGGATTGCTAGCATCGTGCAATAACGTCCCTAATGGGAATAGTCTCTTGAAGGCGCTGTATGCAATCTGCAACACTGATTTTGTGCAGGTTTTCGAATCAGGTAGCAAGATGGTTCAAACAGTTGTTTACTTTATGTGCGGATAATGGAGGGGGTGGGACTCATGCACTCCCATTTCTCACACATTTAGCTTAGCTGCATTCTAAATATAAAATGAAACATTGGTTGATGGGCCTTTTCCCTGAATTTACTTTATTTAAAATGCAAAAATGTTAAGAAATAATGCCATCACAGGGATGTCACACACCATGCAGCCAGATGTGGGAGGAGAGAGTCATATCCATCGTCAGTTCAGAAACTCTTGGGAAATGACTGTAATTGTGTTTTATGTATTTATTTATTTACAGTATATATATTCCGCCCTTCTCACCCTGAAGGGACTCAGGGCGCATCACGGAACATACATATGCAGCAAACATTCAACGCTGTTTTTATACACAAACAAGACATACAATTATACATAGAGAGGTGTGTGTGTGTGTGTGTGTGTGTATATATATATATATATCGGTTTTTCCCATCTTCGCCATCTTGGAGGCTGTGTGTTCAGTTCCAGCCACAGGGGAAGGGGGGAAGGTGCCACTGCTCCATCTCCCTACCTGCCGAAGAGCTTTGCTCATAACTTCCTCCTTATGATCGAATTGCTGGCATTCCTTATGGGTGCCTCAGAATATCTCCCAGTTTTTAAGCGGTACCTATTTACCTACTCACATTTGCTTTTGAACTGCTAGGTAGGCGGAAGCTGGGCTAAAGGCCAGGAGCTCACCCGGGCTTCGAACTGGCAGCCTTTTGACTGACAAGATTTACTGCAGCTGGTGGTTTAACCTGCTGTGCTAAAGCCTTAATATCAGCAGTGTACCTTAATATCAGCATGGAGCACTGTGTAAATGGAAGGCCAGCCCATTTGGAACATTAGTTCCAGTATTTCCTCCTCACACATTCATTGAATGTAGAAACAGGAAATCACAAAAAATATTTTTGAGAAAAGAAGCCGCTATCTTCAACAGTGAAAAATGATAAGAGGATATAACAGTATTCTTTAAAGAAGAGAGGTTATTGAATAAATAACAATTAAAATCACTTTATTTTCTTAGGTCAGCGTTATACAACTTAAAGCAAAAACACAACACACTTTTTTTTAAAGTGACACATTTATCAAGCATAACCATGTGAAGCTCGAACAGCACATTCTCTCAAACCTGATCATACATGTATTTAGCTCAATGTTTCTAGTGAAGATGCTACATAGAAATTCTGCAATAGGACTAAATCCATTCACTGTAGTGAACAGACTAAGTAGCCACTTCCACTTGGTTTTTTCACCTCTTCTAAAAGGTTTTTTCTCATTTTATAAAACAATGGGTTTTTTCCCCGCTAACCTCTCGCCCAATGGTTCATGATACATGCAGCTATGATTGAAGAGTAAGCATAAAATCACCAGTGTGATAGCAAAAGATGGCTTGCTTCTAGTATTATTTTTTAACCCAAGCACAGTGGCTGAATTTCAAGTATTAGTGTTCTGTAAACTATTTTTGGAGCAATGACTAAAGTCGAATGTGAAGATCTTTTGATACATTCAAGTAACTAAGTACAACTGGAAAGTTAATGCTGATCTAGCTAAGTGACATTGTTTAATTAATCCCATGGCTTTAGAATGCCACCTCTATGAAGGTGGTGGTTATGACCGTAGCAGAAAAAGGAGTCTATGCTATTTTGAAGCAAATCTCCTGGCTTAGATAAAAATGGAGTGGGGATGACAATTTTTTAGTGGGAAATTAAGTTGACACTTTGCTTCAGACTTGTTTACTGGGCACTCAATGGAATTGACAGTGGAGATTGCTGGGAGGACTGGGGCATGCTTTAGTGACTTTTAGCAACTGCCCTAGGATGCCAGACATGGCTGTGTTCACATGGAGCACCAAATGCACACTTCTCTCTGTAATATTAACATGTTGAGTTCTATTTTTACCTCTCCCCACCCCCCATTATGTTTCTCTCTCATTTGCTTTCAAGTCACACAACCTTCTAAACAAAACTCAGGGGCATTGAAGTTCTTGCTGGAAGGTATCTGAGAGTGGATTATGGCTATAGCATTTAATCATCTATCCCAGTGTGGGAAATGTGTCACCCGGCACATAAACGATACCTCTAACTGTAAAACATGCAATTTTTTTAAAATCTTAAAAACTGGTGGAAGGGAGGCCTTTTCTAAGTTGGTGCCCATTGCAACACATGTGGTATTTTCCTTTTTAAAAGACTGCCTCACTTGCATGCACTTGATGCAAGTGAAGCAATCCCATGAATCAAGTGACAGCATGAGAAGCACTGAAATTCCCAATGCGGTGCGTGGTTTAGTGGTCTTAATTCTGCAGACAAGGACCTGGATAATGTTTTAGATTTTAATGAATAAAAATAGGAACCGAAATCCAATCCTTTACCTCTGAACTAGAGGAGAAAAAAAGGCAGAAGAAACGGAAAATATCCAATGATAAATAGAGATACTTTGGATTTGTAGAATAAAACTTTATTTTTCAAATTAGCTCTGTGTATTTTGGCCAGGAAACATTTATTTAGTCTTGTGCTAAAGCTATGAAAAGAAACCTTTGGAGACTCTCTTTTGAAGTCTCTGAAAGTCCATTTTCCAATTGTTTTGTGAGCATTGTCTTATGTGTATTATCAGTTTTAACTTGCTTTATATACTATTTCTTAAGGAATCTATTTTATATACAATTTGTTATGTGGCAGAAATGCACAAAAATATACAGTAATTCTTTAGTCTATGCTTGCTTACAATGATTATTTCTATTGTGGTTACCTATGTATTATTTTCCTATTTACCCCTTTGTCATTTAACAGTCCCGGGGAAGAACACATATAGGTTAAGATACATGGGACTAGTCTGAGAAATAAAAAATCTTGTTTGACATATTCTGTCTTCCTTTTATAGTAAACCAGAGTACATCTGAGCCAAGAATTGCTGAACAAACAATATTAAAATAGGACCAGTGGTTTCCTGCATTTACCCATTGGTTTTTCCAATATTGTAGCCTATTTGAAATAGTCACAGAATAAAAATTGGAAACAAAAGATGACATCGAAGAGCAGATTAAAGCTACAGATCCCATCAAATGTGCTAACCTGAAATACTGATGTGTCTTTTTTCCTGGTACTGCCAGAAACCATGAAAGTTTTTTCCAAGTTGATAGGATTGTTCCTTGCATATTCAGAAGGGGAGTCCACAAAAACACACACACACAAAGGTAAAAGTGATGAAGACCAAACCCACAGTGTGAAAATAAATATATTTGATCCATTCTTTTCAAATGAACAAACTAACAAACAAAAATTAGCCCTGAAATCCATCTTTTGTTTGCCACAGCTGCTTCCTAGTCTAGCACATAAAATACTGCTGTAAACTGGATCCATTCTAAAACAAACAAACAAACAAAAAACCACCACCTCACAACATGGAAAATCTCACACATTTAGTCACCACAACCTCAGCTCAAATGCACTCACACAAACAAACAAACCCCACAGCCATATGTTAGTACATGTAACATGCCTCCTTTTCTTTATGGCTACTTAGTTGCTTTAAACATGGGTGAAGGAAATGTTGGAAAGGTCAAAACAGCTAAAAGACTTAAAAAAATGAAAACCAATCAGCAAAAGGGGACAAAAGCAACTTCTAAGCAAGCATAAAATCAAGCTCTTGCCCTTTAAGCATGTCTAAAGCACCAAGCCTGGAACAGTATATCCATTAAAAAGAGCAAAATAAAGAAGAAAACATCTAAATATAAAGCATGTAATTCCAGGTACTGCAGACTTTCAAGATGGTGCCCCTAATCATGAAAAGAACACAGACAGTCTAATGGTTATTCATCTCCTCACCAGCATAAGATACAGTACAGTTAAAATACATACAATTACACAATACATTATTTCATATACATATCAATACATATTAAATCAATTAATATGTATTAATATGTGTGTATGCATGTGTATGTACACATACACTTGTAGTGCAATTTCTTAATAAAAAAAAAACCACCTCAACAAACAATCAACAACATATCAACAGAAAAAAGCAAGGGAAGGACATTCCTATAATGATGACATTGTTGGATCACTGAGAGGCCAAGTGTCCAAAAGCCCAAGTTCACATTGTCCATAAAGTGCTCCTTTGGTTTCACAAAATGTATGTGTGATTCTTTTTCATTTTCACCCCTTAGGTAGAAGAGACTGTTTTCCTGACAAACAACCCAAAGCCAAAAACGGTACTGATGCTTTCTCATGCCATAAATGCATCGATGAGAGAAGAGGGCTATAGCCATGCATCTACTTAATAATTCTCCTTTGGGTGAAGAGATGTGTGCACGTGTATGGATCTCAGCTTCCTGAGACTGATGCAAGATGGTTTGGAGTCCACGTTTTAGTCTTCAATTAGTTTTTAGTTACAGATGGAATTTTTAATTTTTCTCTCATAGTTCACAGTGTCCTCACATTCAATGAAGACTTATCTCCTCTGTCCCCTGCCTTGCCACCACCCACCTGGAAAGGTGAGGTTCTCTGAACCTAAGGCCTGAAGCATTGCTATGGATAGACAAAAAGCCATAGCTGCTTGAGCAGAGATTAGCTGGCGACACTCGACCTCGACTTGCCATATAATTGCTGTTCTTTGCATGCTATAAACAATGAGAGGCCAAAGTAGAACACCACAACATGCAAAGTGTTACACAGTAGTCCCAAGTGATCGTTGACTGACAGACATGGTTGAAAATGCAATTGGCCAATGTGGTTTCTGTCCAATGACACTTCCTTTAGGGCAAACCACCTTTATTTCCAAGAGCAGAACAATTCAACGTATCCACCGCCAGCAGTGGACAATAAAGCCACAGTGTGTCCAACTCTCAGGCAGCCCACCCTGGGCACAAAGGAAGTTTGAGGTTCTCTTCCCTTTGCAACTGTCCTTCAAACGGGCATGTTATTCGACAGCCCTTATGTCCTCTGTCTCAGTGTTCTGTGGCAAAAGGATTGAAATAATTCCTGCTATTCCCCCCAAAGTCAGAGATTTGTGTGTGTACAGAGAGAATATCTAATCTGGGGGAAGGTTTCCATCCCTGTTGACTGATGCCATCTGAGAGCACTGTCGCTGAGAAGCCTGCTCAAGTAGGATTTGTCTTTTTGGCAGCAGACAATTTTAGAGACAGAAGAGTCGGAAGAGGGGCAGGCTTTCCATCATGCGCTGATCCCCGACAGCAGGGCTGAAAGCCGGCGCTCAATACACATCTTGCCTGAGAAGAGAGTAAGAGAAAACAAGTATAGAAACGATCGTTCTTTTTATTTCTCTCCTCCCAGCAACAGCAATGCTGCCAATACTGCTGTTATGCATTAACAATCAAAATGCAGGGATCAATTGCATTATAAGCTTGTAAGAACAATCCATTAACCTTTTTATTTCTCCCAGGCATTTTGAGAACTGTGTTTACAGCTTTTAGATTTGGTTGAGCAAGCACTGAGGTTTGGAGGGTCATTTGAGGGCCTGATCTTTGATGGGCTTGCGCCAGCACTTACAAAGAAATACTGTTTTCTGCAATTAGAAGTCACTTTCACATGCATTGTCTCTCAGTTTGAGGGAGATGAGATGTATGAAATGGTGTCTACAGCAGACATGTGCAAACTTTGTCTCTACAGCAGACATGTGTAAACCCACAATTCCTAACAGCCGGTAAGCTGGCTGGGATTTCTGGGAGTTGAACTCCAATAGCTGGAGGGCTTAAGTTTGCTCATGCCTGGTCTATAGGCTAAAAAATACTTCTTAGAACAAGCCTGCACAATTTGGCAGTAGTAAAGGCCCAATAGGAAAATAAGATACACTTCTGTGGGCCACTACTCCTCCTCTTCCCTCTGTAGTAGTAGTAGTAGTAGTAGTAGTAGTAATAATAATAATAATAATAATAATAATAATAATAATAATAACTTTATTTATACCCCACCTCCATCTCCCCAAGGGGACTCGGGGCGGCTTAATGAGGCCACGCCCATCAATACAGTAAACACAATATAACACAAAAACACAACAGAAAATCAGAAAATAAAATAACATAAGATACAAAACCAAATGTAAATAAGCAGCACAACAATATAAAATCAAACATTAAAACACAAATGATCACACTGGGTAGGGCCAAATTCAAATTCAAGTTGTATTCAGTATTGATTGACTGAAAACATGTTTTTAAGACAAACGTTCCGAGTTAGTATCCTGGGCCACATAATTCCCAACCCTATTCACAATCATGATACTCTTCTACTTTGCTCCTGGTTTTACTACGATTTTTAAAATGATGTTTTTAGGTTTGCTCATTTAAAATCTTGTTTTCATGATTTGTCTGTGCTTCTTTATTGATTGTGTTTTATACTTTCTTAATGCCAGGGGGGAAAATGATTACTTGACAGAGTAAAAGTTTAAAAGTACCCAACCAATCAATTAAAACTGCCTTGTATTTCAGAGTTATAGATCCTGCTGGTCTCTGAATACAAAGGAACTTACATTCCTGCTCCTGTGTACTCCTACTTGGCAATACATTATATGAAACTCAGTGGCCTTTGAGAATGGCAGGACTGAGAATCTCAAAACTTAGGCAGGTTGCATCAATAATTAACACACACTAAAAAAATGGCAAAACTGAGCAAGTTCCATAATGTTTTTATAAAAAAAGCTCAAAATTACTGTTCCCCAGGGATAGCATTCCAAAACAAGGTGATTTATGAATTGGAATGTTGAACAATTGTGATTTAAGGAATGATGAAACTATAAAATAATTCTTACATTTATTAACATTCTCAATGTCTCCTTGCTCGGAGATGATGTTTAAAAGTCCCTCCATCAGAAGTAATGCTTTGTGGTATCGTTGCATGCAGTCCTCTCGGTGATGGAACATCTCATCCAGTGCTGCAGCTTGGACCTAGAAAGGAGTAAACCTTTTAATTCATGCTCTTGCCAAACACTTATTGTATGGTCAGTTACAGCCCCAATTTTCAAATGATCCCGTTAAAGATGGGGCTGTACTTTACTCTTCCACCTACTTTATTTATTTAATATAACATATTTATTTATTTATTTCTTTATTTATGTATTGCATTTGTTGACCGCCGTTCTCGGCCCCTTAGGGCGACTCACAGCGGTGTACAACATATAAAAAACAGTTTACAATAAGCCATAGCATAACGAATATCTACATAACAAGCAATAATACCACAATCATATAATTAAACTAAATCATCCGCGTCGTCTCATCATAGAATCATACACCAATCTCATAATCCATATTCCGTTCCAGTCGTCAGCCAATTTTTATAGCACTTAGTTAAACGCCTTCTCGAATAGCCATGTTTTTAGGCTCTTACGAAATGACATAAGGGAGGGCGCCTGCCTGATGTCAACAGGGAGGGTGCTCCATAGCTGGGGGGCCACCACTGTATTGAATCTAATGTGCACTTTAATTTAAAAATCCTGAAACCAAAAAAGATATATTTTAATGAATGTAAAAGTAGAAGACTGGTAGAGACCACAAGGGCCATCCAGTCCAACTCCCTGCCTTGCAGGAAAAGCACAATCAAAGCACCTTTGACAGATGGTCATCCAGCCTCTGCCAAAAAACATCCAGAGAAGGAGACACCACCAGACTCCAAGGCAGCATATTCCCCTGCCTGATTAGAGCTAGTCAATAATGAGACTAGAAAGAGGCTGCTCCTCCACTGGAGAGCGTGCTTGTAGTCTACTTAGCATTTCAGAGGAAGAGAAAGAAGTAGCCCATCCAGGATAGCCTCCACTGCAGGGAAACTTAGGCTTGGATTCAAGCTGTGCAGCTGAAACACATATGCTGAAACATATGTTCAAGGCCAGCATAGCGAGACATTCACAAAAGGTTAGAGGTTTGTAAATACCTACTGTGAGCTTACTTCACTCAAAGCATAGTGTCATATTTTCAGCCATTGCTCTGAATCATTCTGAGAACTCAGTGTGCAGACGAGCTGGGAGTGTGCACTGAACCCTCAAGTCCCCACATCAACCCAAAAACAAACCAGGGGGTCAGATGTGAGCACACAGAGCACAGTTGTTCTCTTATTTTGTCTCACTGCATACTCCTACATGGCCAGTGGATTTGGTATGTCAGATTTTTTTTTTAGTATTTTTAACCCTGGAGATACTATGGATTGAACCTGGACCCTTTTGCATACACTCCATCATTCCAGAGAATGCTTCTAATTCGTAGGGGCTCACCAATCCTTTCTAACTTCACATTTTATGAGGTGACAGAATAATGGAGCCTATGGAGGAGGGTTTGGGACTTAAATACTAAGGCTAAGACTTGATGCCACCCTCAAGAGCACCCAGGCACACTTCCAAAGAGCCCTGTCACATTTAGGAAGATTTTCCATACTATTTGCACAGCATGGTTGAAGATGAGCCTCTCCGCTGTGATGCTGTTGATACGATCCATGAGCTTCTGCTTATCCAAGAACCATCTCTGCAGCCTCATGTTCAGGCAGTGGCAAGAGGATACACTGGATTTATATAGATCGTTGAGCTTCCTTACAACTGAGCAAAAGGAAGAAATGGGAAAAGTAAACAAATTATTTAAGAATATAAAAAAGCTGTCTTATATTGAGTCAGATCATCAATCCATCTAATACAGGCATGGGCAAACTTTGGCTCTCCAGGTGTTTTGAACTTCAACTCCCACAATTCCTAACAGCCAGTAAGTTGGCTGGGATTTCTAGGAATTGAAGCCCAAAACACCTGGACGGCTGAAGCTTGCCCATGCCTGATGTGATACAATACTATCAACTCTGATTTCCAGCAAAGGCTCTCTGAGGTTTCAGACAGGATTCTTTCTTAGGCTTATTTAGAGATCCCTGACATTCCATTTTAGGCCCCCATCCATGTACTCAGCAGCTGAAATAAAGTGAGAGCAGATGTGTGCAGGATGGCATGGCGATCTAATTTGTTTTATTGTTATTAAATAGCTTTGGGTTGCCTGGGTTACAGATTTTGTAAGGATAAACATTTAAATAGTTATTGTTTGATTTTCACTTTTATGAATGGACCCAGTGCTCTTTGAAAGTGGAACTACATATGGCTGTTTGGTACTAGGATACACATGGGTCCCATCGGTGGGGTTCACAGTGCTCTGTGATTTTGGGTGAACTAGAACCTATCTGACCGCATCTCTGCGTATGAACCCACCAGGAGTTTGAGATCTTCCGGGGAGACCCTGCTCTCGATCCCGCCTGCTTCTCAAGCTCGGCTGGCGGGGACGAGAGATAGGGCCTTCTCGGTGGTGGCTCCTCGGCTGTGGAACGCCCTTCCTACGGACATTAGACTAGCACCATCTCTAATGGTATTCCGCAAAAAGGTGAAGACCTGGATGTTTGTGCAGGCGTTTGAGTAATTTAGTACAATCTGGTAATGGAACATAGGAATGGAACAATGGACGACGAATCTGGACTACGCTTGGATGATGAGAAGATTGGGTACGGTTGTTTTTTGTAATAATTGTGCATTGTAATTGCTTATTGGTAATTTATGGATAATGTGTTAAGTCAATTGTTATATGTTGTATGGAACCACTGCTGTTTCTACTGTTTCTACTGTTTGTGAACCGCTGTGAGTCGCCTTCGGGCTTGAGATACAGCGGTATATAAGCAAAGTAAATAAATAATAAATAAACTTCCCTCATCAAAGGTCAAATACCCCAAAATCCCACCAATATGTCAATATGTTCATGATGGGTACGTGTAACAAGTTTGGTCCAGATCCATCATCAGTTTGGTTCATAGTTGTCTTTGGGTTTGGGTAAACTACAACTACATTTCTTTTGCTCAACACTTATTTTCTTCCAATTTCCTTAGGAACAACCCTTGCCAAGAAACAAAATGATTCAACTGACCGAGTGACTGCATATTAATGTAATTTATTAAGCTGTGTTCACAGCATTTATTGCTAAGCCCTTGCACATCGCATTCAGATCAGGAAATCCAAATGTGTCTAGACACCTACAACAGCATTCAGGGCTCGGAACCAATAAAGAAAAAGGAACAAGGTCCTTAACTTTAGAGAAAGCTTGAGGAAGAAGCATGCATAGCACGCCTCAGCCAACAAGATAAGCTATCTGCTGCACCAGGGGGTGTAAATGGAAGGTGAAGTTTGTGGGAAGCAGACTGATCACCCAAAAATCCCAGGATTACTCCAGGGTAATATTTACAACTCTGTTTCTGCGAGAGCTTGGAAAGTTTCTTCTGAAAAGTAATGTTACATCTACAAATACCCCCATTGCCTTTTAAATTGCTATTTTAAATCAGTAGCTCTTCTCATTATAATGGTTACAATAACTGTTTTTTTAAAAATTGGAAACTTTACAAACAGTTAACATTTGTTACAACACATACATATAATTATAATTAGTAATCCTTTTTCTTCCAATAACTGTCAGTTACAGGGACCCCATACAAAGAAAGAGGTTATCCTTCACTACATTGCAATAAAGCTATAATGTAGTCATAGCTATCGTTACTACAAAAAAAAGGATTCAATTACAACTTTACTCATTGCTTGTAATAAGTTACATTCATATTATGCAGACTATTTAATCTGTTTAATGGGGAACCAAACCCAGGACCTAGTCTATTACTGAACTAGAGCCCCATCTCAAGATAACTGCAGGATGAGAGACCTTGAGTATTAATGTACATTTGAATCAGGACTCTTACTTTGCTTGACGGTGGAAGAAAGACACAGCTTGCCTGCTCGAATCTGGTCTATGGCCATCTGGAGACCAGAGGACAATAATTCTGCTACCTTCAGGTACAATACCAGTTGTTCTGCATAACTGCAAAGGAAGCACAAAACCTGGTTCAGAGAATCATCCCTGCAGCCCATACTGTATGGGAAGCAATGTAGAATTTTTATTGAACTCTCCTTCAAGATCAATGGGGTTTTTCTTTACCTCCATTCTTTGCTCAGCAGGCTGATTTGGTCAGCCACGACACTTTCCTGGAGCTGGTACTCAGAAGCCAAGGACGTGTTCAACTCGCTGGTGTTCCCTTTGATGGCCGCAATTTCCATCACATAGTGGACAAAGGCCAAAGTAAACCGCAGGCTACACAAGATGTCTGTGTGCTCTTGCTGCAACCAGGAAAGGGAAAAAAAATCATGCATGCAGGGCAGGCCTATTTTGAAGGAACTGAGAAGCACACAGCTATTCAGGTGCTCTGACTTAGTGGGGGAGCTAGTGGATTTTTTTGTCAGATGGAAGCCAGCTCAGTACAATGTGTTGTCAAAGGCTTTCAAGGCTGGAATTACTGGATTGCTGTGAGTTTTCCGGGCTGTTACTCGGTACAACTCCTATAGTATAACTCCTATAGGATTATACAGCCCAAACCTAAAGAAAAGTGGAAAATTTTTAAGAAGCCCTGCTTTAAAATACATATCAGAACCAATTAAGAAGGAAAAGAAACACCAAAACAGCAGACAGGGAGAGCACTGGTTGGAGAGCTTCAGGATATTGCATGCAGCAGAGAAAAGGAACTGCGCTGAAGAAATTGATCACCATCAAATCAGAGGACAAGCTAGAACTTTATATTTGTTGGTTGTCCAATTTGAATGGCTGAGAATGAGAACCCCACATGAAACATCAAATCCTGTTCCCTTTTAATGCTTGGATCATAACCTGGCACGGTGAGTGGAATGCAACTCACTTCCATGAGGGTCTCTTCAGGTAACTCTGGTGCCTCAAAGGTAATTCCTCCATCCAGGTTGGCAGTGAGGGGGTCGGCAAAGGTGTATCTGAGACCCAGTGATGCTTCCAGCACATCTCCACCGGTGCCCATGATGAAGTGTCGCCCACTGAGAGATCCTCCAGAACTCAGAGAGCTAGATGAGCCAACTTTTTAAAAAAGTCAAAATACAACATATCAGTTGTCTAGATTTGAAGCATAAAAGGCATCAAGCCAAGGAAAAACATATCTTATCCTTCCATTCAGTTTTTAAATTTCCTTGGACTTAATTATAACACTTTCATTCTCATTATCTTTACTAATCTCACTACTCACCCCTCAAAAGAAAGTACAAGCAGTCTTAAGGATAAATATTGATCACCCAAACATTTCGGGGGGGGGGGGAGTGTTCTTATGGCCACCGGCTCAAGAATAGTACTGCAACAGGAGGCCAAGTGCAGCTAATCTACCAGGTGGTTTGCACAAATTGCATACAACTTCTGTATGCTTATGCCTGCACAAGCTAAAGTAAAAAAAAAAAAATGCTTGCAGAATGCACACACTCCTGAGTTGCAAGACAAATAAAGGATTGCAGTTGCAAATACAGCAGTATTAAGATGGCAAGTAGGATTTGTCACCTGAAAACATCCTAGTCCTTGTGATCTGTGGGGGTGTTGTCCCACTGGGAGGGGATCCCACAGTAAAGACGACTGGAGAGGGACTTGATGAACCCCTATCCTTAGCTCCTGCGTGTAGGGCTCCTGCACAGGCAGCAGAAGGAGCTGTGGAGAAAGATCAGCCACACAAATGAACAGAGGAAGAAGAAACCCATGAAGACAAGTAACACACAGGTGGCTATGAAGAAGAGAGAACCAAACATCAGCACTGACAAAAAGAAAAGTGATCTCAAAGCTTCCAGGCTTCCCAGTACCTGTTATCTCCATGGGCTTCTCATTGTTCAAGCTGTCATTGCTACCAGCTTCCCCAAAAGCAGCCTTGAGAAGAAGGTCTGTAAGGCGACCAGTGCTGAATGATCTAAAGAAAGGGCAAGAGACCAGAAAAATTCACAGACTTTGTTGCCTTCTCTTCTCTGAGGGAAATATACTATTAAAGCGTTTTCTTTAAAAGGCAACTCTATGTGTGTGTGTACAGTGTATATAATAAAAGTCAAAGTATTTATCTATTTGTTCATCTGTCTGTTTGTATGTATTTTCCAAGATGGCACCCACAGCCAGAGAACCCTCTGACTCCTGTCAACAACAGTCCACCATTGCCAAAAGCAATGTAAGCCAAATGCATTGCATCTTTTACAACAGGATGGGAGCAGAGGATCATGGGAATTCTCCATGCTAGTGGTCCACATAGGCAGTAATGCTACACAGCCAAATTTAGCCTACAAATTACATATTACCAAATGTGCCAGATTGTGTGGAAACCTCAAAGAATTGTGAAGATGACTTGATGTAAGCAAAGGTCTGGTCGGTACAAAAAGGGACAGGAGACTGATATCCTCCCACTTCCAGCAACAACAGAAAAGCAGGATATTCCACATGCAATAATAGATTTGCATACCAAATGCCTTGTTTGCTAAGCTTCATACCTGCCCTTTGCTTCTTCCATAGGCTTCAAACCAAGCCCTGTTTGCTGGCAATGAAAATAGCCCATCTCCTTCAAGTCAGGCAGTGTCCTATTCCTTGTGGGGGCAATCATTACACCTTGATGGGCCAGGAGGGTCAGCAGATTTTGGGAACTTGGGGTTTTATTGAACTCAAATGGTGACATGACCTGTTTAAACCAGAGATGAAACAAAGAAGAAGAGGATAAGTGTAGTTTATCAGAAATATACTATAAATGACTTAAAATGGCTGTGCCAGTTCTACCCTCCACCTCTCTGCTCATCAGCACTGGGGCTGTTGACATGCTTTCCCACTGCAGTTTAAACTGTGTGTGTGTGTTGGGATAGAGGAAAAGATGGAGGACTTTGGTTATTAGAATGCAGAGCATATCTCTCCTTATGAACCTTCTAGGATGTTAAGATCTTCTGGGAGGCCCTGCTCTCGCTCCCGCCTTCTTCGCAGATGCTTTTGGCAGGGACGAGAGACAGGGCCTTCTCAGCGGTGGCCCCTCAACTGTGGAAAGCCCTGCCTAGAGATATAAGATCGGCCCCCTCCCTCCTGACTTTTCGAAAGAAGGTGAAAACCTGGCTTTTTGAGCAGGCCTTCCCAAATACGGCATAGCTAAACGGAATTATGGAACTACTCGACAACACAATGGAATAATGATTTGACATGGAAATGCTCATGACAATGTTTTAAGGCTTTGTACGGTTTTAATATTTTTTATATTTTTATACTATATGTTATTTTTAAAATATAATTTCTTGATTGTTTTTACTGATTAATTGTTATGGCATCGAATTGTTGCCAATTTGTGAACTGCTCCGAGTCGCCTCCGGGCTGAGAGGGGCGGTATATAAATATAGTAAATAAATAAATAAAAATGCAGCTACTATTTAAATGAAGACAGCTGCAAAAAGGCAAACACATTAAATACAAAATGTTGGAAAAAATTACTCTTTGGGGCGACAAGTCTCAGAATCCTCTAGTCAACTTGGCCATTGAATTCTGAGAATTGTAGTCTAAGAATTAACTTTTTATCAAAGGATTGTATTGGAGAAGAGACAGGAAACAAGATTGAAAAAGAAAGGGGAAGAGAAAAGCAGGAGGGATGCATGCCTAGAGGATGAAAGACAAAGAATGACAATGGCTGATGATGATTCTTGAATCTGTTGAGATGGACAAATTAACTAAGCTGTTCAACAGTTGAACTCTCTGCCTTGGAGTGTGGTGGCAGCTCCTTCTTTGGAGGCTTTTAAACAGAGACTGGATGTTCATCTGTCAGGACTGCTTTGATTGTGCTTTTCCTGCATGACAGAAGGGGATTGGACTGGATGGCCCTTGGGAGTTTCTTCCAACTCTATGATTCTATGATGATGGAAAGTATTTGTCCAACTACAAGCAAGATTGGGACTGACTAATTTAGTAGTAGTAGTAGTAGTAGTAGTGAGAGGGGCATCTGTCTATTGTAGGTTTTAGGAATTAGTAGAGCATTATTAAAAGTGGAAGGGGGATTAAAGGAAATAAATAGAGATTTAAAAAAATCAGCATGCAGCAAGGGAGAGTTTTGTAGATTAGTTTTCCTGTTTGTTAGTTCCGTTCTTATCGTGTAGGTGTTTCCTCGTTTGCTTTATGTTTGTTAAGTAGTTCTTTTCTTTAAAGGACCAAAATTGTAATTTGTGTAAACATGCTTTTCCTTTTTGTTGCTGTTCTTGAATTTTTTTAAAAAAAATTAAATGATGCCCACTAGATTCTGAGATTGTAGTCTAATTAGCAACTTTTCCAAACTCTAGGTGCTATATGCACTTTACACTTAGTGGGAAGAGGTATATTCACTCCTCTTGCAGTTTTAATATTGGGTCACCCCTACACAACCTCCTACATTCTAGCTTTACAAAATAAAGACCAGGTCCTGCAAGTAGGCAGTACCTTTGTTGGAGACCCCATAATAGTTGGCAAGGGGCTCCTCTGCATGAATTCAGACAGCTTTGGAGAAGACCTCAGTGGGAGGCAAGCTTGCAGTCCATGTGTCTGTGCAGACTGGCCAGTTGGAATGTGGCCAAAATGAGTGACCAGAGGCTCAGAGTACTGTTTCTTTATCTTCTGTTGGCAGGAATGCAAATTTGATAGGTTGGGAGCACTGTGGAGACGGGAGCCCATTCCTCGCAGGGAAGGGTCAGGCACTGAGGCACCTAGGAGAGGACAAAAAGAGCAGAATGATCATGTTTGACCATACATAAACCGGAATGCAAAGTTTGAAGGTGAACCCTACCATAACATACCAGTCATGGGCACCCGGCTTCTCATCTCTGCTCCAAGAAGAGAAGGAATAACAGTATGGTCAGGCTGCTCTGGAATTGTTCCAACTTGAGGGGAAAAAAACACAAAGAAAACAAACCAGGTCAGACAATAAATTACATTATCACAAGAGACATGCTTCCTGATTGTAATGCAACAATGTTATCTTATTTTGACCAATTGCTTGTGGTTTAAACAAGAAACGTGAACTATCAAGATGCAATTCTTCTAGCATATACTCAAGATTCTGATATTTACAATACACAAGTGAACAACATTTAGCCCACCAGATGTTAGTGATGAGAAACTTTCATAAGCAAAGCTAATGGTGAGAAATGCTGGGAGTTGGAGTCCAACAAGATCTGGAGGACCACACACTGCCCATGCCTGAGTTGATCCCAATGTGGTTTTTTTCTTTTATGAGCATAAACTTAAGAAAAGAAAGAAAAAAAGAAAACCTTGTGGGGATGGTGTATAAGGCTTTGCACCACCAAAAGAAAATCTTCTGGGTGCTGACACAACTCCGTGCTCTCCAGAAACAAATGGAGGGGAAGGGCTAGCCTTTTTGTAGCTGTGTGGGCTTGTGTTTCTTGATCTCCTGGCTGTAGCAGACCTAATGGGAAATAGTAAGAAATAATGGGATGAGTTATTCCAGATAACAAAGGTTTTAAAAACAATAACAGGCAATCACATTTCCTGGACTGCAACAGAAAAGAATCTCCCAAAGTATCATTTCAAGAAAGTAACTCTTTGAAGCCTCACTTTCTCCACATTGTTCACCATACAGATGCAGTAGCAAGCCATTGAGGTACAATGGCACGGTGTTCGGATGTAAGAAAAGCTAATTTAAATTTATTTCCTACTCTAAATACACATGCTCATGCACTTTAACATCACAACAGTAAGTAACTACAACACTTTGGATCTAAAAGATGTTGTTTTTCCTGGCTGGCTCTTTTTGCATTTGATCTTCATTTGGAACAGTCCTGGAGAAGGAGCCTGACATCCTATTCAAAAGATGTTTTTAAGCTATGCTCCATGGGCCCTTAGGGCATCTATCGACAGGTTTCAGGGGGGTCTATAAAGCAGGTGAAAAAATTAAGATTTGTTTCTCTGATGTTCTTTCTGTTTTTTGAAAAACATATTTAGGTGTACTTTTTTGGGAAGGAATTCCATAGGCTTGATAAGATTTATGGCTGAAATGATTATACACATGAATATACAGGAAAAAAAATATTATTATTATTATTAGATACACAACAAGATTAGTACACAGCATACAAGATCACTATGCTTCCCCTCTCTTGCTCTTTCAATTGCATGCACACACATATAAACATGCACCATTATAGATACAGTCATGAATAATATTTGTATTACGTAGACTATAGATACCACAAATAAATACATTACTATTAGGCTAGTTAATGGAACTAAACTAAAACAGAGATTTCTTCATTAACTTTAATTAAACATAGCCATCCTTCTTCAGAGTGCACCCATATCTACTCAACGCTAACATATTCTACCAGTGGTAATACTGATGCTAAATAGTAAATGTCAGAAAACAAGTCAAAAAATTCCTTCTTAAGAGTCTTGTTCTGTTAAGACTTGATACTCACTGTGGTGAAGTATATTGATTAGGAGACTGAAGGTTCTGTTCAATCCGCTGGTAGTTATGAACCTGCGTAGGAACTGGGATGGGAACAGACTGTCCATATTTGCTGCTTGATGAAAACTGGCTAGTCCTACTGCAGGGCATAGACAAAGTGGAGAGTACTATTAGGGAGGGACTATGAGGAATGGTTGAGAGAGCAGGGGAATGTTCACCCTCAAAAAGAGAAGATGAAAGGAAGCAAACTCCAACTATCTGAAGGTGATCTGATATGAAGAAGTAACTCCAGGGGCATTTTTTTGGTGAGGGAGTCTGGCAAAGGATTTCCAGTAGACCACCCCTCCTCTGATCGTGAAATGACTGGCCATTCCCCTATATTCTCTCTCAGTTGTAACTGGCAAAATTGCCTGGGGGGGGGGGGAGCACAAAGCAAATAGATGCACCCTGTGTTCTAGCATGCCCAGACATGCAACAACAGCAAAAAAATTAAAAATAAATAAAAATTGGGGAGCAGCCACAGAATCATGAGTAAGACAATGACTTTCCTCAATCTAGACACTATACTCCTATTGATACAGTCTAGAATTGCATTGGCTTTTAAAACTGCCAAACCCCATTATTGATTCATGTTTAATTACTAAGATTACTAGATCCCTTTCACATGAACTGTTTTCAACCCAGGTGTCACATCCATCCTATATCTAAGCATATTATTTTTATTTCCATGATGTCATGCTGTACATTTCTCCTTGCTCCTCGTCTGGTAGTAAAACAAAGTTTTACAAAAGTACAAGAAACCTCTCGAGGATCATGAGTGTTTCCAAATACCCTCCTCCCTCCACCTTAGTGACAAGAGTGCCATCAGTCCCATCCAGCTTTTGCCTTACCCGGATGGGCCAGGAGAACTGTTGTAAGGAGGTGATGGCGTTCTTCCCTGACTTTCCAAGTATGCTGAAGTTGCCAAAGAACTTCTGGGAAAAGCAAGCAGAAAACAGCCACAGCACACACAACATGTATATTAGAGATGCCACTGCTTCAACGAAATCCACAGCAACAAATTTCTCAGTGGCAGATGTAATTACGTATTATTTATTCAGAAATCAAGAATAGTTTCTATGCAACTGTTTCCACTGCAGGAAATTAATTAAAACAGTTATTTGGTCAATCAAAAGGGTGCCAACTTCTCTATGGAAGCTTTCAAAACAGGAAAGAAGTCATGTCGAATCATTTGCATATTGCTTTGAGAAGGATCTGCGGAAGAACCTTCTTAACACTATCACCTCTCCGTTTTCTCCCCTAAATACTTTTATTTATCATCTTTGCCTCATGAATAAATTTGTACATTTCAAAAGCTTTGATAGAATTGGGAGCCTTTGGGGTTAGCTTAATAAAGGTATTACCACAATGTAGGGTTTGGAGTTGGTCTTACGGTCAATATGGCTACCCATTAATAGGGTTTGATATTTATTCCAGTTCTTGCCAAGATACTAATGTAAATCCCAGCTTTCACTAAAAGTAACAGTATTAAAAAGGTCTTAATGAGGACTGCAAGCTTCGTGTGACACCACATACCGTATATGCTCAAGTATAAGCCAGCTCGAATATAAGCAGAGACACCTAATTTTACACAAAAAACTGGGAAAACTTATTGACTCGAGTATAAGCTGAGGGTGGGAAATGCAGCAGCTGCTGGTAAATTTCAGAAATAAAAATAAAAATAGATACCAATATAATTACATTAATTCAGACATCAGTAGGTTAAATGTTTTTAAATATTTACATAATTTAAGATAAGATTGTCCAGCTCTGATTAACCCACTATTCTAACCTTCTTCAATGTAAGTGTGCTTACGTATCCTTCCAATAATAATAAAGAGTAAAATAATAAATGTAATAAGAATAATGATAGAATAAAATAATAAATGTGATAACAATAAATACAGAAATAAATATAATAATAATAACAGTAAAATAATAAATGTAATAATAAGAATAAATAGAGTGAAATAAAAGGTGTAATAATAATAATAATAATAATAATAATAATAATAATAATAAATTGAAGGTCCATAGAAGGGCTGTGGTGGCCACTAACAAACTGCAAGATGGACAACAGGGTTTTGGGCGTCCTGAGGGCAGCAGTGCTTACTTCACTGCAACTGTGGCAACAGGCTGGCATGGGAGGTGGCTGTACCAGTCAGCAGCAAGTGCTGGGCCTTTTGCTGGCGGTGGTAGCAGTGGCAGCACCGGAGCCTTGCTTGTGGGCTCCGCTGCTGCCACTCATCCTCTGCTTCCTCCCTGGCCAGAAGGGAGGGGGAGGAGCAGCGGTAGCAGTGGCGACACTGGAGCCTCGCCACCGCACACTGTTGTTTATGTAACACAGTGAAAATGCCAAAAACTTTATATAGGGGAAAACATCCCATTTCTCAACATAACCTTGCAGAGATAAATTTGTAAGAAAAAATATAAGCCAGCCTACTTGGCTATGATAAAATAATTCATTCAAAAATGGGAAAAGCAGAAGTTTCCTTTATAGGGAGGGAGAAAGCACTGACAATTATTATTGAATTACTATACTATATTTACAATCCATGGAGAGCAAGGGCCCACTTGGTATTAAGTTCTTTTTCCTCACCCACTACACATCAGGCTGTCCTGAACTGGCTTTCCTCCTGCAGTCTCCACAGCTATATCACCTAGGTTGAAAGAGAGAGGAGGGCATAATATTCAGGCGTATGTTACAGAAATTACTTAAATCCACACAATACAAATAATAACGGCACTAATTGTCCTCCAGTCTACATCAGTGAATGAGGATTATATGGAAAAGGTTTTCCTTTTCCTTTTCCTTCCACCTTTCCCAACATGGTGCTTTCAAATATTTTAAACTCCCATTAACCCTTGCTGTTCTCACTATACAGCTCAGCCTGATAGACACGACCATATTTTCGTAAGACACAATCTATTGTAGGAGACACCCTAATCTTAGGACCACAACAACAAAAATACAGAAGATACACTTGCGATTCTAAGATGCACCCAATTTTTAGAGATGTTTATATGGGGGAGGGGGGGAGTGTGTGTTAGAATTAAATACAGTAGTTAAAATATTTGGAGGAGTCTATGTTAAAGAAGAACACAGTACACCTTCAAAGGCTCTCATAAGAACTAAGCCTTCAAATTTGTTCAAATATTGAATAAAAATATCTCTTTTCCAACTCAGCTGAAGTAGGAACAGATTTAAGGGAACAGTGACCAAAATGCTCCCTGACAGCCTCCTCCTGCATCAGTGAGCCACAATAATGTTCGAAGCTGCACTGGAGAGCCCAGTGTTACAATTTTAATTTCAATGTCACACCATATCCTCAAAAGAAGAATCACTTCTAGGCATTGTGGAAAAGTTTACAGTGTTAAGACAATATATATATATTAGAAAGAGTGGTGCTCCCAAGATAAACACCAAGGATGCCCCTGAACATGAGAAATAACTTCTTGACTATAAGAGCTGTTCAAAAGTGGAAAAGACTACTTTGAAAGCCATTTATCAGACTGGTTTAGTTACATATTCCTGCATGGCGGGAATATGTAGTCCCTTCCAACTGTATTGCTTCACTTATTCTTAAATATATATCCACAAGATAGAGTCTCCCAGAAACTGATTAGCAAATTCCTAACCAGATGTTTGGAGCCCTGATTAAGCTGCTTGTTTTTCCTTCAAGACCTTTCTGACTTATGGTGACCCTAAAGCAAATGTATCATGGGATTTTCTTGCCAAAATGGAAATAATGTCAAACAATGTGGGCCAAAATACTGGCTAACATGAAGCCTGAGCCATCTGGGGATTGGAGAGCATATCCCCATCTTTCATTCAAGGCATACAAAGCTACTACTTGATGTATTGCCCCTATCAAAGGTATTCACATCCCCACTGTTATCATGCAAAGAAAGTGGGATAATGGTCACATTGGGAGTCATGGCTATTCTAGACTCTAGGACCAGTTCTTTAACACGTTTCTGAAATGAGCTTCATGTATTCCAATTAGACTGAAACATAATTAATCTTAATCTTTTTAATACTGGTTTTAAACCACTTCATTTGATGTGTTGCAATAGCAGATTCTAGATTAGTTTAGTGTTTACACCTTATTTTATTTTTTCGGTTATCTAATATTTAATGTTTATTTTACTTAAGTGATATTTGTCTTTACTGTTCCAATGTAGCACAAATCCTATGTAAAATCACACTATGTATTTTGACATTAATATTGAAATTTGAATATTAATGAAATCTGAAATATATACAGAAAGTCTTTACCATCGCACTTTCACAAAAAAAAAAAACAACCCACTACTTACTTGAAAACTGGGCAGGCACCATGACAAAGTCATCAGTGTCACAAGAGGAATTTTTGCTGCTGCTGCCAGCTGATTCCTTAGAGCCATGGAGAAAAACTGGCGAACCCTGGGTAGGGGAGGCCAAAATCTTCTCTTGGAGATGTGGCATCTCTCCAAGGGACTGCTTGAGGGAAGGGAAGAAACAATGTGAGTCTCATTCCACCAGCTCCTTTACCTCACACTGTACAAATGTCTCTCACAAAACAAGATTTGACTAGTAGTACGCTAGTGCTGCCAAGATTTCTATAAAAGGGTTGCTTCTTGCAAGACAGTTCTCTGAAAGGTCCAAAACAACACTGTGCTATCGCCATGTCCCAGAACAAAGAAGCATCTGGCAAAATCTAATATCTTAGAAAGTGGGGAAGTTCCTTTGTGTTGAATGCCCTGTGTGGGATTTTTTATCCTGTTATGACATTACAGAGGATCTGGTTTCATGGTTGGTGTCATTGTGGCAAATAAAAACTGACAATGAATTCATTTTGTGTTTGGTTTCATGTTCAAAGAATGGAGAAATAAGCTGAAAGATTCCCTTCTCTTTATATCCATCATCAACCCACTTAAGAAAAAGGCATGAAAGGACTGTAAAGTTATATAAAACAATGCAGGATGCAGACAGTTTTTCTTTCCCCCATGTCATACTAGAGACTGGGATCATCTAATGAAGCTGGAGTGGTGGAAACTCAAGACAGAGAAAAGAAAGGCCCCCATCACACAGCACACAACTAACATGTGGAATTCACTACTGCAGGTTATAGCAAAGGCCTTTGCTTCAGATAGGGTTACAAGGAGATTATCCATTATTCCGGAGGGGAGGGGGGAATTGCTATCAATGGTGAACTTTTTTTAATCACTTTCAGGATCAGAGGCAGGATGACTTTCAACACCACTGTGGAAGGTTATTGCACTAACAGCCAACTTTATGTGTTTCCTATAGGCATACAGTCATATATTATAGGATATAGGGTGTAAAGACGATATAAATAATGGTCCAATACAACCCACTTATGATGTTTTTATGGAGGATGATTTGGATATACCACACTAAATGGATGCTCCCTGAAAACACTGGCTAAGATTGTCACTCCAGCAGATGGGACATAGCTGGGCAGACACCAACCATCCAACTCCCAAATCTGAAGCTCTATCGCTGTGAGTAGAATGGGGAAGCCAACAAATGTACACACTACTTACAGGAGGAGATGCTAGGTGGGATGTAGAGGAACTGCTGGATGAACTCCCAGAACCAGAACTTGGATAAGAAGGCATTGGCACAAAAGCAGCTGAAGGAGAGGAGAAAAGAGATGTCATGCTTTGTCAACAACAGGTGTATAAGAGCTATGCAACAAGAGCAGAAAAGCTATTTTGGCTCCCTCATGCCAACTGATTTCCCTTAGAGAATAACATCATTTAAGAGTAGGGGAAAACAAATCACCACTTGGTGTACTTGACTATAAATTGTATATATTCTCATATTGCCAGTTCTAATTTAGTTAAGTTGCAGATTTCAAAGAGTGCAGTACTGACCCACTTGCAATCACCACTATTGCATTCAAATAGGATAGGCCTCCCCACCCCCACCCTCTCCATGTTGTAGCAACCTCTGAGATACTTCCAGTTTGTTTTTTCAAAAAAACCAACTTTTTGGGCCTCATTTAAAGCAATGGGAGGTTATAGGTGCAGCCCTCCAAACTGTTAGAATGCCATTCCCATGAGCCTTAGCCACCATGTAGAAAGAACAGTATGGGATGCAAAGAGCTGCAAGTCAGGCTGCAATGGAGACAAACCTTGAACACTCCTGGTTTTTTTTTTTTTTTAAATGCTAATTTTTAGACTGGCATTCCATTCACTTTGAACTGTTGAGATTGTTTTGCTTTTGCTGCTTGGATGATGTCTGTAACATTCTAGAGGATTTTAACTGTAAACACTCTGAAAGACCACAGAGTTAAGTGTCCACTATTTTAAAAAAAGGAGAGCCAAGATAAGGTTTTCAGGTTTATTTTTAGGAGATTGACACAATGAGGGTTGCATGCACAAAAAAGTTCTAATCTTCAAAATGACTGAATAAATAAAAGGGCTTGGAGACTGTTCATTAATGACTTAACATTATTGACATTTTAACAGGCATTTTAACCCTTGTTTTCTGAAACTATCAGGGACAGCTAATCACCTCTCAACAAAGGATTCCCCCAAGCAGTAACAAACCACACCTAAAAACTGTCAGGCCATCAAATGCTAATCAAGGTGGCCAATTGAAACGTTCACACAAAGCTCCAACAAACAAGTGGGTTTTTTTTTCTCCCACCCTGGACTTTCCACAGATATATAAATCCAATTTTCCTAGTTTCCAACAGACCTCACAATCTCTGAGGATGCCTGCCATAGATGCGGGCGAAACGTCAGGACAGAATGCTTCTAGAACATGGCCATATAGCCCGAAAAACCTACAACAACCCTGTTTTCTGAATTCAACAATTTTGGCAAAAAGACATAATCCTAGAATCAGATGCTAGCTAGAAAGGTTTGGAGAAATCAATGGAATATTCTGAACAAAGGGGGTAGGGGGAGTATAGACAAGTATGTACAAAATATTGCAATGGGACTCCTCAGGTCAGAGCTTTAGTTCGTGCAGTGAATCTGGGAAGAACTGCTCAAGTGACAGAACACCTGATTTGCATCCCAAAGACCCCAGGATGCAAATATCTCCAACTGAATGGATCAAGTAAGAGATGTTAGGAAAGCTATCTCCCTGACAGAATGCCTCAGAGAACTGCTGCCAATCAGAGCAGACAATTATTAGACAAGATGCAATATTGAATGCAATATTCCTGCTTCTTGGCAGGGGGTTGAACTGGATGGCCCATGAGGTCTCTTCCAACTCTATGATTCTATGATTCTAAGATGATCAAAGATGATATCCTGGTATAAAGCATCTTCCTGAGTAGTAACAAAAGCTCATCTCCTTCATGAGTCTGAATATGACTTGTCATTACTTACAGTAACCAGGCCACCAACCCCATGTAGGTAGTTACCATTATAGCTGTACTAAAAAAAATAACTACCTTTTCTCATTATTCAGAAGTTGCTAAGCAGTTACTTTTGGAAGTCAGAAAGGTTCATTGTGGAGTATCTTGGGGCATTTGCCATCCAGAAATTCCCAGCTGATGAGGGATGTTGTGAGGTCATTAAAAAGGGAATGCTGACATGCTCTGTTTTTTTTAGTTAACTTTTAAAATCAATTTGACACTAAAAGCCTGTGATACTAAATACATCTATATGAGACTGCACATTTGAATCTAAAAAGTGAAAGTAATTTTAAATGTTAGACCACAAAAATGAATTAACCTATCCTATGTTTTGCCAGATTGTCAACTTACATGTGTTGGAATCTTTTGATACAGGACCAGATAGAAATATTTTAATAAATACAGAAAATGCCTTCGTTATTGTAAAAAAGGGGTATTTTTTTATTTAAAGGGGGTAATTCATTTAAGGACTTAAAGAAAAACAGAAAACACATCTAACACAGGTGTGCATTTTTATTTTTAATTATCATTATCATAATCCAGAACTTCCAAATTTACAGATACATAAATAGAAAAATAAAGAAGAAATACATTTTACAGAAACAAGTATGAATACATATTGAAAACAAGTTCCCAGTTAATCCCATGAATAAGTCCAAGAGGTCACCTTGGGCTGCAAAAGAAAGAACGTGAAATATGGCTTCAGGATAATAATCCATGGTTCCCAGCCTTATTACTGGAGAAGCATGGAACTTGTGGCCCTGCAGAAATTGTTTGACTTCCGCTCCCAGAACTGTCAACCTTTGGCTAGAGCTGATAGAATTTGAGTCTAACAAGATCTAGAAATCTTGTTAGATCTAGGTTTCTATCCTTGAATGGGCAAATAGATAAAAAGACAGAAGAAACAGAAAAAGCTAGAACAGTACGTAGGTGGAAAATATTTTATCGGGGGGACATGATAATCTGCTCTTCTGGTCAGCTATCGTTCATTGGTCCTCCCAGCTCAATATATTCTGTCCTGACCAGAATTATCTGTCCAAGATCTTAAACAGAGATTTGTCCAAGTCCTTATGGATAAATTACATTTGACTGGAAATCTGAACCCGGCATTATCTGTGTCATGCTCCACCGCACCAATAAACTAAAGTTCTGCCCCAAAACACCACAAAGGTAATGGGTGAATATTCTCAGAGGCATTATTTTACAAGAAGCCTCCAAAGAGCCACCCATGAGAGATGGTAAAAGAGCTACTCAAACTTGGTTCTGTTTTTCATCCATCATTGATTTCAATGTATAAGTACCCAAAGAGATTCAATGTTCAAAGGCAATTTATTTTCTTGAAATAGTTCTCTAAACACTCAAGAGTTCTGACTTTCTTCAACTATCTGATCTTTTGCTTGAGCATGATACCTCAAAGTGTGGTCCATTCATCACATAGATTTGAACCTTCCAAAATACTACCCAGGTGGCATGGTGAAAATAAATATGACGTGATCCACATGCTGCGCTGTGCTCTCTCATTTAACTGTTCCTATTACTATCTGTGAAAATTGGACCAAAGACTCACAACAGTGATTTTTTTTAGCACCAAAGTACATGGCCACAGGCAGACCTTTTGACCATCACCTGCGCTTCTCATACATAGTTTATTCCTAACACAGGAAAATAAGAACAAGAATTCATCACCATCGTGTAATTTGATTGACCAATACATGAGGGATATAGAGGCTGTGAGTTCATGAGCTTTATTCTTGATTCACACCCAGACATATGAAGGCTGTGGCCTGGGGGACAATGCTCGGCCCCGAAATGCCGGTGGATACTGACGTACAGGACCGGTGTCCCAGGGAAGCAGAGGAGATGATATTGGGGATAGAATTTGGGTACTCAGAGTCCTGCAGTGTCTGCCTTGGTTTGTCAGCTTTGGTGATGGAGCACCACACCGCCGTTCTGAGCAGGTTGGTAGTGAAGGGAATGGAGGCCAAGTCAAAAAAATCCTTTGCTGATTTTGTGGTGACCCCTGCCAAGTTGGTCTGCATAACACAGGAGCAGAAGGTATTTTCATCTGAGCTGGCTGCCAGGGTGTTTGTGGAGAAGGCCTGGGCTGAGATGATCCTTTCTGGTTGGTGAGTGGCTCTGACTTTGTTGAAAGTATTTTCCACTGGGGCACGGCTGGTGGGGCAGTGGGGCTGGTTGGTCTGTGGATAGCCTTTAGTTTGAAATATCCTTTCCGATTTCGAGGATGGTTGCTTTTCTCAAAGCCTCCCCCCCAAGGTGATCCTGCAGTTGAAGGTAAGGACCAGGAAGGCTTGACAGCGGTGGCCCTAAACCAGGAGAATTTTTTCCTGCCCATGGGAGTGACACCTGAGTACAGTTAAGGGGAGTATTATTTCAAATTATGGTCAAGGATGAAATAAGCAATGGAGACCAAAAATTCCAAAATTTCCTACTGGTGCCCACTAGTTCTAGATATTTACAATAAGATGACATTGTCTACTTTGATAAACAAGAAAAACAACAAAATGATGGCGATATGGAACACCCAAGGTTTGTTAATTGGCAGATGTGATCAAAAGAGAATCCAAAATTATAATGTATGTATCTCTCTGTCTCACAACCACATGAGATAGCTGCCACCATCCACCATCCACTGCATGTTCTGAAAACACAGCTATTTAATAACCCATCACAGCAGAAAAGCATTTGCTAGATGAGACCTGGCAGGTGCAGGAAAAGTTCAAAACTTCCATTGCAACAATCTTGCCTTGCATGTGCTCCTCAGACCCACATTTCCAAAGCAAATATCTAGTATTCAGTCTTGTCTATTTTTTTTGTCAGTACAACTCCTAGAATCCACCAGGCAGCATGACAACTGTGAGTTTCAGTCCAAAATAGAAACATTTTTTTTTCATGCTCTGGTTCATTTAAACCCTGGAATTAAACATACAAAGCTGCTTTATACCAATCAGTTTGCTAACACATTGACTCAAACTCTCCCAGAAACTGTTCGATTCCAACTCCCATAGTCCCAGAACATTCACCATGCTATTGGTGGATGTTGGGAATTGAAATCCTACAACATCTGGAAACAGAAGCCCGATCCTAGTCAAACATGATCTATCTACAGTGTCTATTAGTGACTTCCAAGGTCTTTGACAGAGAAAATATCACCTCTGCCCAGGACCTGAGATTTATTTTAACGGGGGATACAGGAAACTAAACCTGGATCATAATACCTGAAAAGCACCTATCATTCTCATTTACCAATATTTTCTTAATAGGGCACTTCTTCACTGCCATTTATGTGTTCTTCTATTATGTGCAAGAAGCTTTGTTGGTTTGAGATTCAGACTATGACTCTGGAGGCCAGGGTCTGAATTTCCACTGACTTATGGAAACCCATTGGATGACACTGGGTACATCACATCCTCTCAGCCACAGTGAAAGGTAAAGGCAAATCCTCTCTGAACAAATCTTGACAGGGAAGCCCCATGGTAGGTTAGCCTTAGGGAAACAACCTGATGACAAACAGCAACAACAACAGAAACTGCTTCACTTGACACCATCAGTTTTACAAATCCTTCACCCTCACCCTCCACTCAAGATTTCTTGAAATAAATGTCTGTTCCATTTAGCTGTGGGCTACAGAAAATTATTTCAGGCACAAAACAAGTAATGAAGAGGAAGAAAAATCATGAAAAGATTAAATTTAAACATTCACGCAAAGCATGCAAATTCACAGTGGCACAATTAATTAGTAAGCATTAATAGTCTCAATGCCAAAATACTGTTAGTACAATACATATTCATCAAAATGTACTTCTGCTATTTCAATATGTCATGTTTTCTGGCACTGCAAAAAAGGGTGGTTGTGTGCATTCATATTACATCTTTGTGTTTAACTATTTGTCAAAATTCAAATACTACTTTCCCTATGATTTGGAAGGCTAATGTTTGGTGCACATCATTCAAGGCAGCTGGCATAGTAGAAGGATCTGAAAACACTAAATTTAAATGTCTATCTCTAAGGAGATAGACAAGCTTGTGAACATTGGAAATGACCTTTTTTATTAGTAAGAGATATCTGACAGTAAAGTAGACTGCCTTGGAGGGTGGTGGTAACTCCTTCTTTGGCAGTCTTTATATTGCTGCATGGCAGAGAGATGAACTAGATGACCCTTTGTGGTCCGTCCAACTCTATGAAAAAAGAGTCTTGATATACATCCCCATCCAATAATTATGATAAGCTACCTCCACACCTCCTCAAAAGCTGATACTGTATTTGGTAAACATCTAGGTTGATTAGTTGTAAAGTGCTGAAAGGTGGTGTTTTTTAATACATTGAACAATCCAAACTCAGGCAACAGAAATTACTTGCTAACAAAGATGAGCCCTCCAGCACAGAACAAGGAAAGCATATATGTAAGAACAGATTATAAGATTTTTGTCCCTTCACACACTTGAAATCAAGAGATTCTTCCTTGAGAGAGCAGTCTAAAGACCTTGCATATTGTGAAGTAAATGTACAGTGTGTATGTAATATATAATAAATTGCAAGAACAAAAAAACTTACATTTTTTCATAGAGGCACTTGCATCCAAGAAAGGGTGATGGAAAAATGTATCTGGTGAATTAAAAGGAGGAATAGGTGAGCCAAACTGCATTCATCTGTCACTCTGACGAACAGGTGAATTTATGTAACTGCTAAAATGTAATTGGACCCCCACATTGCATCTTTGGCTTTTGAGGATTTGATTATTTATGGATTAATTATAAGCTAATAAAATGTGGGCTAGACAATGGTACTGTTATGCCGATTGGGAATTGGTTGGCTGACTGATCCCAAAGAGTGCTTTTGTCCCACGGCTCCTCTTTATCCTGGAGAGAAGTGACCAGTGTGCTGGCCCTTTCAGGCATGTTCAACATCCTTATCAATGACTTGGGTGATGGTATAGAGGGCATCCTTATCAAATCTGCAGATTACATCAAATTGGGAGGGATAGCTGATACTCCAGAGGACAGGATCAGAATCCAAAATGACCTTCAAGAGTTGGGCCAATATAACAACATGAATTTTAGCGAAGAGAAATGTATGGCACTACACTTTGGCAATAAAAAGGAAATGCACAGATATTGGATGGGTAACACCTGGCTTGAAAACAGTTCAAGTGCAAAGGATCTAGGAATCTTGGTAGAACACAAACTGAACATGAGCCAACAGTCTGGTGCAGCAGCTAAGAAAGTCAATGTGGTTCTAGACTGCAGCAACAGGAGTATAAAATCAAGACTGATGAAAGTCATAGTCCCACTCTCTTCTGCTTTGGTCACACCTCACCAAAAAGAACACCGTGTCTGGTTCTGGGCACTACAATGTAACGAAATTGACAAGATGGAAAGTGTCCAGAGAAGGTGATCAAAGGTTAGGAAACCAAGTCCTACGAGAAATTGGTATGTTTAGCTTGGAGAAAAGATGGATGAAAGGGAACATGAGGGCCATGTCTAAATATCTGAAAGGGTGTCACACTGAGGAGGGGACCAAACTTGTTTTCTACTGCTCTGGAGACTAGGACACAATGGAATAATGGGTTCAAATTATAGGAAAGGCAATTCCACTTGAACATTAGGAAGAACCCCCTGAGGGTAAGATCTGTTGGACAGTGGAAAATGCTGCTGTCTTGGAGTCTGGTGGGAATCTTCTTCTCTGGGAACCGTTAAGCAGAGGATGGATGGCTCTTGTGGTCTCTTCGAACTCTATAATTCTACTTGCCACTGTCTCCAGGTCTGCCCTATGCCATCTTTTATAGGGACTATAAGTCTCCCCTGGACTTCCTACTCTCTCTGCAAGCCTTGTGAAACTGTAAAACTGAGAATGAAGAGTAAAGTTTGTAAGTCCCTATTAAAAATGGTGTTTTTTTTAAAAAATGGTGCTTAGCAAACAAGTGGAAGGAAAAAAAGGGACCAAACTCATATTGAACCATGGCTGCCAACTTGTTCTCTGTTGAGGGAATGGATCATCAAAAAGCAATCAGCAACATCCCCCACACCCAGTTTCAGGTCTGGAGAAACCAGCCTGTCCAGCTGTGGAGAGAATCAAGGCTGAAGACCAGACTGCTAAAAAGGTCATACAGCCACCTCTGCGTGACTAAAGTCAAAAGGAGCTTTCTGGGTTGCTTTTTGATTAACTGACCCTTTGTTCCTAAAGCACCCTGGCCACCCAATCTGGGACAAATGCTCTTAGTGGGGTTCCAGGGAGCCTGAGCTGGTGGCGGAGGGACATGGAAGCAGATTGTCGAACAGCAATCAAGCAATTTGGCTTCAGGTACAGAGAAGCTAGTCTGCCTGCCTGGGAGAAAGATCAAGGTGAAAAACCTGGCTAACAGCCACCTCTACGTATCTGAAGACAGGCAAGCTAGCCTCTCTGCACGTGAAGTTTCCAATGTTGCTTTTTGATAAACATGCCTCCCTCCTCCCACCCCACCAGGCACCCCATCAGGAGCAATTGCTCTTTATGGGTTTCCAGAGAGCCTAAGGTTCTGGGGGTCGTCAAATGCATCTGTATACTGAAATTGGAAAGGAAAGAAGAAGGCAACAAGAAGGAGGTTTTCAAATATGTTTCAAGCAAAACATAATCAAGAAAAAGGGGGACTGCTGCTCAAGAAATGCAAAACAGACCACAACAAAAAGACAGAACTGCTCGATACTCATTTTGTTTGGAGAATGGTTGAGGTCCCAGAAGACTAGACATGAACAAATACTGTCAATCTGTTTTTAAAAATGTCAAAAAAAGGGTCCAGGAAGCTAAACCAGTCAATCTGACCTCAATACCAGGAAAAGTGTTCGAACAGATGATACAGGAGTCTGTTTGCATGTATCTTGATGACAATGCAGTGATTAATAAGAGTTAACAAGGCTTTATCAAGATTACATTCTGCCAAACTAATCTCCTATTTTTTAAAAAAATCAGGTCACAAGTTTAGTAGATGATGGGAATGCTGTGGAAATCATTTATCTGGATTTCAGCAAAGCATTTAATAAGCAACCCGTGATATTTTTATTTGCAAGGGCCCGAACTCTCTCCTGTTTCCTCTGGGCCTAAATTAAGATCTGGACAACATTCCGATACCTTATGGTTTGGTTTTTCACTTACTCCCTATATTCTCTACTGCTGTCATGTCACAGCTTTGATTTTTTTAAATAACAAAAAAAGGGGGGAGAGACAGCTGTATAAAAATACAATGCTGAATTACTCGTAATACTAACAGTTGCCACTAGTAGCATCTAGAATCACTTTTTAAAATTCCAGCACAATGATTTTGAAGTACTGTATATAGTCGAGTATAAGCCTAGTTTTCAGCCCTTTTTTAGTCTGAAAAAGCCCCCCTCGGCTTATACTCAAGTAAGGGTCATGGTGGGAAGGTATAAGGCTGAAAGAAGGGCTTCTTTCAGCCCCACACCTTCCCACCAGGACTCTCACCAATCCACAAAGCAACCCAGCTGGGTCGCTGTCCCAAGAGAGGAGAAGAAGTTGCTTGCCTTCCAGTCCTCTTGGTGTGCCCCCTTCCCACCTCAATCTGTCCTACTTCTCCAGCTACTCCTTTTTCACCTCATTTTCCTACTTTTTCAACCACCCCTTCCCATTCCAACATTTTCACATTCCCAAGCCACTCTTTCCTATTTTCCTTATTCATAAACACACAGCATTTCCCCCAAAATGTATAGTTAAAATAAACTATAGTGATTATTGGAAGGATACGTAAGCACATTTACATTGAAGATGGTAGAATAATGATTTCATCAGAGTTGGACAGTCTTATCTTAAAATACAGTTTTATGTAAATATTCAAAATCATTTAACCTAATGATTCCTCAATTAATGTAATTTTATTGGTATCTATTTTAATTTTGAAATTTACCAGTAGCTTCTGCATTTCCGAACCTCTACTTATACTTGAGTCAATATGTTTTCCCAGTATTTTTGTGATAAAATTAGGTGCCTCAGCTTATATTCTGGTCATCTTATACTCAAATATATACAGTAGCTTTGTAAGTACAAAGAAACTCCTGTTTTATATGTATGCCATTCTGTGTGTTTATTGCATCAATTTTCCAAACAAATGTGTCAACTGTTATACTGTAAGTGTGTACACATTTAACTTTTTTATTTACTTAAATTGATGCCATGCATGTGTACTGTTCCTCCAACCACCTACTTTTTGAAACAAAGAAGGTTACACAAATATTTCTCAGCTGAAATGAACTGAGCTATTTCCTGGAGGCAAAATCTTCTGTCTCTCCTTCACAACTGTTTTTAATGGATGCTTACTCTTTCTCATACTTTTGTCCTGTCCACCAGCAGCAATTAAATCTCAACATATGCCCTCTGATGAAATATGGAATTTAAAAGAAAAACAATTCCTCACCACTTCCCTAAAATTTCAAAAGGCAGAAGTTGAAGTGAATGTGGGTCTGGTTTGATTGGATAAGGAAGGTCAAAACTGGAAAATCTCTTACCAAAATCCATTCGGTCCTTGGAGTTTCGTCGCAAGAGTCCCAGCAGCAGGTGCCTTAAATGGGATGATGTCTCTCTTGGTATGCTTTAAAAACAAACAAAAAAATGTCAGCACTCCACAATACACTTGCAATACTGCGCAATACAGCACAGGAAACAACCGTTTCAAAGAAGGAGTTCTCTTTTTTCGAACAAGTGGTTTTATAATACCTAAAAAAAAAAAAACCAACAAATCCAAACTTAGGAATTTAATACAAGATGAGGCACAATAGGAAAGCCTCTGAACCAGATGAAAATATCCACAAAAGATGGGAGAAAGGAGAGGGAGGGGGAGGAAACTGCTGAGTCAAAGGCCCAGGAGTTAAGTTCAAGAAACACTCTTGGCCCCAATAAGGGAGGAGATTTGATAATTATGGAAATGTAACTGAACACCCAAAAAGCACCAGATCTGTTTGCTTTTGGAATCTAAGCAGGGTCAGCCCTTGTTAGCACTTGAATGAGGGACTACCAATGAATGCCAGGTGCTGTAAGCTCTATTTCAGAGGAAAGCAACTGCCAAAACCACCTCCGAGTATTCCTTGCCTAAGAAAACCGTAGGAAATCCACAGGGTTGCCATAAGTCAACAAGAGACTTGAAAGCACACAAAATTTAACTGAACTCATCTAAAGATGTACTGTCTTGACCTACCATAAAGTTAGAACAGAAACAACTATGCTTCCTAGAGACACACTAGGAAGCTGCCTCTGATCAAGTCAGAACATGGTAGCTACACTGACACCTATCTGTCCATCAAGCTCAGTATTGCCTACATAGAGGATAAACATCTTATGGCACTCCAATTGTTGTTAGATTGAAACCCCCATTATTCCTCACTATTTCCTATATTGAGTGTGTTTCCTATATGATTGTTTAACTCCAGCCAGAGAATGACCCAAGAAAAGCAACCATCTTCAGTTGTCCAACTGTTTTATGTTCCTTTCAGTACCTTTCTGGTGGAAAGGCAACCTGGAGTCATTATCCAATAAATATTATGTGTAACAAAATGAGAATAGCAAATCTGAACCCCTTGGGGAACTGGAAAATATTTCTTCAAAGATGTTATAGAAGTAAAAGGGAGCTATGAAGCAGAACTAACCACTGGAGATTTCTCAGTATAAAGAATTGCCTTTTGGATTTTCTAATTTAGTCATCACTAATTCCATTATAAACTCTCACTACCCCTTCAAAAAGATGGGCCCAATTTGAAACCGTTATATCTCTGCAATCATGAACCACCCATAAATAGTGGTTATCACCATCCCAGGGAGAAGCGCAATACAGTCCTTGCAACCCTGGAGAAGGATGGTCATGGTAGCCTTCATGACAGACCCTATGAGCTGAAGATCCTGCTCTTAAATGCCAGATCTGTCAATGGCAAAACATCTGTCATCCAGAACTTGCTCAGTGACGAGAGGGCAGATCTGGCTTGCATCACCGAGGCCTGGTTGGACGAGTTGGGTGGGGTAAATCTCACCCAGCTATGCCCTCCAGATTTTGGGGTGCATCAGCAGGCCAGACCAGTGGGCAAGGAGGAGGGGTTGCGGTGGTCTTTCGACTGTCCATCTCCCTGGTCAGATGCACCGTTCCGCAATCTACTGATTTTGAGTGTGTCCACCTGAAGGTGGGAATCCATGACAGCCTGGGGATTCTGCTAGTGTACCGTCCACCCCCATGACACAGCAGTCTCTCTGCTTGAGCTTGCAGAAGTGGTCTCTGACCTGGTGTTGGTCTCCCAGCGGCTAGTAGTGCTGGGAGACTTTAACATCCATGCAGAGGCCATGTTAATAGGTGCAGCTCAGGACTTCATGGTCGCCATGACAGTCATGAGGCTGTCCCAAGTAATATCTGACCTAATATCTGATACTCGACCTAGTTTTTATTGCGGACAATGGAGCGGTTAGAGTGGAAGAGCAAAACATTCTTCCATTGTCATGGTCTGACCATCATCTGATCAGTCTAAGACTCGCTGTGACCTCTAACCTCCGCAGGGGTGGTAGACTGATTAAGATGGTCTGCCCCAGGAGACTTATGGATCCGGATGGACTCCTGAGGTCTCTTAGGGATCTTCCTGTCATGAAAGCTGACAATCCTGTCAATGCCTTGATGGATTGCTATAATGGAGAGATGTCCAAGGCAATAGACATGATTGCCCCCGAACGTCCCCTCTCGCTGCATAGAGTTTCACCAGCTCCTTGGTTCTCTGAGGAGTTGGCTGTGATGAAGTGTAAGAGAAGGAGACTAGAGTGCCGCTGGAGGAAAACTCATGGCGTGTCCGGCCAAACACGGGCTAGAGACGCTATTAGGGCCAACTTCGCAGCTATACGGGCAGCCAATAAGGCTTTCTCGACTGCCCATATAGCGTCTGCAACTAATAGACCGTTGGGAGTTATTCCGGATTGTTGTGGAGCTCCTCCACCCCCTCGAGGTGGGGGGGGGGGACCTTCGAGAACTTGGCAACTCAGTGCAGCGATTTTGCACACCGTTTTGCAGGCAAATTTGCTAAAATACGGTTCGAGTTGGACACCAGTTCTAATGCAATGCCAGATGAGGTAACTGAGGCATCTGTCTGTCCGATTTTGTGGGATTCTTTCCAACTTGTTCATCCTGATGACATGGACAGGATCCTTGGGGCTATGAGAGCAACCACTTGCACCCTGGACTCTTGCTCTCCCTGGCTAGTCAAATTGACCAGAAGTGGGTTGGTAGATTGGTTTGTGACTATAATAAATGCTTCACTGGTGCAAGGGACATTTCCATCACTCCTCAAACAGGCTATAATAAGACCCATATTGAAGAAGAGTTCTCTTGATTCCACAGTAGTTAACAATTACAGACCAATCTCTAACCTCCCATTTTTGGGTAAGGTTCTGGAGCGGATGGTGGCCTCTCAGCTCCAGGGATTCCTAGATGATACTGATTTTCTAGACCAGTCGCAGCCTGGCTTCAGGACTGGGCACGGTACTGAGACGGCTTTGGTCGCCATGGTGGATGACCTCCGCAGGGAACTGGATAGGGGGAATGTCCCCCTACTGGTTCTCCTGGAGATCTCAGCGGCTTTCGATACCATTGATTATGGTATCCTTCTGGGACAGCTCTCTGGGATGGGCCTCAGGGGCAGAGTTTTGCTGTGGCTAAACATGCCCAACTCTTTAAGCCGCTCTTCATAGCGCTTGTTCTCCAGACCCTTGAGCATTTTAGTTGCCCTCCTCCGGACATATTCCAGTTTGTCAATTTCTCTCTTCAACTGTGGTGCCCAGAATTGGATACAATATTCCAGGTGTGGTCTAACCAAGGCAGAATAGAGGGGTAGCATTACTTTCCTAGATCTAGATACTATGCTCCTATTGATGCAGGCCAAAATCCCCTTGGCTTTTTTTGCCGCCACATGACATTGTTGGCTCATGTTTAACTTGCTGTCCACGAGGACTCCAAGATCTTTTTCACACGTACTGCTCTCGAGCCAGGCGTCCCCCATTCTGTATCTTTGCATTTCGTTTTTCCTGCCTTCACATAATTAAAACTTGTGCGCCAGCTGCGACCGTACCTCGTGAAGTCTGATCTGGCCACGGTGGTCCATGCCTTAGTTACCTCTAGATTGGACTATTGCAATGCACGCTACGTGGGGCTGCCCTTGAAGACGGCCTGGAAACTTCAATTGGTCCAGTATTCGGCAGACAGGCTCCTAACTGGAGTGAATTACAGGGAGCGGTCAACCCCTCTGTTTTAGGAGGTCCGCATTTTCTGGTCCCAATTCAAGGTGCAGGTTATCACCTACAAAGCCCTGAATGGTTTGGGACCCACCTACCTTCGTGATCGCATTTCTTCCTACGAACCTGCACAATTTCTTCAATCTTTAGGAGAGGCCCTCCTCTCGCTCCCGCATCCGTGTGCAATTCCTCAAAAGTAAATGTGTTGTGTGTAGTTTTTTAAAAAAAAAGGTTTATGGCCCTTTCCTTTTCAAAGGAAACATAGTTATAAGGCAAACATATCTCCAATTGCTGCAGAATCAGGTCTTTCCGCAACTTAATGAAGATTCCAATGACTTAAGTTTTCAGCAAGACAGAGTGCTGCTACATTGACAACTGCTTGTTTGTTTTGACACACTGCCTCAATTTTGGATAGGTCACATGAGACCCAAGACTTGGGTGATACACTCTTGGCCCTCAGAATCTCCATACATTACACCCGACAACCTTTTCCTGTGGATATACGTTAAAGACCATGTTTTTGTGCCACTATTAGCAACTAATCTGAATTACTCCAAATCAGAATCACGGCAGCAGTGATTTCAGTGGAATTAGACACTTTGAGAAATGTTTGGGATGAATTCAACTATAGACTTGTTATCTGTATAGCAAGTAGAGGGCACATAGAGCATTTGTAAAATGCTAAGTAAAATCTGTTAACACATTAAACCATTAGTAACTTTGTATGTAATGGAAACATGTTGCCATCATGAAATATACTGCTTTGAAATTGGGTCTATCATCTTGAAACACCCTGTTTATATTATAACTACCTTCTGCATGCAGTAAAGCTGTGGTTCTCAACCTGTAGGTCCCCAGATGTTTTGGCCTTCAACTCCCAGAAATCCTAACAACTGGTAAACTGATTGGGTAAACTGGCCAAAACACCTGGGGACCCATAGGTTGAGAACCACTGCAATAAAGTATTACCCTACTTAAGTCTTCTTTCTTTCTGTCTTTCTTTATTGATATCAACTCTAGTAAAGATCCATGAAAAGCAAATGCTGCCAAAGAGATTATTTTTCAGCTTGAAAATAGTCAGCAGCAGAGACCAGTCCACCAGGGGCAGGATGGGGGTAGGGAAGGAGAATGGCTGAGCCATGTAAAGATTCCTGTACAGGAAAATTCTTGGTATTTACCACACACATAATATGATAGCTGCTGCCTCTCAGGCCTGCTTGGAAAAGTCAGATAAGATTAATGTCACATTCACCCTGTACTGAGGTCCTAGCCTGGAAAGCTGACACGCTCCATTTAAATTTGGCAAGGCTCAAATTTTAGCTGATTTGTCATTTCCTGCTCACCTTAAAATCCAGTTTTACTGAGAAATGTCAAAATAAATAACAGGTGGCATAATCACACTCTTTAAATTCCTCAAGGTTTGCCACGAGGAGGGTGCAGGCTTGTTCTCTGCTGACTCAGACAGTAAAACAAGGTCTAATGGCTTTAAGTTAGATACCAGAAGGGTAGATACCAGAATGTGAAATAAATCAAGTTTAAAAAACATGGAAAAGTTGTTTGGATCACAGCTCCTACAATCTCCTAGCCAACATCAGTAGTGTTCAAATCATAAGTTTGCCAAGCTATAGTATACAAAAATCTAATAATGACTATGTGCTTTGTATCCGATCTTAAGCTTCATATTCTTCATGAACACAATAAAGATGGATACAGATCCTAATTTCATTCTTACCACTTGCACAGAATGTAAAGGCTTTTGTTAATCTGTCCCCTCATCTCCACCGCAGTCAGCATATGACTCTGAAGCACATTTCACAGCAAAAACAGGGGGAGAACATGGCATGGTCTGGATCATGTGGACATTCAATGTAAGAGATGAATACCACTGAATACTTCACTGAATCATAGAGTTCAAAGAGCCCACAAGGGCCATCTAGTCCAACCCTCTTCTTCCATGCAGGAACACAAAGCCAAAGCACTCCCAACATCATCTTAAAGACCTCCAGAGAAGGAGATTCTACCACACTTCCAAGCAGCCTATTTCACTGCAGAACACCTCTTCATGTCAGGAAATTCTTCCTAATGTTTGGATGGAATCCTTTTCCTGCAATTTGAATCTATTGGAGGATTGTTATTAGTATGTTCATTTATACCCCATTTTTTCTCTCCACAAGGTGACTCAAAGTGGCTAGTATGATCTCAACTGGGGATAGTGAAATCTCGACTGATTTTATGCCCCACACCCCCACCCCACAACTCTACACATTTTTAAATAACCTACAAAATAGTAGATCACACACCATCCCAGAAACAAGCTGAAAATTGCCTCCAAATCTTAGAAAGGCAAAATAGAAATAGATCATTTCCAGGCTACCTTTTCCTCCCAAAAAAATCTGCTGTGATCTCTGCCAGGGATGTACAGGTATCAAAAATGGCTCCATCCCTAACAGCACATTCCTACTGCTTCCGGTTTGCCTTCTACCACTGTTATGAAATTAAAGAAACTGAATCCCCCCTAACATCAAATGACACAAAACTAACCAGTGAATCTTTGAAAACCAGATTAAATGACACTGGTATTCTATAAGGAAATTGTCCTCTTGTGTACCAGTAGAAAGGGGACAGGACACATCTTCCCATAGCTTTTGTATACTCCCTGCCTATCCTGACGCACACACTGCCAAAACTATCTTTTCAACCATAAAACAGCACATTGGGACTTCTACTGTTTTATTGCTGCTAGCTAGGGTCAACTGAGGTAATCATATTTCCGCTTGCAAGCCTCTGGATGCTATCATTCTTCACTTAAAGAACTCAGAGGAATGTTGCTAAGTTATTGCTTAACCATGCCAAACAAGAGGAGACAGGTGTAAAGGCAAAGAAACAGCAAGCAGCTGATAGCAGGGGTGGAGGTGGAAATCACAATATGGAAGAATGCTTACTTGGGTGTGAGCACCTTGTTTTTCTCATAGAAAAGTCGAAGATCTTGAGGACTGCTTGCCTGCGAAGGGAGAAAAAGTCAAGAAGACATCAACATGTACATGCATGCACTGGAAAAACCTTTATTTTGCAAACTCATTCTTAGATTGTGGTTCTTGTGTAGCCGAAATGCAAGAGACGAGGTATCATCAAGTTAGAGCAAAAGCCAGACCCCAGATTTTGGTGAGTGGGGGAATATTCACAACTTCCAAGACTTCAAAAACAAATGAGGTAGTGTGATTGTCAAGAGGATGCCAAGTACCAAATGGCAGCTTGTGCCCAACCCGGGGCTGGTGAGACATAGAGTAGGGGTCACCAGAAGTTTTCTACTAAGTACTCCTTTGAAAGTCTTCCTCTATATACACCTTATACCACGTCCTGCTGGTTATGAGGAGTTTGAGGGCTAGGTCGGCCTACTTCTGTTCAAATAGTAGCACTAGTTCTGCAATGACGGAAACCGATACAAATAAATTATGGTTTCAACTTCGTTTCAGATTTATGCAACTGTTAATTCTTGTTAGTAACCTTGGAAATCATCACTGACATGATAAATATAAACATTTTAATGAAGGCAAGTAGGTTTTGCTTTACAGCTGCCACACTCATGCTAGTGATTCTCCTAATAGTAATAATCATAAATCTATTTGCATCATAACTGTAGCTCCACAAAAAGGGAGATGAATGTTCAATGTTAAGATAGCATGATAAGGTTGAAAGCAGAATGGGGAAAGGTTATATAAGGATGATGATGATGATTCACTGGAACTTATGTCATAAGTACCACCTGCTGATAGCAAAGAACTGGTGGGATCATAAACCTGCAAAGGCAGTGGAAAATGAACACGCAAAAATACTGTGGGACTTTTGAATGCAGACAAAGTTTTGGAACACAATACACCAGACATCACGGTTGTGGAAAAGAAAAAAGTTTGGATTATTGATGTCGCCATACCAGGTGACAGTCGAATTGACGAAAAACAACAGGAAAAACTCAAGTCGGTATCAGGACCTCAAAATCGAACCGCAAAGGCTCTAACATAAACCAGTACAGGTGGTCCCAGTGGTAATCGGCACACTGGGTGCCATGCCGAAAGATCTCAGCCGGCATTTGAAAAAAAACATTGATAAAATCACGATCTGTCAACTGGAAAAGGCCACCTTACTTGGATCTGCTCGCATCATTTGAAAATACATCACATCGTTCTAAATGCTTGGGAAGTGTTTGACTTGTGATTTTGTGATACGAAATCCACCATATATATCTTGTTTGATGTGTCATGCTGTGTTTTTGTGTCAATAAATAATAATAATAATATCACTAACCCTTGCATATGCAAACTTTACCAGGCACTGGACAGTCATGTTTTGATCAAAGCAGATGCACATGTTAAATCATGCTTTAACTAAGAGGTAGAAACCTGTCTGCCCTTCAGGGGTTGATGTGCAGCTAATCCTATCACAACTGGCCAGAATGACTTGGCTAAAGTCATTTTCAGTTCAATAACATCTGAAAGTCAACCTTCCTTTAGTTCTACAGCAGAGGTGCAGATGTTTGTTCCTGCAGATGTTTTTACTCTCTAGCTCTGATAATTCCACATTATTAGTTATATTCTGAAAGGCCAGTTTTCACTCCTGCTTTACATTAACAAGCCTGATATTTCCACATCTTGCAGCATACACCAGTCAATTAATTACTTCCTGCCTTGCAGAAAGCCAGAGCTCCCCCAAAAATCATCCCTCAAGAACCTCACTCAAGAAGGGAGTATCTGTAATGAGAAGTATTATAATCACCAATGGCCATCTTTCTGTTTCCAAAAAACATGAGGTCTTTCAGTGCAGTTTAAAATGCTTACAATACAAAAGAGAAATGAGCCTGTCCAAGATAGAAACTAGTGGAAGTCTTCCTGCTGCAGCAGCAAACCAATGATGAGTTCAACAGTTCCAGAATAATAGGAACAATATCTTCTAGGGCCTTTACCTAACATTACATGGCAACAATTCCAAAGAGGGCAAACATATCACATTTCTACATGACATCAAATTAGGAGGGGCAACTAATATCCCAGATGACAGGATCAGGATTCCAAATGACCATAACACTTTGGAGAGCGGGTTCAAAACCAGCAAAATGAATTTCAACATGGGAAAACATAAAATACTGCACTGGGGGGGGGGGGGGATGCAGAGATACATGGTGGGTGACACTTGGCTTGACAGCAGTCCATGTAAAGGGCATCCAAGGAGCCTTGATAGATCACAAGCTGAACTTGAGTCCACAGTATGCTCAGTTAGCTAAAAAAGACAATGCGATTCTGGAATTCATCAACAAGAGTATCGCATCCTGATAGAGGGAAGTCATAGTACAATTCAAGATTCAAAACGATTTTAAAAGATTAGAGAGATGGGCCAAAACTAACAAAATGAAGTTCAACAGGGACAAATGGAAGACACTCCACTTAGGCAGAAAAAATGAAATGCAAAGATACAGAATGGGGGATGCCTGGCTCAATAGCAGTACGTGTGAAAAAGACCTTGGAGTTCTCATGGACAGGAAGGTGAACATGAGCCAACAATGTGGTGTGGTGGCTAAAAAAGGCCAATGGGATTTTGGCCTCCATAAATCGGAGTCTAATGCCTAGATCCAGGAAAGTCATGCTACCCCTCTATTCTGCCTTGGTCAGACCACACCTGGAATCACACTGTGTCCAATTCTGGGCACTGCAATTTAAGGGAGATGTTGACAAGCTGAAATGTGTCCAAAGGAGGGCAACTAAAATGATCAAGTGTCTGGAGAACAAGCCCTATGAGGAGCGGCTTAAAGAGCTGCGAATGGTTAGCATGCAGAAGAGGAGACATGATGGCAATGTATAGTATGTGAGGGGAAGTCATAGGGAGGAAGGAAGCAAGCTTGTTTTCTGCTGCCCTGAAGACTAGGACACGGAACAATGGCTTCAATCTAAAGGAAAGAAAGAAGATTCCTCCTGAACATTAGGAAGAACTTCCTGATTGAGAGGTGTTCAGAGTGTGGTGAAGGCTCCTTCTTTGGAGGCTTTTAAACAGAGGCTGGGTGGCCATCTGTCAGTGGTGCTTTGAATGTGATTGTCCTGCTTTCTTGGCAGAACAGGGTTAGACTGGATGGCCCATGAGGTCTCTTCCAACTCTATGATTCACTTGTCAGACATAACCTGGAATAACAGTCCTGGGCAAAGCAATTCTAGAAGGACATTCCAATATTTGCAAGCCCCCCCCCCTCCCCGCAACAACATGCTTTAGGATTTACAGCTTAATTAAATATATCATTAACAAAACATTAACAAAACCTCATTCACTCAATTCTTCTTCCTCTCCTCACCACCACTCTAACTGAGCAATCTAGATATCAAAAGCAAAGAACAACGCACACACAAATCAATACTAAATAGTAGCCAGTGTTAAACACTTTTACATTTTAAAACACACACTCCAGACAGCCTTCTGTGAAACCCAGTATCAGGAATGCAAAAACAGCCTGGAAAACATGGATCTCCTTTTTAACCATTAATGATTTTACTATTTGTTAAAACATCACTGCTCTTGCTAAATTTTCTGAGCGGACTCCAAGTGATTCAGCTCTTTCCTAGTTGTCCCAACGACGCTGCCTCAACAGCCAGAGAACACTGACCTAGTAATGAAGTTTTGCTAAGCACCAGTGAAACCTTCCCATTGGTCACAGAGCCTTGACCAGAATGCTGAAAATATGGAACATTATTATTGCATGCCTCCTCACATCCAAATAAAGCCCTTGGTTTGTAAGGACACATATACTTCTTATGTTATGTCAGGAGGAAAAGAAAGATGGCATATCCTTCAATAGGTGAAGCACAACACTCCCTGTGAACCACAGAGAGTGTTCAAGTGGAAGGTGAAGTCCCTTTATTCCATAAAAAAATCTATGTTGAGGCACGTGGACAATTCTAAGCAGCCATAGAAGAAGCTCATGAAATGTTAACGAGCCAAAAGTAACTCACCTGGAATGGAGCTTTTCCAGTCAGACACTGGTAAATGATAGTGCCAATACTCCACAGGTCAGCTTTGGCATCATAGTGTTGGGACATAATAACTTCTGGGGCCTGCACAAGGTGAAAAGAATACATGATGTTTTCTTTAATGCTCCCAAATATATTGTACCTGGTCCTGTTGTTTCCCTTTTATAGCAACTATGAAAACAAAAGTTTCCCCTCAAATTCTCCTTCCCTGGTTATTTTTTAAAATACTGGAGAGAATTCCACAAAAGAGATTAAATATTTGACCTCCAGTTTACAATAACATAATACAGGCACAGAGAAGGCTACTTCAGAACTCTGACTAAATAAGGCATGAATTTGCTTCAGTCAGATTTTAAGCATATACATACAGTACATACATACAGAGACAGAAACAAACAACCTTCACTTTGTCACTTGATCTGCTAAAGATAGATGGGAGAATTTATTTATGTTTCCTGCTTGTTGCTCTCCAGGTGTTTTGGACTTCAGCTCCCAGAATTCTGAGCCAATGGACAAGCTCCCTAATGCTTCTGGGAGTTGGGAGACTTCAAGCCTGGTTATGGTTATCTTTATTTGCCTTCATGGATAACTTATGCCAAGAATTAGTAAGGGGAATATGTCCCTCTCTAATACATCAAGGTAATTTTGAATGTTAATCCTGTCTTCTGGAGTATTAGCTATCCCTCCCAGTTTGGTTTCATCTGCAAACTTGATAAGCATGATAGCTATCTTTAAATATCTGAAGGAGTGTCATGTACACGATAGAGTGAAATTGTTTACTGCTGCTCCAAGGACTAGAATGAGAACCAATTGATTCAATTTGCAAGAAAAGAGATTGTTGTTGTTCATTCGTTCAGTCGTCTCCGACTCTTCGTGACCTCATGGACCAGCCCACGCCAGAGCTCCCTGTCGGCCGTTACCACCCCCAGCTCCCTCAAGGTCAGTCCAGTCACTTCAAGGATGCCATCCATCCATCTTGCCCTTGGTCGGCCCCTCTTCCTTTAGCCTTCCACTTTCCCCAGCATAATTGTCTTCTCTAGGCTTTCCTGTCTCCTCATGATGTGGCCAAAGTACTTCAACTTTGTCTCTAGTATCTTTCCCTCCAGTGAGCAGTCGGGCTTTCTTTCCTGGAGGATGGACTGGTTGGATCTTCTCGCAGTCCAAGGCACTCTCAGCACTTTCCTCCAACACCACAGCTCAAAAGCATCGATCTTCTTTCGCTCAGCCTTCCCTAAGGTCCAGCTCTCACATCCGTAGGTTACTACAGGGAATACCATGGCTTTGACTAGGTGGATCTTTGTTGCCAGTCTGATGTCTCTACTCTTCACTATTTTATCGAGACTGGACATTGCTCTCCTCCCAAGAAGTAAGCGTCTTCTGATTTCCTGGCTACAGTCTGCATCTGCAGTAATCTTTGCACCTAGAAATACAAAGTCTGTCACGGCCTCCACGGTTTCTCCCTCTATTTTCCAGTTGTCAATCATTCTTGTTGCCATAATCTTGGTTTTTTTGACGTTTAGCTGCAACCCGGCTTTTGCGCTTTCTTCTTTCACCTTGATTAGAAGGCTCCTCAGCTCCTCCTCGCTTTCGGCCATCAGAGTGGTGTCATCTGCATCTCTGAGGTTGTTAATGTTTCTTCCAGCAATTTTCACCCCAGCTTTGCATTCATCCAGCCCCGCACATCGCATGATGTGTTCTGCATACAAGTTAAAAAGGTTGGGTGAGAGTATGCAGCCTTGCCGTACGCCTTTCCCAATCTTGAACCAGTCTGTTGTTCCGTGATCAGTTCTGACTGTTGCTACTTGGTCCTTGTACAGATTCCTCAGGAGAGAGACAAGGTGGCTTGGTATGCCCATCCCACCAAGAACTTGCCACAATTTATTATGATCCACACAGTCAAAGGCTTTAGAATAGTCAATGAAGCAGAAGTAGATGTTTTTCTGAAACTCCCTGCCTTTCTCCATTATCCAGCGGATATTGGCAATCTGGTCTCTAGTTCCTCTGCCTTTTCTAAACCCAGCTTGAACATCTGGCAACTCTCGCTCCATGTATTGCTGGAGTCTTCCTTGCAGGATCTTGAGCATTACCTTACTGGCATGAGAAATAAGGGCTACTGTACGGAAGTTTGAGCAGTCTTTCGCATTTCCCCTTTTTGGTATGGGGATATAAGTTGATTTTTTCCAGTCTGATGGCCATTCTTGAAAAGAGATTAGGAAGAATTTATTTATTTTAAGAGCTGTTTGACAGCAGAGTATACTGCCTTGAAGGATGGTGGAGTTTCCATCTTGGGAGTTCTTAAGCTGAGATTGGCTGGGCCTCTTTCAGGAGTGCTTTAAGCTGTGCAGTAGGTCTAGATGGCCCTTGTGGTCCCTTCCAACACTACAATTCTGTGATTTTATTATTTTAAATAGCTCTGCAGTAGAGCACATGCTTTTCTTGCAGAAAAGTCTTTGGGTGAATCTCTAGGTAGGCAGGAAAGACATCTGTATAAATCTTAGAGAACCACTGCCACACATCTTCTGTTTCCAGATACTATTGGACTTTGGTTTTCAAAAGGCTCAGTTAGTATGGACAATGTTCAGGGGTTCTAGAAGTTGTAGTTCAACAATATCAGAGAACCAAATGCTGCAAGCAATACCAAACTAGATGGCCTTCCCATTTAGTATATGTCAAGCTTCTATGTTTACCATACACCAAAATTTGGATTGTCAGAAAAAGGCAACAAAGAAACACCCCTCCCCACCAGGTACTCACCTGTGCTTTTCCCTCATCACCACTGCTATCACCACAATTAAATTCAGTTACATAACATAAACATTCCATAAAACAGAGACAATGAATTGAAAAGACAGGAAATGCAGTAGGATTAAAAAGCTTAATGTGCAAGTAGTAATAGCCAGAATTATATGTATGTGTATAAGGCAGAATATCTTTCTTGGTGGGAAGCAACCAAACAACCAGTATGTACATACCATGTACATGGGGGAGCCACAGAGAGTTGCTGCCATCATATTGTTCTGCAGGTATCGTGCAAATCCGAAATCAGCTACATGTAGAACCAAACAAAAAGCAGAAGTAGTCATGATAAAGCAGTCACACAAAAGCACACTTATAATCACCACAAAAGAAGACCTGCATGCATTGAATAGCGATTACTGCTCACAGACAGAGACATAAACCATAGAGGGTAAAATCCTAAGGATAATGAGACACATGAAAGATTTACACCTGTACTACTTCTGAGCAGGAAATATGTCCGCATAGGACAGCTCCTATGCAATTATCCCATCATGCCTCCCTTTTCCATGTTTTCTGATTCAAAGCTTCCTGGTTTAATTGACTACAGGTTCAAGTTTTGTCTGAAGCAAGCAATGATACGACTAGCTTTGGAACAAGCCAAGAACATAAGACCTATTTCAATACTTAGATATCCTGACTTCTTCCAAATGTTCAAATGATAATTGAAAATGTTCTAATTCAATTCAGTGGAACCTAATGCACAAGGAGAACTTGCTAACTCACATACTTCATGTTCTGTATTTCAAAAATACAAACAAAAGGCACATCAGATTTTTTGTCTCCTACAAAAACTCACAGAAACTCATTTAAATTTAGTCAAATCAATGTGTTAAGAAAAAAGAGTCATCAACTGTTGACATAAGTATCAGTGTACTTCTCACCAATCTTTATGCGAATGTTGTTAGGGTTTGATTTCTTGCCCTCCACAAAAGAAAGGAGGATATTTTGAGGCTTCAGATCCCGATGGATTATCCCTTTGCTGTGCAGAACCTTCATGGCCCCAGCAATTTGCTGAAGAAAGAGCCGGATCGTATCTTCACTAAGTGCCCTCATACCTGGAAGGAGAAACAATGGCAGAAGGAAGGTAAAAAACACAGAAACCATCACAGTTGGGCCTCCACATCTGCAGGTTTAACTTTTACAAATTTTATTATTTGTAGATTTGATTAATATGCTTTCTAGGTCCTCCAGGACAACTGTGTGGTCAATTTCCGTAGAAAGCTGACCATAGAACCTCTAGGAAGGCCTATATATTCCGAGAGAGGGGATTTTTTTATTTGCAGTTTTTCCCATCCTGTGCCCCAACTCCTGCAAGAGTGGAGGTCCTACAGAAATTATAATGATTAATGATGGATACCAATTGATTTGAGTGGTGAATGTTGTTATCATTTCTAATAACCTAAAGGTATAGTGTACAGAATGTTTGTGCTGTGGGAAGGCCAATCTGCTGCAATGCATATGAAACATTGCCTTGAACCATGGGAGGGACAATGTGTAAAATTGTTCAATAATTTTAAAAAGCACAAGACACTTGTTTTATAAAGGGGTTTATAAGCTCTTCGGATCTCACTTTGGGACAAAGGTCAAATACAAATACAAGATATAAAGACATAATAACGATGATAATATTGACTACTCTTTCCCACAATGGATTCTTTGGCTGTTATTAGCCTGCATGCACTATTTATACCATTCTTATCTCATATCTGTCCCCATGTCTTTAGGTTATCTCTGTGACCCTGTAAAGGTTGGGAGATAAACTATCCCAAGGCCACACAATAATGCACTGGCTGAGTTTATTTAAATTTGTTTTGGTGCTGTTGATAAAAAAGGTACAACAAATGATTTAATTGTCTAAGAGCTGTAACTCATCACAAGTGCAGGGATCCTGACAAACAAAAAGAGTTTGGTTTTAAATGGGGCAGCTCTTAAGCAAGTGAAGGTGACCAGCCTTGTCACACATTCAGAGAACTGACACACAAGATAACAAGTACCTCGTGTGTTTGCCAGATTTACCTCAATATAGTTAAGTGATGTGAGGCTCTCACAAACACATACAAAACCAATGCGGAAAGCAGCATTCACCTTCCCTAATATAAGACATTTTGCCAATGTCCTGATCTTCACTCCAGGTGGAAAATCTCTTGCTGTGCCCCAACTTCTGCAAAAGTGGAGGGGCTACAGTTTTTTTAAAACTAGTAGAAGGGTTTCAAAAACATTTCCACTTGCCCTTTGCTACCAGTGTTGAAGGCTGTGTGTTTCCATGACAGCAAGTGATAATGCACATAATGTGGTATTTAGCAGTGAGCAAAGCTTTGTGGGCATATTTTTCTTCTTTAAATACATTAGGAGAAGTTGATAAGGGGGTGAATGATGGCAACTGGAATTTCAGAAGCTGGAGAGGTAGCCAAAAAGAATCCCAACCATCCAAGAGGATGGGACTCCAGCCTCCTGTTAGTAGAGGTGGCAACAGCATGGATGTTAGTAAATTCACTCAAATGGAATGATTCACCTGGACCACTGTTTACAGATGTTTAGGGTACCACATTTTAATAAAGAAGTAAATAGCTGTAGTATCAGGTGACAGGAAGGAAATACATTCCTGATCAGCATGCTCTTCTACATCACACATGATCACAACAACCCATTTTCATACCACAGATTGCTACTTTCCTCACTCAACACTACACATGGTAAATTACTCTGTAAAAGAACTCTACTCCCCTAGTTTTTAAAAATCCAAAATAGGGAAAGGCAAACTATCTGAAGATATTTTAAAAGTTAGCTACATCTGTCTGTCTATCTGTCTGTTTCAGTATAAAGGGGAAGGGAGGAAGGAATCTTGTAGCACCTGTAAGACAAACAGATTAAATATAGTTTTTGTATATTACAATCCATGTTCTCTGATGGCACTGATGGAGTACAAGATTTGCACCTCAATTGTAGGAGCAGGATCAAAGTGAAACAGAACTGTGATACTGATCATAAGATGGAAAACAACTGGTTTAGAATAAATATCCCAGTATTTTTAAGCTAATATACAGATCTACAGTATCCTATAGATTTACTCTGAAAGTTAAAAACCAATGTCTCAATTCTTTTTTCAGTGATCTCATCCATTTTACGCCAATCCCACCCCCACAACAATCTGTGCATCTTTACCAGAAGTTGAAGAGTGTACTTCATCAGTATATCTGCGGAACAGGGTTGTAATCCACAAAAGCACACACTAAAATTAAACAGTTCCTTTAAGTGTAAAAAGATTCCTTCCCTTACACCAATGGTGTCAAACTTGTGGTCCACAATTGTTTGGATTTAATTGTTTTAAACTTTTCTTATTAATGGTTTAGGAGTTGTACTTTATTTTAAAGGATCGTTGCCTGCCTTAAATCTTCTGCTGGGAAGAAAGGCACAATTACACATAAAATAAATCAAAGTGAATAAAAGAAGCAGTACTTTATTGTTGGCTAGGCTGAACTATGGAATGACCCAACGGAAAGACCCAACAGCTAAATGAGATGTCAATTAAAGACCTATCACTTCCAGCAAGTCTGCTCACATCACAGCTGATTTTAAACTGTAAATTTACGTTTTGTTGCTATTGCTATTTTAATCTTTGTTCTGTATATTTTAATATATATATTTTAATGGCATTGTGTTTTATCTGTGTGTTTTAACTGTTGTGTCCCAAATACCCCTAACTGCTCATGGAAAATATTGCTATGGTTTTAGGGGAGGTGGAAAATTCCACCTTTCCTAAAGGTGGAATATTTCTATGGTTTTAGGGGAGGTGCGATTGTAAGCTGCCTTGAGTCCCCCTCAGGGTAAAGAAAAGTGGGATATAAATAAGGCAAATAAATAAATAAATAAAATCCACTGGAGACATACTTTAAGGTACAGATGCTAAACTCAAGGTCCCCAGGCCAAATCCAACTCTCCATGTCATTTTATGTGACCCTCCAGATGCTGGACAACAATTCCTGTATCATCATTAGACATCCATGACTCGAGCTGATGGGAGTTGTGATACAGTAACATCTGAAACACTGAAGTTTGTTCTGTTTAGTCAGGACAGTAGGGTTTAGATTTAAATGCAAGTCTTGTGGCTATTATATTTGACTTTAAAATGCACTTTAACCTTTCCCCAATCTCAGAGCGACAAGGGCTGTTAGGTTGCAATTCCCATTATCCCCAGTCTGCATGGCAGATAATTAAAATTGATCAGTGTTGGCATTCAATAACATCTGGAGAACCAAATTGGGTAAAAGCTAAAGAGCACTGGTCACTATGTAGAAAAACATATGTTTGGCCCTTTGTATCCGTTACAATCTCCATCCATGGATTCAATGGCCCTTTGATGGCAACCATAAGGCTGATGTGACCCTATGTGACAATGAGTTTGATACCCCTGCTTTAAGGCTACAGAATTCTGAATAAAACCCAGGAAGAATCACAGTGAGACTATTGTGTATAATCAGGTAAACATATCCACCAGTTTTCATTACATACGTTGTGCCCCTATACATTTCATTATTACAATTTAATTATGTGTTTGTATCTTTTTAAAGGGTTGGTTTAACCTCCGTTTTCCTAATAAAACTGAATTACCATGTTATGAAATGACCCATGTTTTAGAAGTGTGGCACCAACATGAAAAGCTTGGAAAGCTCTGCTGTAGACAAATGTGAAGCAATTATCTATTGACGTCCCCTAAATAACACAGCAAAGGATTAGATCACCTTGCATTTGGCTTCAAGAACATAAGCTAGACACTTCTCTGATACCCTGCCCAGTTCTCCAGATACAGAATGACAGTGGGAGGGGATTCAGTGGTCATATAGTAGTGGAGTGTGGAGGATCTGGTCCTTGTGAGGAGGTAGTGGATACTGACCTCAGAACTGACCCAAAACAGATGTACAAAACTGTATGGTTAATTTATGCCTCCATATGAAACTAATAGGATGCCAGCCAGAGTGTTCCAGCATTGCTTCATCTTTTTGAAGTGATTTATTTATTTAATGGCATGTATGAATCTTGCATAAAACAATTCCAAGTGGTAAACAGACATTACATAATAAAGCCACAAAAACAACATTATAAAATGTAAACAGACAGTAGCATAGCAGGGCATGTTATTGCATAAAACTCTGCCAGTCATAACTTGCCATTGCTGGGTTAGAATGATCAACCAAATATTCTAATTTAGTATAACCTTCCTTTGTTAATGTATTACCTTTGAAACTAACAAGCTTTCTTTGGCATCACTTTCTCTGAACTACAGTCCACCCCACTCAGTTCATGCCAACTTATGCAAAATAAAACTGGTTAATCTTTAAAGTGTCACAAGACTACAAACCCAAGGATGGAATTAATTTCTCGGGGGGTGGGGGGGGGGTAGTTTCTAAGAGCAAGAATAATTTCTAAGGGAGTCCAAGAGTGCTATAATACTGAATGCCCAATCCAAAACCAACAGAGTCTGCCAGTTATCTTTGTTATGTATGATCTTTAGAACCCCAAGCCTTCAAAGTATATATAATTTGAGTCCATGATGACTGCTTGAATTGGGTCTTGTTTTTGATGCTATTTATTTCATAGAATCAGAAGAGAATGCATGAGCCATCTAGTCCAACCCCCTGGCATGTAAGAAAAGCACCCCTGACAATCAAAGTACCAGTGACAGATGGCCATCGAGCCTCTGTTTAAATGCCTTCAAAGAAGAAGTTTCCACCGGATTCCCAAGGCTGTGAGTTCCACTGTTAAACAGCTCTTCCAGTCAGGAAGTTCTTCCTAATGTTCAAGTGGAATCTCCTTCTCTGTCATTTGAACCCATTGCTCTCCGTCCTAGTCTCCAGGGCAGCAGAAAACAAGCCTGCTCCCTCTTCCTTATGACATTAAAGTTTTTCTTTGTTTTTGGAATACTAACATTAATTTAGCTTGGGTAAGATGTGCCAATTCAGGCTCACTGAATGAAGGAAACTAAGAACCATCTGCTGGCAATGTCAACTTACCCATTACTTCAATTTTAAAGCATTTAAAACCAAAAGAAAAGCTGGCA